GTGTCCGTACTGCTTACCCCTGAGGGAGACCCGGATGCACTTGACATCCCGACTCCGCGCTCTTACGCGGAGGCGATAGAGGGTCCCTACTCCTCTCAGTGGCAGGCAGCTATGGACGCAGAGATGGCTTCCTGGAAGTCCACAGGCACCTACGTTGACGCTGTCCCCCCTCCTGGGGCGAACATCGTCAGTGGCATGTGGATCTTCAGGGTGAAGCGGCCGCCGGGTTCTCCGCCTGTCTTCAAGGCGCGTTACGTGGCTCGTGGCTTCAGTCAGCGGCAGGGAGTTGACTACTTTCAGACCTTCTCCCCCACCCCGAAGATGACCACTCTTCGGGTACTGCTGCACGTTGCTGCTCACCGTGACTACGAGCTACACTCTCTTGACTTCAGCACAGCTTTCTTGCAGGGCAGCCTGCACGAGGAGATCTGGCTGCGTCGCCCACCTGGCTTCACTGGGTCTTTTCCTCCTGGCACCCAGTGGAGCCTACGGCGGCCAGTCTACGGTCTCCGCCAGGCACCGCGTGAGTGGCACGACACACTGAGGACTACACTTGCGGCTCTTGGGTTTGCTCCCTCTACTGCCGACCCGTCGCTGTTTCTGCGCACCGACACTTCTTTGCCGCCGTTCTACATCCTCGTGTACGTCGACGACTTGGTCTTTGCCACAGCTGACACTGCTGGACTAGCCCACGTGAAGTCCGAGCTGCAGAAGAGACACACGTGCACTGACCTGGGTGAACTGCGCAGCTACCTTGGCTTGCAGATCACTCGGGACAGAGCACGCCGCACCATTACCCTGACTCAGTCACACATGGTGCAGCAGGTCCTTCAGCGCTTCGGCTTCACGTACTCCTCGCCTCAGGCCACTCCTCTGCCTACTCGCCACTCGCTCTCAGCTCTGCCTTCGGATGAGTCCGTAGAGTCGAGTGGCCCGTACCCAGAGCTTGTTGGCTGCCTCATGTACCTGATGACCTGCACACGACCTGACCTTGCATACCCTCTTAGCATTCTTGCACGCTATGTTGCTCCTGGGAGACACAGACCGGAGCACATGGCTGCAGCGAAGAGGGTGTTGCGCTACTTGTGCAGTACGTCGGGCATGGGGCTTGTGCTTGGAGGGCAGAGTCCAGTGGTCCTTACTGGGCACGCAGACGCTTCTTGGGCTGACGACCAGGCTATGCAGCGGTCGTCACAGGGTTACACCTTCAGCCTTGGTTCCGGCTCTGTTTCGTGGCGGGCTACTCGCTCGTCTTCTGTTCTCGGCTCCAGTTGTGAGGCTGAGATCTACGCAGGAGCCATGGCTGCACAGGAGCTTCGCTGGCTCACCTACCTGCTGACTGACCTCGGAGAGTTGCCTCGTTCTCCTCCAGTGCTGTACGTAGACAACAAGGCCATGCTGGCCTTGTGTCGGGAGCAGCGACTGGAGCACAGAACGAAGCACATTGCTCTCCGCTACTTTCTTGCTCGTGAGCTGCAGCAGCGTGGTCAGCTGCGTCTTGCGTACGTGGCCTCTGAGGCCAACACTGCTGATATCTTCACCAAGGCACTTGCGCCTTGTGACCATCAGCGCTTCTGTACTCAGCTGGGCCTTGTGCCTACCTTGCCTCACTTGCTCACCTCTTGACCTTGCTTGTACTGTTACATATATATATTCCTGCTCTTGTTTGTCTAGCCTTTTTATATATATGTGTACTCCTGTTTGTGAACTGGCCTTGTGGCCTTGAACTTGTGCTCGGAATGTGTGGTGACTTTGTGATCCACCCTGAGCTTGTTTTTGCTTTGCTTTGCTTGACTGGTCTTGTGACCCCTTGTTCTCCCCCACTTTGCCTATGGGGGTGTGTCAGATTTATATGACATAGCTACTGTAGGCTATAGTGGGGTAGCACATATGGGGTACAGTTTCCTAGGGTTTACTTCTTGTACCCAACTTTCACTTAGTCATTTTCATTCCTCGTTTCTTCTCAATGCGCTCTGTGTTTAACGGGGAAAAAGGTTTCACTCCGCATGATCCCAACACGATTCGACATCATTTCGTACAATTTTTCACTCTGCGGCAAGGCAACCCCTTAGATTCTGCTGGGGTGTCGCCACGGTGTCAGACCAGCAAGTTGCTTTTGGGCTAACCTGCCCCAAGGCTCCTCCGAACCTCGCTCCCCAAAAACATGCATTTCTGCTGCCGAACAATGCCAAAGACGAGATGCGCTCTGACACAGCAGATCTGCTGCGTCAGAGGTGTTCTGCCGAAAATCCCCGCAGCACGCTGCGCCTCGCACGACACCACAAGATCTACCCCATCCTTCCCCCCCAAACATCCACCCCACGTTGTCGGGTGTTACTTGTCGGTATTACCGTACAGAAAGGGCTCCCCCACATCGGTAAAGGGGAAATCATGATTACGCACATGGGGGGTTATCGAGAGGAAATTTCGGGGAAACTTCGTCTAGATACCCTCGCATTCAGGGTCCACAGAACGCGTACTCTACATTGACAGAGTCAGTAAGAACAATACTCTGAGCCTAGATACAATAATTCAGGGTTCGCTAAACCACTATTCTGAATGGATCAGAGTTCACAAGTCAGAAATTCTGAAATTGCAGGGACCACCAGGTGAGAAGCCTGTAATCACCCTGAAATCAGGGTAATTACCCTGATAAAATCAGCCCTGTTACACAGGTGCTCATCTGGGAGTGGATACAACAACCTCGTTACCCAGCGAGGCGTGTAAACAAATGGGTAGGCGGGTTACGACCGACAGCCGGGGTAATACCAAGGGGGTTTCCCTATAACCTTTACCTTTACCTCCAACACATGCCAATGAGATGAGAAACGAGCCCTGAAAGCAGCCCGATCCAGCCCTTTAAACTCGGGAAACTTGGAAAGGCTCCAAATCTCATCCGAAGATTCTCCCACACCCTTCAAATTGTTTCAATTACCGTATGAAGTTTTCCTCACCCCGGGATTTTCCACTCTCCAGTGACGTATCTGTGGAGTAGCACTTCTACGAATGGATTTCACAGGTTCGTCGATCAGGGACGGTAGTGCTTGCAGTGGAATCATAGCCATGTCCCATAATGACGGTGGGCTAAGTTTTTAAAGAAGGTGAAATTTAACGGGTACAGGTAAGCTACGGGTAATATTTGAAACGGCTCCGTTATACGAAGGTTCTACTGTCGAGAACTGAGCTATAACGAGGTATTTTAATCACGATGTTTGTCGAGCATTCGAAGATTCTTCAACACTCTTCAAATTGTTTCAGTTTTATAATTTACCACACTTCGGTGAATTTTTGTAGAGAAGCACTTTACTAACGAAATTCACAGGTTAGTGGATTCGGGCACGGTGGTGCTTGCAGCGGAATCATAGCCACGCCCCGTAGAGACGGTGGGCTATGCTTTACAATGATGTCAAATTTAACGGGTAGAACAACGTGACGGGTAATCTTCTAAACGAATCCGTTATAAGAAGGTTTTACTGTAAAAAACGGAGCTATGACGAGGTATTTTGACGACAGTGTTTGTGGAACATCCGAAGATTCTTCCCACCCTTCAATTTGCTTCAATTTTCTATTTTACCTCTCCCAGGGCTGCCCACACCTCAGTGACGTATTTGTGGAGAAGCACTTTACTGCCGAAATTTACTAGTTCGTAAACCAGTCACGGTGGTGCTTGCAGCGGAATCATAGCCAGGCCCCATAAAAACGGTGGGCTATGCTTTCAAAGGATGTTTCATTTTAAGGGTACGAATATGTGACGGGTAATCTTCAAAACGACTCCGTTATACGAAGGTTCTACTGTTGAAAACGGAGCTATAACGAGGTATTCTAATCACGGTGTTTGTCGAACATTCGAAGATTCTTCAACACTCTTCAAATTGTTTCAGTGTTATCTTTTACCACACTTCGGTGAATTTTTGTAAAGGAGCACTTTACTAACGAAATTCAAGTTGGTGGATCGGGCACGGTGGTGCTTGCAGCGGAATCATAGCCACGCCCCGTAGAGACGGTGGGCTATGCTTTACGGTGATGTCTAATTTAACGGGTAGAATAACGTGACGGGTAAACGACTCCGCTATACGAAGGTTCTACTGTCATAGGGGGGGGGGCTATAGCGAGGTATTTTGACGACAGTATTTGTGGAACATCCGAAGATTCTTCCCACCCTTCAAATTGTTTCAATTTTCTTATTTACCTCTCCCAGGGCTGCCCACCCCTCAGTGACGTATTTGTGGAGAAGCACTTTACTAACGAATATGTGACGGGTAATCTTCAAAACCACTCCGTTATACGAAGGTTCTACTGTTGAAAACGGAGCTATAACGAGGTATTTTAATCACGGTGTTTGTCGAATTCTATCTATGATTTTTTCACTCTTTTGTCTCCGGGATTTCCCAGCTAGTTGCAGTATGACTGTTTCGACCCGTCTGGGAATTTTTTTCCCACGCCGTCCGTGATGATCCGGGCCGAGGAAAAAACAGCCCTGAAAATCTCTGAGCGGAGATCAACACCAACCCTTAAAGCCCGAGTTCCACATGGCATTTTTCAAATTCAAGATTCTTGAATATGAACTCGCCAAAAACCAGGTTACCACCCGAAGTGCAGCTTTCCGTCCCCTCACGGATGAGATGCTTCACAATTCTGATGCATGATTGGCCAGCGACAAAAAAAGGATTCCGCATGAAGTGTCAACGGGAGTTGGACCACTGTTCACATTCAGTAAACTTGAAAACCAAGTTGTACTTATGTGCAGCCATATCGAGTCTAGAACACGTAGTGCGCTCCGCTGTTCAGGACCACAAGAGCGCGTAGTATCGCTTACAGACAATGGCAGCGAGATGTCTATATCCTTGCAGCAGTCTGTTGGTTTTTCGCTCCAACAAAAATAATATTAGCCAGCCTAAAGAAAAACGTCATGTCACGCCCCAATTCTACAGGGACGATGGCGCTCGCAAGTACGTTCGAAGCGCACGGATCAAGCGCTGCCGATCGGGCGCTCGACTCACATGTACGTTCCACGCACCCGCTTCCGCCCGTCGCACTCCCTTCCGCGCGCCTGCACTCCCTTCCGCACGTCGCACTCTCTTACGCCCATCAAACTCCCTCCCGCCGTCGCCCTACTGCCCGTCGCTCTCCCTAGCGCACGTCGCACTCACTTCCGCCGACGGCCTCCCTTCCGCCCGTCACCTTCCCTTCCGCCCGTCGCACTCACTTCCGCCGTCGCCATCCCTTCCGCCCGTCGCCCGTCACCTTCCCTTCCGCCCGTCGCCCTCCCTTCCGCCCGTCGCCCTCCCTTCCGCCGTCGCCATAGATTCCGCCCGTCGCCCGTCGCCATGCCTTCCGCCCGTCGCCCTCCCTTCCGCCCGTCGCCCTCCCTTCCGCCGTCGCCATCCCTTCCGCCCGTCACCCTCCCTTCGTCTCGTCGCCCTCCCTTCCTCCCATTGCCCTCCCGACCACCCGCCGCCCTACCTTCCCCTCGTCGCGCTCCCTTCCGCCCGTTGCCCCCCTTTGTCTCGTCTAGGGTCCCCGCTGCTCATCGCCCTCCCTCCCGCTCGACCCCTCGCAATCCCCGTATCTCTCTCCCCTCGTCGCCCTGGCACCTCCGTCACTGTCGCCATCCCTCCCATCTCCCTTCCCACCTCATTTGGGCCAGTCACGCCCCCTTTCCAACCAACACACACGGTGGCCCTTCCCCTAATGATCGCCTTTCACCACCACACCGCTTACCTCTCTCCTTCCCCACACCACCTTTGGCCTTCCTCCCCCAATCCCCTTCCCTGATTCCCTGTGTCCCTTTCCCTGCTTCCCCCCATCTCCTTCCCTTCTTCCTCCCACCCCCTTCCCTTATATTCCCCCCATCCCCGTGTCAATTTCCCCATGTCCCCTTCCCTGCTTCCCCGTGTTCCCTTCCTTGCTTTCCCATGTCCCCTTCCCTTCCTCCCCCCATCCCCTTCCCTGCTTCCCCGTGTCCCTTTCCCTGCTTCCCCCCATCCCCTTCCCTGCTTCCCCGTGTCCCTTTCCCTGCTTCCCCCCATCCCCTTCCCTTCTTTCCCCCATCCCCTTCCCTTATGTTCCCCCATCCCCTTCCCTGCTTCCCCATGTCCCCTTCCCTGCTTCCCCATGTCCCCTCCCCTGCTTCCCCCCATCCCCTTCCCTGCTTCCCCCCATCCCCTTCCCTGCTTCCCCCCATCCCCTTCCCTGCTTCCCCGTGTCCCTTTCCCTGCTTCCCCCCATCCCCTTCCCTGCTTCCCCCCATCCCCTTCCCTGCTTCCCCCCATCCCCTTCCCTGCTTCCCCGTGTCCCTTTCCCTGCTTCCCCCCATCTCCTTCCCTTCTTCCGCCCATCCCCTTCCCTTATGTTCCCCCATCCCCTTCCCTGCTTCCCCATGTCCCCTTCCCTGCTTCCCCATGTCCCCTCCCCTGCTTCCCCCCATCCCCTTCCCTGCTTCCCCCCATCCCCTTCCCTGCTTCCCCGTGTCCCTTTCCCTGCTTCCCTCCATGTCCTTCCCTTCTTCCTCCCATCCCCTTCCCTTTTATTCCCCCCATCCCCGTCTGCTTCCCCCTGTCCCCTTCCCTGCTTCCCCATGTCCCTTTCCCTGCTTCCCCCCATCCCCTTCCCTGCTTCCCCCCATCCCCTTCCCTGCTTCCCCGTGTCCCTTTCCCTGCTTCCCCCCATCCCCTTCCCTTCTTCCCCCCATCCCCTTCCCTGCTTCCCCCCATCCCCTTCCCTGCTTCCCCGTGTCCCTTTCCCTGCTTCCCCCCATCTCCTTCCCTTCTTCCGCCCATCCCCTTCCCTTATGTTCCCCCATCCCCTTCCCTGCTTCCCCATGTCCCCTTCCCTGCTTCCCCATGTCCCCTTCCCTGCTTCCCCCCATCCCCTTCCCTGCTTCCCCCCATCCCCTTCCCTGCTTCCCCCCATCCCCTTCCCTGCTTCCCCGTGTCCCTTTCCCTGCTTCCCCCCATCTCCTTCCCTTCTTCCGCTCATCCCCTTCCCTTATGTTCCCCCATCCCCTTCCCTGCTTCCCCATGTCCCCTTCCCTGCTTCCCCATGTCCCCTTCCCTGCTTCCCCCCATCCCCTTCCCTGCTTCCCCCCATCCCCTTCCCTGCTTCCCCATGTCCCCTTCCCTGCTTCCCCGTGTCCCTTTCCCTGCTTCCCCCCATCCCCTTCCCTTCATCCCCCCATCCCCTTCCCTTATGTTCCCCCATCCCCTTCCCTGCTTCCCCATGTCCCCTTCCCTTCCTCCCCCCATCCCCTTCCCTGCTTCCCCATGTCCCTTTACAAGCTTCCCCCCATCCTCCTCCCTGCTCCCCCCCATCCTCTTCCCTGCTTCCCTCCATCCCCTTCCCCTGCTTCCACATGTCCCTTTCCCTGCTTCCCCGTGTCCCCTTCCGCGGCACTCACACGCACCACTTGTCTGCTCCTCATATTCTCCCTCAGATTCCTCCTCACATGTCTTGTGGAACCCTGGTCTGCACTTTGCCTGACTGCATGTCTGCCTGCGTTTGATCTGTGTGCATGTCTTTCTGCCTCCGTGCGTGCCTGCCTGTGTGCATGCCTGCGTGCGCGCATGCGTTGACAGTATGTGTGTGCGTGTGCGTGTGCACGACCACCCAGGACCTGATGCCATTCATCGACCGTGACCCCGTGGGAGGCGCACTTGGTGCAGATGGGGAGGTGCTTCCCCCCAAGAAGCTGCGTGACGTGCCCACAGAGTGGAGGTGGGAGCGGGTGTGGGGGCAGTGGGGAGCTGCGAGGAGGACGAGGAGGAGCAGCCCCTGGCGCTGGCAGCTTCCATGGAGGGGCACACAGAGGAAGAGGGGGGCGAGGTGGGGAGGTGGGCAAGGTGGGGAGCAAGGTGGGGAGCAAGGTGGGGAGCAAGGTGGGGAGCAAGGTGGGGAGCAAGGTGGGGAGCAAGGTGGGGAGCAAGGTGGGGAGCAAGGTGGGGAGCAAGGTGGGGAGCAAGGTGGGGAGCAAGGTGGGGAGCAAGGTGGGGAGCAAGGTGGGGAGCAAGGTGGGGAGCAAGGTGGGGAGCAAGGTGGGGAGCAAGGTGGGGAGCAAGGTGGGGAGCAAGGTGGGGAGCAAGGTGGGGAGCAAGGTGGGGAGCAAGGTGGGGAGCAAGGTGGGGAGCAAGGTGGGGAGCAAGGTGGGGAGCAAGGTGGGGAGCAAGGTGGGGAGCAAGGTGGGGAGCAAGGTGGGGAGCAAGGTGGGGAGCAAGGTGGGGAGCAAGGTGGGGAGCAAGGTGGGGAGCAAGGTGGGGAGCAAGGTGGGGAGCAAGGTGGGGAGCCAAGGTGGGGAGCAAGGTGGGGAGCAAGGTGGGGAGCAAGGTGGGGAGCAAGGTGGGGAGCAAGGTGGGGAGCAAGGTGGGGAGCAAGGTGGGGAGCAAGGTGGGGAGCAAGGTGGGGAGCAAGGTGGGGAGCAAGGTGGGGAGCAAGGTGGGGAGCAAGGTGGGGAGCAAGGTGGGGAGCAAGGTGGGGAGCAAGGTGGGGAGCAAGGTGGGGAGCAAGGTGGGGAGCAAGGTGGGGAGCAAGGTGGGGAGCAAGGTGGGGAGCAAGGTGGGGAGCAAGGTGGGGAGCAAGGTGGGGAGCAAGGTGGGGAGCAAGGTGGGGAGCAAGGTGGGGAGCAAGGTGGGGAGCAAGGTGGGGAGCAAGGTGGGGAGCAAGGTGGGGGAGCAAGGTGGGGAGCAAGGTGGGGAGCAAGGTGGGGAGCAAGGTGGGGAGCAAGGTGGGGAGCAAGGTGGGGAGCAAGGTGGGGAGCAAGGTGGGGAGCAAGGTGGGGAGCAAGGTGGGGAGCAAGGTGGGGAGCAAGGTGGGGAGCAAGGTGGGGAGCAAGGTGGGGAGCAAGGTGGGGAGCAAGGTGGGGAGCAAGGTGGGGAGCAAGGTGGGGAGCAAGGTGGGGAGCAAGGTGGGGAGCAAGGTGGGGAAGCAAGGTGGGGAGCAAGGTGGGGAGCAAGGTGGGGAGCAAGGTGGGGAGCAAGGTGGGGAGCAAGGTGGGGAGCAAGGTGGGGAGCAAGGTGGGGAGCAAGGTGGGGAGCAAGGGTGGGGAGCAAGGTGGGGTGAGCAAGGTGGGGAGCAAGGTGGGGAGCAAGGTGGGGAGCAAGGTGGGGAGCAAGGTGGGGAGCAAGGTGGGGAGCAAGGTGGGGAGCAAGGTGGGGAGCAAGGTGGGGAGCAAGGTGGGGAGCAAGGTGGGGAGCAGGTGGGGAGCAAGGTGGGGAGCAAGGTGGGGAGCAAGGTGGGGAGCAAGGTGGGGAGCAAGGTGGGGAGCAAGGTGGGGAGCAAGGTGGGGAGCAAGGTGGGGAGCAAGGTGGGGAGCAAGGTGGGAGCAAGGTGGGGAGCAAGGTGGGGAGCAAGGTGGGGAGCAGGTGGGGAGCAAGGTGGGGAGCAAGGTGGGGAGCAAGGTGGGGAGCAAGGTGGGGAGCAAGGTGGGGAGCAAGGTGGGGAGCAAGGTGGGGAGCAAGGTGGGAGCAGGTGGGAGCAAGGTGGGGAGCAAGGTGGGGAGCAAGGTGGGGAGCAAGGTGGGGAGCAAGGTGGGGAGCAAGGTGGGAGCAAGGTGGGGAGCAAGGTGGGGAGCAAGGTGGGGAGCAAGGTGGGGAGCAAGGTGGGGAGCAAGGTGGGGAGCAAGGTGGGGAGCAAGGTGGGGAGCAAGGTGGGGAGCAAGGTGGGGAGCAAGGTGGGGAGCAAGGTGGGGAGCAAGGTGGGGAGCAAGGTGGGGAGCAAGGTGGGGAGCAAGGTGGGGAGCAAGGTGGGGAGCAAGGTGGGGAGCAAGGTGGGGAGCAAGGTGGGGAGCAAGGTGGGGAGCAAGGTGGGGAGCAAGGTGGGGAGCAAGGTGGGGAGCAAGGTGGGGAGCAAGGTGGGGAGCAAGGTGGGGAGCAAGGTGGGGAGCAAGGTGGGGAGCAAGGTGGGGAGCAAGGTGGGGAGCAAGGTGGGGAGCAAGGTGGGGAGCAAGGTGGGGAGCAAGGTGGGGAGCAAGGTGGGGAGCAAGGTGGGGAGCAAGGTGGGGAGCAAGGTGGGGAGCAAGGTGGGGAGCAAGGTGGGGAGCAAGGTGGGGAGCAAGGTGGGGAGCAAGGTGGGGAGCAAGGTGGGGAGCAAGGTGGGGAGCAAGGTGGGGAGCAAGGTGGGGAGCAAGGTGGGGAGCAAGGTGGGGAGCAAGGTGGGGAGCAAGGTGGGGAGCAAGGTGGGGAGCAAGGTGGGGAGCAAGGTGGGGAGCAAGGTGGGGAGCAAGGTGGGGAGCAAGGTGGGGAGCAAGGTGGGGAGCAAGGTGGGGAGCAAGGTGGGGAGCAAGGTGGGGAGCAAGGTGGGGAGCAAGGTGGGGAGCAAGGTGGGGAGCAAGGTGGGGAGCAAGGTGGGGAGCAAGGTGGGGAGCAAGGTGGGGAGCAAGGTGGGGAGCAAGGTGGGGAGCAAGGTGGGGAGCAAGGTGGGGAGCAAGGTGGGGAGCAAGGTGGGGAGCAAGGTGGGGAGCAAGGTGGGGAGCAAGGTGGGGAGCAAGGTGGGGAGCAAGGTGGGGAGCAAGGTGGGGAGCAAGGTGGGGAGCAAGGTGGGGAGCAAGGTGGGGAGCAAGGTGGGGAGCAAGGTGGGGAGCAAGGTGGGGAGCAAGGTGGGGAGCAAGGTGGGGAGCAAGGTGGGGAGCAAGGTGGGGAGCAAGGTGGGGAGCAAGGTGGGGAGCAAGGTGGGGAGCAAGGTGGGGAGCAAGGTGGGGAGCAAGGTGGGGAGCAAGGTGGGGAGCAAGGTTGGGGAGCAAGGTGGGGAGCAAGGTGGGGAGCAAGGTGGGGAGCAAGGTGGAGGCAGTGGGGAGCAAGGTGGGGAGCAAGGTGGGGAGCAAGGTGGGGAGCAAGGTGGGGAGCAAGTGGGGAGCAAGGTGGGGAGCAAGGTGGGGAGCAAGGTGGGGAGCAAGGTGGGGAGCAAGGTGGGGAGCAAGGTGGGGAGCAAGGTGGGGAGCAAGGTGGGGAGCAAGGTGGGGAGCAAGGTGGGGAGCAAGGTGGGGAGCAAGGTGGGGAGCAAGGTGGGGAGCAAGGTGGGGAGCAAGGTGGGGAGCAAGGTGGGGAGCAAGGTGGGGAGCAAGGTGGGGAGCAAGGTGGGAGCAAGGTGGGGAGCAAGGTGGGGAGCAAGGTGGGGAGCAAGGTGGGGAGCAAGGTGGGGAGCAAGGTGGGGAGCAAGGTGGGGAGCAAGGTGGGGAGCAAGGTGGGGAGCAAGGTGGGGAGCAAGGTGGGGGAGCAAGGTGGGGAGCAAGGTGGGGAGCAAGTTGGGGAGCAAGGTGGGGAGCAAGGTGGGAGCAAGGTGGGGAGCAAGGTGGGGAGCAAGGTGGGGAGCAAGGTGGGAGCAAGGTGGGGAGCAAGGTGGGGAGCAAGGTGGGGAGCAAGGTGGGGAGCCAGGTGGGGAGCAAGGTGGGGAGCAAGGTGGGGAGCAAGGTGGGAGCAAGGTGGGGAGCAAGGTGGGGAGCAAGGTTGGGGATGCACGGTCGGGAGCAAGGTGGGGAGCAAGGTGGGGAGCAAGGTGGGAGCAAGGTGGGGAGCAAGGTGGGGAGCAAGGTGGGGAGCAAGGTGGGGAGCAAGGTGGGGAGCAAGGTGGGGAGCAAGGTGGGGAGCAAGGTGGGGAGCAAGGTGGGGAGCAAGGTGGGGAGCAAGGTGGGGAGCAAGGTGGGAGCAAGGTGGGGAGCAAGGTGGGGAGCAAGGTGGGGAGCAAGGTGGGGAGCAAGGTGGGGAGCAAGGTGGGGAGCAAGGTGGGGAGCAAGGTGGGGAGCAAGGTGGGGAGCAAGGTGGGGAGCAAGGTGGGGAGCAAGGTGGGGAGCAAGGTGGGGAGCAAGGTGGGGAGCAAGGTGGGGAGCAAGGTGGGGAGCAAGGTGGGGAGCAAGGTGGGGAGCAAGGTGGGGAGCAAGGTGGGGAGCAAGGTGGGGAGCAAGGTGGGGAGCAAGGTGGGGAGCAAGGTGGGGAGCAAGGTGGGGAGCAAGGTGGGGAGCAAGGTGGGGAGCAAGGTGGGGAGCAAGGTGGGGAGCAAGGTGGGGAGCAAGGTGGGGAGCAAGGTGGGGAGCAAGGTGGGGAGCAAGGTGGGGAGCAAGGTGGGGAGCAAGGTGGGGAGCAAGGTGGGGAGCAAGGTGGGGAGCAAGGTGGGGAGCAAGGTGGGGAGCAAGGTGGGGAGCAAGGTGGGGAGCAAGGTGGGGAGCAAGGTGGGGAGCAAGGTGGGGAGCAAGGTGGGGAGCAAGGTGGGGAGCAAGGTGGGGAGCAAGGTGGGGAGCAAGGTGGGGAGCAAGGTGGGGAGCAAGGTGGGGAGCAAGGTGGGGAGCAAGGTGGGGAGCAAGGTGGGGAGCAAGGTGGGGAGCAAGGTGGGGAGCAAGGTGGGGAGCAAGGTGGGGAGCAAGGTGGGGAGCAAGGTGGGGAGCAAGGTGGGGAGCAAGGTGGGGAGCAAGGTGGGGAGCAAGGTGGGGAGCAAGGTGGGGAGCAAGGTGGGGAGCAAGGTGGGGAGCAAGGTGGGGAGCAAGGTGGGGAGCAAGGTGGGGAGCAAGGTGGGGAGCAAGGTGGGGAGCAAGGTGGGGAGCAAGGTGGGGAGCAAGGTGGGGAGCAAGGTGGGGAGCAAGGTGGGGAGCAAGGTGGGGAGCAAGGTGGGGAGCAAGGTGGGGAGCAAGGTGGGGAGCAAGGTGGGGAGCAAGGTGGGGAGCAAGGTGGGGAGCAAGGTGGGGAGCAAGGTGGGGAGCAAGGTGGGGAGCAAGGTGGGGAGCAAGGTGGGGAGCAAGGTGGGGAGCAAGGTGGGGAGCAAGGTGGGGAGCAAGGTGGGGAGCAAGGTGGGGAGCAAGGTGGGGAGCAAGGTGGGGAGCAAGGTGGGGAGCAAGGTGGGGAGCAAGGTGGGGAGCAAGGTGGGGAGCAAGGTGGGGAGCAAGGTGGGGAGCAAGGTGGGGAGCAAGGTGGGGAGCAAGGTGGGGAGCAAGGTGGGGAGCAAGGTGGGGAGCAAGGTGGGGAGCAAGGTGGGGAGCAAGGTGGGGAGCAAGGTGGGGAGCAAGGTGGGGAGCAAGGTGGGGAGCAAGGTGGGGAGCAAGGTGGGGAGCAAGGTGGGGAGCAAGGTGGGGAGCAAGGTGGGGAGCAAGGTGGGGAGCAAGGTGGGGAGCAAGGTGGGGAGCAAGGTGGGGAGCAAGGTGGGGAGCAAGGTGGGGAGCAAGGTGGGGAGCAAGGTGGGGAGCAAGGTGGGGAGCAAGGTGGGGAGCAAGGTGGGGAGCAAGGTGGGGAGCAAGGTGGGGAGCAAGGTGGGGAGCAAGGTGGGGAGCAAGGTGGGGAGCAAGGTGGGGAGCAAGGTGGGGAGCAAGGTGGGGAGCAAGGTGGGGAGCAAGGTGGGGAGCAAGGTGGGGAGCAAGGTGGGGAGCAAGGTGGGAGCAAGAGCAAGGTGGGGAGCAAGGTGGGGAGCAAGGTGGGGAGCAAGGTGGGGAGCAAGGTGGGGAGCAAGGTGGGGAGCAAGGTGGGGAGCAAGGTGGGAGCAATGGTGGGGAGCAAGGTGGGGAGCAAGGGTGGGGAGCAAGGTGGGGAGCAAGGTGGGGAGCAAGGTGGGGAGCAAGGTGGGGAGCAAGGTGGGGAGCAAGGTGGGGAGCAAGGTGGGAGCAAGGTGGGGAGACAAGGTGGGGAGCAAGGTGGGGAAGCAAAGGTGTGGGAGCAAGGTGGGGAGCAAGGTGGGGAGCAAGGTGGGGAGCAAGGTGGGGAGCAAGGTGGGGAGCAAGGTGGGGAGCAAGGTGGGGAGCAAGGTGGGGAGCAAGGTGGGGAGCAAGGTGGGAGCAAGGTGGGAGCAGGGTGGGAAGCCAAGGTGGGGAGCAAGGTGGGGAGCAAGGTGGGGAGCAAGGTGGGGAGCAAGGTGGGGAGCAAGGTGGGGAGCAAGGTGGGGGAGCAAGGTGGGGAGCAAGGTGGGAGCAAGGTGGGGAGCAAGGTGGGGAGCAAGGTGGGGAGCAAGGTGGGGAGCAAGGTGGGGAGCAAGGGGGGGAGCAAGGTGGGGAGCAAGGTGGGGAGCAAGGTGGGGAGCAAGGTGGGGAGCAAGGTGGGGAGCAAGGTGGGGAGCAAGGTGGGGAGCAAGGTGGGGAGCAAGGTGGGGAGCAAGGTGGGGAGCAAGGTGGGGAGCAAGGTGGGAGCAAGGGGGAGCAAGGTGGGGAGCAAGGTGGGGAGCAAGGTGGGGAGCAAGGTGGGGAGCAAGGTGGGGAGCAAGGTGGGGAGCAAGGTGGGGAGCAAGGTGGGGAGCAAGGTGGGGAGCAAGGTGGGGAGCAAGGTGGGGAGCAGGATGGGGAGCAAGGTGGGGAGCAAGGTGGGGAGCAAGGTGGGGAGCAAGGTGGGGAGCAAGGTGGGGAGCAAGGTGGGAGCAAGGTGGGGAGCAAGGTGGGGAGCAAGGTGGGGAGCAAGGTGGGGAGCAAGGTGGGGAGCAAGGTGGGGAGCAAGGTGGGGAGCAAGGTGGGAGAGCAAGGTGGGGAGCAAGGTGGGGAGCAAGGTGGGGAGCAAGGTGGGGAGCAAGGTGGGGAGCAAGGTGGGGAGCAAGGTGGGGAGCAAGGTGGGGAGCAAGGTGGGGAGCAAGGTGGGGAGCAAGGTGGGGAGCAAGGTGGGGAGCAAGGTGGGGAGCAAGGTGGGGAGCAAGGTGGGGAGCAAGGTGGGGAGCAAGGTGGGGAGCAAGGTGGGGAGCAAGGTGGGGAGCAAGGTGGGGAGCAAGGTGGGGAGCAAGGTGGGGAGCAAGGTGGGGAGCAAGGTGGGGAGCAAGGTGGGGAGCAAGGTGGGGAGCAAGGTGGGGAGCAAGGTGGGGAGCAAGGTGGGGAGCAAGGTGGGGAGCAAGGTGGGGAGCAAGGTGGGGAGCAAGGTGGGGAGCAAGGTGGGGAGCAAGGTGGGGAGCAAGGTGGGGAGCAAGGTGGGGAGCAAGGTGGGGAGCAAGGTGGGGAGCAAGGTGGGGAGCAAGGTGGGGAGCAAGGTGGGGAGCAAGGTGGGGAGCAAGGTGGGGAGCAAGGTGGGGAGCAAGGTGGGGAGGCAAGGTGGGGAGCAAGGTGGGAGCAAGTGGTGAGCAGTGGGGAGCAAGGTGGGGAGCAAGGTGGGGAGCAAGGTGGGGAGCAAGGTGGGGAGCAAGGTGGGGAGCAAGGTGGGGAGCAAGGTGGGGAGCAAGGTGGGGAGCAAGGTGGGGAGCAAGGTGGGGAGCAAGGTGGGGAGCAGGTGGGGAGCAAGGTGGGGAGCAAGGTGGGGAGCAAGGTGGGGAGCAAGGTGGGGAGCAAGGTGGGGAGCAAGGTGGGGAGCAAGGTGGGGAGCAAGGTGGGGGCCAGGTGGGGAGCAAGGTGGGGAGCAATGGTGGGGAGCAAGGTGGGGAGCAAGGTGGGGAGCAAGGTGGGGAGCAAGGTGGGGAGCAAGGTGGGGAGCAAGGTGGGGAGCAAGTGGGGAGCAAGGTGGGGAGCAAGGTGGGGAGCAAGGTGGGAGCAAGGTGGGGAGCAAGGTGGGGAGCAAGGTGGGGAGCAAGGTGGGGAAGCAAGGTGGGGAGCAAGGTGGGGAGCAAGGTGGGGAGCAAGCAAGGTGGGGAGCAAGGTGGGGAGCAAGGTGGGGAGCAAGGTGGGGAGCAAGGTGGGGAGCAAGGTGGGGAGCAAGGTGGGGAGCAAGGTGGGGAGCAAGGTGGGGAGCAAGGTGGGGAGCAAGGTGGGGAGCAAGGTGGGGAGCAAGGTGGGGAGCAAGGTGGGGAGCAAGGTGGGGAGCAAGGTGGGGAGCAAGGTGGGGAGCAAGGTGGGGAGCAAGGTGGGGAGCAAGGTGGGGAGCAAGGTGGGGAGCAAGGTGGGGAGCAAGGTGGGGAGCAAGGTGGGGAGCAAGGTGGGGAGCAAGGTGGGGAGCAAGGTGGGGAGCAAGGTGGGGAGCAAGGTGGGGAGCAAGGTGGGGAGCAAGGTGGGGAGCAAGGTGGGGAGCAAGGTGGGGAGCAAGGTGGGGAGCAAGGTGGGGAGCAAGGTGGGGAGCAAGGTGGGGAGCAAGGTGGGGAGCAAGGTGGGGAGCAAGGTGGGGAGCAAGGTGGGGAGCAAGGTGGGGAGCAAGGTGGGGAGCAAGGTGGGGAGCAAGGTGGGGAGCAAGGTGGGGAGCAAGGTGGGGAGCAAGGTGGGGAGCAAGGTGGGGAGCAAGGTGGGGAGCAAGGTGGGGAGCAAGGTGGGGAGCAAGGTGGGGAGCAAGGTGGGGAGCAAGGTGGGGAGCAAGGTGGGGAGCAAGGTGGGGAGCAAGGTGGGGAGCAAGGTGGGGAGCAAGGTGGGGAGCAAGGTGGGGAGCAAGGTGGGGAGCAAGGTGGGGAGCAAGGTGGGGAGCAAGGTGGGGAGCAAGGTGGGGAGCAAGGTGGGGAGCAAGGTGGGGAGCAAGGTGGGGAGCAAGGTGGGGAGCAAGGTGGGGAGCAAGGTGGGGAGCAAGGTGGGGAGCAAGGTGGGGAGCAAGGTGGGGAGCAAGGTGGGGAGCAAGGTGGGGAGCAAGGTGGGGAGCAAGGTGGGGAGCAAGGTGGGGAGCAAGGTGGGGAGCAAGGTGGGGAGCAAGGTGGGGAGCAAGGTGGGGAGCAAGGTGGGGAGCAAGGTGGGGGAGCAAGGTGGGGAGCAAGGTGGGGAGCAAGGTGGGGAGCAAGGTGGGGAGCAAGGTGGGAGCAAGGTGGGGAGCAAGGTGGGGAGCAAGGTGGGGAGCAAGGTGGGGAGCAAGGTGGGGAGCAAGGTGGGGAGCAAGGTGGGGAGCAAGGTGGGGAGCAAGGTGGGGAGCAAGGTGGGGAGCAAGGTGGGAGCAAGGTGGGGAGCAAGGTGGGGAGCAAGGTGGGGAGCAAGGTGGGGAGCAAGGTGGGGAGGCAAGGTGAGGGAGCAAGGTGGGGAGCAAGGTGGGGAGCAAGGTGGGGAGCAAGGTGGGGAGCAAGGTCGTGGGAGCAAGGTGGGGAGCAAGGTGGGGAGCAAGGTGGGGAGCAAGGTGGGGAGCAAGGTGGGGAGCAAGGTGGGGAGCAAGGTGGGGAGCAAGGTGGGGAGCAAGGTGGGGAGCAAGGTGGGGAGCAAGGTGGGGAGCAAGTGTGGGGAGCAAGGTGGGAGCAAGGGTGGGAGCAAGGTGGGGAGCAAGGTGGGGAGCAAGGTGGGGAGCAAGGTGGGGAGCAAGGTGGGGAGCAAGGTGGGAGCAAGGTGGGGGAGCAAGGTGGGGAGCAAGGTGGGGAGCAAGGTGGGAGCAAGGTGGGGAGCAAGGTGGGAGCAAGGTGGGGAGCAAGTGGGGAGCAAGGTGGGGAGCAAGGTGGGGAGCAAGGTGGGGAGCAAGGTGGGGAGCAAGGTGGGGAGCAAGGTGGGGAGCAAGGTGGGGAGCAAGGTGGGGAGCAAGGTGGGGAGCAAGGTGGGGAGCAAGGTGGGGAGCCAGGTTGGGGAGCAAGGTGGGGAGCAAGGTGGGGAGCAAGGTGGGGAGCAAGGTGGGGAGCAAGGTGGGGAGCAAGGTGGGGAGCAAGGTGGGGAGCAAGGTGGGGAGCAAGGTGGGGAGCATGGTGGGAGCAAGGTGGGGAGCAAGGTGGGGAGCAAGGTGGGGAGCAAGGTGGGGAGCAAGGTGGGGAGCAAGGTGGGGAGCAAGGTGGGGAGCAAGGTGGGGAGCAAGTGGGGAGCAAGGTGGGGAGCAAGGTGGGGAGCAAGGTGGGGAGCAAGGTGGGGAGCAAGGTGTGGGAGCAAGGTGGGGAGCAAGTTGGGGCGCAGGTGGGGAGCAAGGTGGGGAGCAAGGTGGGGAGCAAGGTGGGAGCAAGGTGGGGAGCAAGGTGGGGAGCAAGGTGGGGAGCAAGGTGGGGAGCAAGGGTGGGGAGCAAGGTGGGAGCAAGGTGGGAGCAAGGTGGGGAGCAAGGTGGGGAGCAAGGTGGGGAGCAAGGTGGGAGCAAGGTGAGGGAGCAAGGTGGGAGCAAGGTGGGGAGCAAGGTGGGGAGCAAGGTGGGGAGCAAGGTGGGGAGCAAGGTGGGGAGCAAGGTGGGAGCAAGGTGGGGAGCAAGGTGGGGCGCAAGGTGGGGAGCAAGGTGGGGAGCAAGGTGGGGAGCAAGGTGGGGAGCAAGGTGGGGAGCAAGGTGGGGAGCAAGGTGGTAGCAAGGTGGGAGCAAGGTGGGGAGCAAGGTGGGGAGCAAGGTGGGGAGCAAGGTGGGGAGCAAGGTGGGGAGCAAGGTGGGGAGCAAGGTGGGGAAGCAAGGTGGGGAGCAAGGTGGGGCCAGGTGGTAGCAAGGTGGGGAGCAAGGTGGGAGCAAGGTGGGTAGCAAGGTGGGGAGCAAGGTGGGGAGCAGGTGGGGAGCAAGGTGGGGAGCAAGGTGGGGAGCAAGGTGGGGAGCAAGGTGGGGAGCAAGGTGGGGAGCAAGGTGGGGAGCAAGGTGGGGAAGCAAGGTGGGGAGCAAGGTGGGGAGCAAGGTGGGGAGCAAGGTGGGGAGGCAAGGTGGGGAGCAAGGTGGGGAGCAAGGTGGGGAGCAAGGTGGGGAGCAAGGTGGGAGCAAGGTGGGGAGCAAGGTGGGGAGCAAGGTGGGGAGCAAGGTGGGGAGCAAGGTGGGGAGCAAGGTGGGGAGCAAGGTGGGGAGCAAGGTGGGGAGCAAGGTGGGGAGCAAGGTGGGGAGCAAGGTGGGGAGCAAGGTGGGGAGCAAGGTGGGGAGCAAGGTGGGGAGCAAGGTGGGGAGCAAGGTGGGGAGCAAGGTGGGGAGCAAGGTGGGGAGCAAGGTGGGGAGCAAGGTGGGGAGCAAGGTGGGGAGCAAGGTGGGGAGCAAGGTGGGGAGCAAGGTGGGGAGCAAGGTGGGGAGCAAGGTGGGGAGCAAGGTGGGGAGCAAGGTGGGGAGCAAGGTGGGGAGCAAGGTGGGGAGCAAGGTGGGGAGCAAGGTGGGGAGCAAGGTGGGGAGCAAGGTGGGGAGCAAGGTGGGGAGCAAGGTGGGGAGCAAGGTGGGGAGCAAGGTGGGGAGCAAGGTGGGGAGCAAGGTGGGGAGCAAGGTGGGGAGCAAGGTGGGGAGCAAGGTGGGGAGCAAGGTGGGGAGCAAGGTGGGGAGCAAGGTGGGGAGCAAGGTGGGGAGCAAGGTGGGGAGCAAGGTGGGGAGCAAGGTGGGGAGCAAGGTGGGGAGCAAGGTGGGGAGCAAGGTGGGGAGCAAGGTGGGGAGCAAGGTGGGGAGCAAGGTGGGGAGCAAGGTGGGGAGCAAGGTGGGGAGCAAGGTGGGGAGCAAGGTGGGGAGCAAGGTGGGGAGCAAGGTGGGGAGCAAGGTGGGGAGCAAGGTGGGGAGCAAGGTGGGGAGCAAGGTGGGGAGCAAGGTGGGGAGCAAGGTGGGGAGCAAGGTGGGGAGCAAGGTGGGGAGCAAGGTGGGGAGCAAGGTGGGGAGCAAGGTGGGGAGCAAGGTGGGGAGCAAGGTGGGGAGCAAGGTGGGGAGCAAGGTGGGGAGCAAGGTGGGGAGCAAGGTGGGGAGCAAGGTGGGGAGCAAGGTGGGGAGCAAGGTGGGGAGCAAGGTGGGGAGCAAGGTGGGGAGCAAGGTGGGGAGCAAGGTGGGGAGCAAGGTGGGGAGCAAGGTGGGGAGCAAGGTGGGGAGCAAGGTGGGGAGCAAGGTGGGGAGCAAGGTGGGGAGCAAGGTGGGGAGCAAGGTGGGGAGCAAGGTGGGGAGCAAGGTGGGGAGCAAGGTGGGGAGCAAGGTGGGGAGCAAGGTGGGGAGCAAGGTGGGGAGCAAGGTGGGGAGCAAGGTGGGGAGCAAGGTGGGGAGCAAGGTGGGGAGCAAGGTGGGGAGCAAGGTGGGGAGCAAGGTGGGGAGCAAGGTGGGGAGCAAGGTGGGGAGCAAGGTGGGGAGCAAGGTGGGGAGCAAGGTGGGGAGCAAGGTGGGGAGCAAGGTGGGGAGCAAGGTGGGGAGCAAGGTGGGGAGCAAGGTGGGGAGCAAGGTGGGGAGCAAGGTGGGGAGCAAGGTGGGGAGCAAGGTGGGGAGCAAGGTGGGGAGCAAGGTGGGGAGCAAGGTGGGGAGCAAGGTGGGGAGCAAGGTGGGGAGCAAGGTGGGGAGCAAGGTGGGGAGCAAGGTGGGGAGCAAGGTGGGGAGCAAGGTGGGGAGCAAGGTGGGGAGCAAGGTGGGGAGCAAGGTGGGGAGCAAGGTGGGGAGCAAGGTGGGGAGCAAGGTGGGGAGCAAGGTGGGGAGCAAGGTGGGGAGCAAGGTGGGGAGCAAGGTGGGGAGCAAGGTGGGGAGCAAGGTGGGGAGCAAGGTGGGGAGCAAGGTGGGGAGCAAGGTGGGGAGCAAGGTGGGGAGCAAGGTGGGGAGCAAGGTGGGGAGCAAGGTGGGGAGCAAGGTGGGGAGCAAGGTGGGGAGCAAGGTGGGGAGCAAGGTGGGGAGCAAGGTGGGGAGCAAGGTGGGGAGCAAGGTGGGGAGCAAGGTGGGGAGCAAGGTGGGGAGCAAGGTGGGGAGCAAGGTGGGGAGCAAGGTGGGGAGCAAGGTGGGGAGCAAGGTGGGGAGCAAGGTGGGGAGCAAGGTGGGGAGCAAGGTGGGGAGCAAGGTGGGGAGCAAGGTGGGGAGCAAGGTGGGGAGCAAGGTGGGGAGCAAGGTGGGGAGCAAGGTGGGGAGCAAGGTGGGGAGCAAGGTGGGGAGCAAGGTGGGGAGCAAGGTGGGGAGCAAGGTGGGGAGCAAGGTGGGGAGCAAGGTGGGGAGCAAGGTGGGGAGCAAGGTGGGGAGCAAGGTGGGGAGCAAGGTGGGGAGCAAGGTGGGGAGCAAGGTGGGGAGCAAGGTGGGGAGCAAGGTGGGGAGCAAGGTGGGGAGCAAGGTGGGGAGCAAGGTGGGGAGCAAGGTGGGGAGCAAGGTGGGGAGCAAGGTGGGGAGCAAGGTGGGGAGCAAGGTGGGGAGCAAGGTGGGGAGCAAGGTGGGGAGCAAGGTGGGGAGCAAGGTGGGGAGCAAGGTGGGGAGCAAGGTGGGGAGCAAGGTGGGGAGCAAGGTGGGGAGCAAGGTGGGGAGCAAGGTGGGGAGCAAGGTGGGGAGCAAGGTGGGGAGCAAGGTGGGGAGCAAGGTGGGGAGCAAGGTGGGGAGCAAGGTGGGGAGCAAGGTGGGGAGCAAGGTGGGGAGCAAGGTGGGGAGCAAGGTGGGGAGCAAGGTGGGGAGCAAGGTGGGGAGCAAGGTGGGGAGCAAGGTGGGGAGCAAGGTGGGGAGCAAGGTGGGGAGCAAGGTGGGGAGCAAGGTGGGGAGCAAGGTGGGGAGCAAGGTGGGGAGCAAGGTGGGGAGCAAGGTGGGGAGCAAGGTGGGGAGCAAGGTGGGGAGCAAGGTGGGGAGCAAGGTGGGGAGCAAGGTGGGGAGCAAGGTGGGGAGCAAGGTGGGGAGCAAGGTGGGGAGCAAGGTGGGGAGCAAGGTGGGGAGCAAGGTGGGGAGCAAGGTGGGGAGCAAGGTGGGGAGCAAGGTGGGGAGCAAGGTGGGGAGCAAGGTGGGGAGCAAGGTGGGGAGCAAGGTGGGGAGCAAGGTGGGGAGCAAGGTGGGGAGCAAGGTGGGGAGCAAGGTGGGGAGCAAGGTGGGGAGCAAGGTGGGGAGCAAGGTGGGGAGCAAGGTGGGGAGCAAGGTGGGGAGCAAGGTGGGGAGCAAGGTGGGGAGCAAGGTGGGGAGCAAGGTGGGGAGCAAGGTGGGGAGCAAGGTGGGGAGCAAGGTGGGGAGCAAGGTGGGGAGCAAGGTGGGGAGCAAGGTGGGGAGCAAGGTGGGGAGCAAGGTGGGGAGCAAGGTGGGGAGCAAGGTGGGGAGCAAGGTGGGGAGCAAGGTGGGGAGCAAGGTGGGGAGCAAGGTGGGGAGCAAGGTGGGGAGCAAGGTGGGGAGCAAGGTGGGGAGCAAGGTGGGGAGCAAGGTGGGGAGCAAGGTGGGGAGCAAGGTGGGGAGCAAGGTGGGGAGCAAGGTGGGGAGCAAGGTGGGGAGCAAGGTGGGGAGCAAGGTGGGGAGCAAGGTGGGGAGCAAGGTGGGGAGCAAGGTGGGGAGCAAGGTGGGGAGCAAGGTGGGGAGCAAGGTGGGGAGCAAGGTGGGGAGCAAGGTGGGGAGCAAGGTGGGGAGCAAGGTGGGGAGCAAGGTGGGGAGCAAGGTGGGGAGCAAGGTGGGGAGCAAGGTGGGGAGCAAGGTGGGGAGCAAGGTGGGGAGCAAGGTGGGGAGCAAGGTGGGGAGCAAGGTGGGGAGCAAGGTGGGGAGCAAGGTGGGGAGCAAGGTGGGGAGCAAGGTGGGGAGCAAGGTGGGGAGCAAGGTGGGGAGCAAGGTGGGGAGCAAGGTGGGGAGCAAGGTGGGGAGCAAGGTGGGGAGCAAGGTGGGGAGCAAGGTGGGGAGCAAGGTGGGGAGCAAGGTGGGGAGCAAGGTGGGGAGCAAGGTGGGGAGCAAGGTGGGGAGCAAGGTGGGGAGCAAGGTGGGGAGCAAGGTGGGGAGCAAGGTGGGGAGCAAGGTGGGGAGCAAGGTGGGGAGCAAGGTGGGGAGCAAGGTGGGGAGCAAGGTGGGGAGCAAGGTGGGGAGCAAGGTGGGGAGCAAGGTGGGGAGCAAGGTGGGGAGCAAGGTGGGGAGCAAGGTGGGGAGCAAGGTGGGGAGCAAGGTGGGGAGCAAGGTGGGGAGCAAGGTGGGGAGCAAGGTGGGGAGCAAGGTGGGGAGCAAGGTGGGGAGCAAGGTGGGGAGCAAGGTGGGGAGCAAGGTGGGGAGCAAGGTGGGGAGCAAGGTGGGGAGCAAGGTGGGGAGCAAGGTGGGGAGCAAGGTGGGGAGCAAGGTGGGGAGCAAGGTGGGGAGCAAGGTGGGGAGCAAGGTGGGGAGCAAGGTGGGGAGCAAGGTGGGGAGCAAGGTGGGGAGCAAGGTGGGGAGCAAGGTGGGGAGCAAGGTGGGGAGCAAGGTGGGGAGCAAGGTGGGGAGCAAGGTGGGGAGCAAGGTGGGGAGCAAGGTGGGGAGCAAGGTGGGGAGCAAGGTGGGGAGCAAGGTGGGGAGCAAGGTGGGGAGCAAGGTGGGGAGCAAGGTGGGGAGCAAGGTGGGGAGCAAGGTGGGGAGCAAGGTGGGGAGCAAGGTGGGGAGCAAGGTGGGGAGCAAGGTGGGGAGCAAGGTGGGGAGCAAGGTGGGGAGCAAGGTGGGGAGCAAGGTGGGGAGCAAGGTGGGGAGCAAGGTGGGGAGCAAGGTGGGGAGCAAGGTGGGGAGCAAGGTGGGGAGCAAGGTGGGGAGCAAGGTGGGGAGCAAGGTGGGGAGCAAGGTGGGGAGCAAGGTGGGGAGCAAGGTGGGGAGCAAGGTGGGGAGCAAGGTGGGGAGCAAGGTGGGGAGCAAGGTGGGGAGCAAGGTGGGGAGCAAGGTGGGGAGCAAGGTGGGGAGCAAGGTGGGGAGCAAGGTGGGGAGCAAGGTGGGGAGCAAGGTGGGGAGCAAGGTGGGGAGCAAGGTGGGGAGCAAGGTGGGGAGCAAGGTGGGGAGCAAGGTGGGGAGCAAGGTGGGGAGCAAGGTGGGGAGCAAGGTGGGGAGCAAGGTGGGGAGCAAGGTGGGGAGCAAGGTGGGGAGCAAGGTGGGGAGCAAGGTGGGGAGCAAGGTGGGGAGCAAGGTGGGGAGCAAGGTGGGGAGCAAGGTGGGGAGCAAGGTGGGGAGCAAGGTGGGGAGCAAGGTGGGGAGCAAGGTGGGGAGCAAGGTGGGGAGCAAGGTGGGGAGCAAGGTGGGGAGCAAGGTGGGGAGCAAGGTGGGGAGCAAGGTGGGGAGCAAGGTGGGGAGCAAGGTGGGGAGCAAGGTGGGGAGCAAGGTGGGGAGCAAGGTGGGGAGCAAGGTGGGGAGCAAGGTGGGGAGCAAGGTGGGGAGCAAGGTGGGGAGCAAGGTGGGGAGCAAGGTGGGGAGCAAGGTGGGGAGCAAGGTGGGGAGCAAGGTGGGGAGCAAGGTGGGGAGCAAGGTGGGGAGCAAGGTGGGGAGCAAGGTGGGGAGCAAGGTGGGGAGCAAGGTGGGGAGCAAGGTGGGGAGCAAGGTGGGGAGCAAGGTGGGGAGCAAGGTGGGGAGCAAGGTGGGGAGCAAGGTGGGGAGCAAGGTGGGGAGCAAGGTGGGGAGCAAGGTGGGGAGCAAGGTGGGGAGCAAGGTGGGGAGCAAGGTGGGGAGCAAGGTGGGGAGCAAGGTGGGGAGCAAGGTGGGGAGCAAGGTGGGGAGCAAGGTGGGGAGCAAGGTGGGGAGCAAGGTGGGGAGCAAGGTGGGGAGCAAGGTGGGGAGCAAGGTGGGGAGCAAGGTGGGGAGCAAGGTGGGGAGCAAGGTGGGGAGCAAGGTGGGGAGCAAGGTGGGGAGCAAGGTGGGGAGCAAGGTGGGGAGCAAGGTGGGGAGCAAGGTGGGGAGCAAGGTGGGGAGCAAGGTGGGGAGCAAGGTGGGGAGCAAGGTGGGGAGCAAGGTGGGGAGCAAGGTGGGGAGCAAGGTGGGGAGCAAGGTGGGGAGCAAGGTGGGGAGCAAGGTGGGGAGCAAGGTGGGGAGCAAGGTGGGGAGCAAGGTGGGGAGCAAGGTGGGGAGCAAGGTGGGGAGCAAGGTGGGGAGCAAGGTGGGGAGCAAGGTGGGGAGCAAGGTGGGGAGCAAGGTGGGGAGCAAGGTGGGGAGCAAGGTGGGGAGCAAGGTGGGGAGCAAGGTGGGGAGCAAGGTGGGGAGCAAGGTGGGGAGCAAGGTGGGGAGCAAGGTGGGGAGCAAGGTGGGGAGCAAGGTGGGGAGCAAGGTGGGGAGCAAGGTGGGGAGCAAGGTGGGGAGCAAGGTGGGGAGCAAGGTGGGGAGCAAGGTGGGGAGCAAGGTGGGGAGCAAGGTGGGGAGCAAGGTGGGGAGCAAGGTGGGGAGCAAGGTGGGGAGCAAGGTGGGGAGCAAGGTGGGGAGCAAGGTGGGGAGCAAGGTGGGGAGCAAGGTGGGGAGCAAGGTGGGGAGCAAGGTGGGGAGCAAGGTGGGGAGCAAGGTGGGGAGCAAGGTGGGGAGCAAGGTGGGGAGCAAGGTGGGGAGCAAGGTGGGGAGCAAGGTGGGGAGCAAGGTGGGGAGCAAGGTGGGGAGCAAGGTGGGGAGCAAGGTGGGGAGCAAGGTGGGGAGCAAGGTGGGGAGCAAGGTGGGGAGCAAGGTGGGGAGCAAGGTGGGGAGCAAGGTGGGGAGCAAGGTGGGGAGCAAGGTGGGGAGCAAGGTGGGGAGCAAGGTGGGGAGCAAGGTGGGGAGCAAGGTGGGGAGCAAGGTGGGGAGCAAGGTGGGGAGCAAGGTGGGGAGCAAGGTGGGGAGCAAGGTGGGGAGCAAGGTGGGGAGCAAGGTGGGGAGCAAGGTGGGGAGCAAGGTGGGGAGCAAGGTGGGGAGCAAGGTGGGGAGCAAGGTGGGGAGCAAGGTGGGGAGCAAGGTGGGGAGCAAGGTGGGGAGCAAGGTGGGGAGCAAGGTGGGGAGCAAGGTGGGGAGCAAGGTGGGGAGCAAGGTGGGGAGCAAGGTGGGGAGCAAGGTGGGGAGCAAGGTGGGGAGCAAGGTGGGGAGCAAGGTGGGGAGCAAGGTGGGGAGCAAGGTGGGGAGCAAGGTGGGGAGCAAGGTGGGGAGCAAGGTGGGGAGCAAGGTGGGGAGCAAGGTGGGGAGCAAGGTGGGGAGCAAGGTGGGGAGCAAGGTGGGGAGCAAGGTGGGGAGCAAGGTGGGGAGCAAGGTGGGGAGCAAGGTGGGGAGCAAGGTGGGGAGCAAGGTGGGGAGCAAGGTGGGGAGCAAGGTGGGGAGCAAGGTGGGGAGCAAGGTGGGGAGCAAGGTGGGGAGCAAGGTGGGGAGCAAGGTGGGGAGCAAGGTGGGGAGCAAGGTGGGGAGCAAGGTGGGGAGCAAGGTGGGGAGCAAGGTGGGGAGCAAGGTGGGGAGCAAGGTGGGGAGCAAGGTGGGGAGCAAGGTGGGGAGCAAGGTGGGGAGCAAGGTGGGGAGCAAGGTGGGGAGCAAGGTGGGGAGCAAGGTGGGGAGCAAGGTGGGGAGCAAGGTGGGGAGCAAGGTGGGGAGCAAGGTGGGGAGCAAGGTGGGGAGCAAGGTGGGGAGCAAGGTGGGGAGCAAGGTGGGGAGCAAGGTGGGGAGCAAGGTGGGGAGCAAGGTGGGGAGCAAGGTGGGGAGCAAGGTGGGGAGCAAGGTGGGGAGCAAGGTGGGGAGCAAGGTGGGGAGCAAGGTGGGGAGCAAGGTGGGGAGCAAGGTGGGGAGCAAGGTGGGGAGCAAGGTGGGGAGCAAGGTGGGGAGCAAGGTGGGGAGCAAGGTGGGGAGCAAGGTGGGGAGCAAGGTGGGGAGCAAGGTGGGGAGCAAGGTGGGGAGCAAGGTGGGGAGCAAGGTGGGGAGCAAGGTGGGGAGCAAGGTGGGGAGCAAGGTGGGGAGCAAGGTGGGGAGCAAGGTGGGGAGCAAGGTGGGGAGCAAGGTGGGGAGCAAGGTGGGGAGCAAGGTGGGGAGCAAGGTGGGGAGCAAGGTGGGGAGCAAGGTGGGGAGCAAGGTGGGGAGCAAGGTGGGGAGCAAGGTGGGGAGCAAGGTGGGGAGCAAGGTGGGGAGCAAGGTGGGGAGCAAGGTGGGGAGCAAGGTGGGGAGCAAGGTGGGGAGCAAGGTGGGGAGCAAGGTGGGGAGCAAGGTGGGGAGCAAGGTGGGGAGCAAGGTGGGGAGCAAGGTGGGGAGCAAGGTGGGGAGCAAGGTGGGGAGCAAGGTGGGGAGCAAGGTGGGGAGCAAGGTGGGGAGCAAGGTGGGGAGCAAGGTGGGGAGCAAGGTGGGGAGCAAGGTGGGGAGCAAGGTGGGGAGCAAGGTGGGGAGCAAGGTGGGGAGCAAGGTGGGGAGCAAGGTGGGGAGCAAGGTGGGGAGCAAGGTGGGGAGCAAGGTGGGGAGCAAGGTGGGGAGCAAGGTGGGGAGCAAGGTGGGGAGCAAGGTGGGGAGCAAGGTGGGGAGCAAGGTGGGGAGCAAGGTGGGGAGCAAGGTGGGGAGCAAGGTGGGGAGCAAGGTGGGGAGCAAGGTGGGGAGCAAGGTGGGGAGCAAGGTGGGGAGCAAGGTGGGGAGCAAGGTGGGGAGCAAGGTGGGGAGCAAGGTGGGGAGCAAGGTGGGGAGCAAGGTGGGGAGCAAGGTGGGGAGCAAGGTGGGGAGCAAGGTGGGGAGCAAGGTGGGGAGCAAGGTGGGGAGCAAGGTGGGGAGCAAGGTGGGGAGCAAGGTGGGGAGCAAGGTGGGGAGCAAGGTGGGGAGCAAGGTGGGGAGCAAGGTGGGGAGCAAGGTGGGGAGCAAGGTGGGGAGCAAGGTGGGGAGCAAGGTGGGGAGCAAGGTGGGGAGCAAGGTGGGGAGCAAGGTGGGGAGCAAGGTGGGGAGCAAGGTGGGGAGCAAGGTGGGGAGCAAGGTGGGGAGCAAGGTGGGGAGCAAGGTGGGGAGCAAGGTGGGGAGCAAGGTGGGGAGCAAGGTGGGGAGCAAGGTGGGGAGCAAGGTGGGGAGCAAGGTGGGGAGCAAGGTGGGGAGCAAGGTGGGGAGCAAGGTGGGGAGCAAGGTGGGGAGCAAGGTGGGGAGCAAGGTGGGGAGCAAGGTGGGGAGCAAGGTGGGGAGCAAGGTGGGGAGCAAGGTGGGGAGCAAGGTGGGGAGCAAGGTGGGGAGCAAGGTGGGGAGCAAGGTGGGGAGCAAGGTGGGGAGCAAGGTGGGGAGCAAGGTGGGGAGCAAGGTGGGGAGCAAGGTGGGGAGCAAGGTGGGGAGCAAGGTGGGGAGCAAGGTGGGGAGCAAGGTGGGGAGCAAGGTGGGGAGCAAGGTGGGGAGCAAGGTGGGGAGCAAGGTGGGGAGCAAGGTGGGGAGCAAGGTGGGGAGCAAGGTGGGGAGCAAGGTGGGGAGCAAGGTGGGGAGCAAGGTGGGGAGCAAGGTGGGGAGCAAGGTGGGGAGCAAGGTGGGGAGCAAGGTGGGGAGCAAGGTGGGGAGCAAGGTGGGGAGCAAGGTGGGGAGCAAGGTGGGGAGCAAGGTGGGGAGCAAGGTGGGGAGCAAGGTGGGGAGCAAGGTGGGGAGCAAGGTGGGGAGCAAGGTGGGGAGCAAGGTGGGGAGCAAGGTGGGGAGCAAGGTGGGGAGCAAGGTGGGGAGCAAGGTGGGGAGCAAGGTGGGGAGCAAGGTGGGGAGCAAGGTGGGGAGCAAGGTGGGGAGCAAGGTGGGGAGCAAGGTGGGGAGCAAGGTGGGGAGCAAGGTGGGGAGCAAGGTGGGGAGCAAGGTGGGGAGCAAGGTGGGGAGCAAGGTGGGGAGCAAGGTGGGGAGCAAGGTGGGGAGCAAGGTGGGGAGCAAGGTGGGGAGCAAGGTGGGGAGCAAGGTGGGGAGCAAGGTGGGGAGCAAGGTGGGGAGCAAGGTGGGGAGCAAGGTGGGGAGCAAGGTGGGGAGCAAGGTGGGGAGCAAGGTGGGGAGCAAGGTGGGGAGCAAGGTGGGGAGCAAGGTGGGGAGCAAGGTGGGGAGCAAGGTGGGGAGCAAGGTGGGGAGCAAGGTGGGGAGCAAGGTGGGGAGCAAGGTGGGGAGCAAGGTGGGGAGCAAGGTGGGGAGCAAGGTGGGGAGCAAGGTGGGGAGCAAGGTGGGGAGCAAGGTGGGGAGCAAGGTGGGGAGCAAGGTGGGGAGCAAGGTGGGGAGCAAGGTGGGGAGCAAGGTGGGGAGCAAGGTGGGGAGCAAGGTGGGGAGCAAGGTGGGGAGCAAGGTGGGGAGCAAGGTGGGGAGCAAGGTGGGGAGCAAGGTGGGGAGCAAGGTGGGGAGCAAGGTGGGGAGCAAGGTGGGGAGCAAGGTGGGGAGCAAGGTGGGGAGCAAGGTGGGGAGCAAGGTGGGGAGCAAGGTGGGGAGCAAGGTGGGGAGCAAGGTGGGGAGCAAGGTGGGGAGCAAGGTGGGGAGCAAGGTGGGGAGCAAGGTGGGGAGCAAGGTGGGGAGCAAGGTGGGGAGCAAGGTGGGGAGCAAGGTGGGGAGCAAGGTGGGGAGCAAGGTGGGGAGCAAGGTGGGGAGCAAGGTGGGGAGCAAGGTGGGGAGCAAGGTGGGGAGCAAGGTGGGGAGCAAGGTGGGGAGCAAGGTGGGGAGCAAGGTGGGGAGCAAGGTGGGGAGCAAGGTGGGGAGCAAGGTGGGGAGCAAGGTGGGGAGCAAGGTGGGGAGCAAGGTGGGGAGCAAGGTGGGGAGCAAGGTGGGGAGCAAGGTGGGGAGCAAGGTGGGGAGCAAGGTGGGGAGCAAGGTGGGGAGCAAGGTGGGGAGCAAGGTGGGGAGCAAGGTGGGGAGCAAGGTGGGGAGCAAGGTGGGGAGCAAGGTGGGGAGCAAGGTGGGGAGCAAGGTGGGGAGCAAGGTGGGGAGCAAGGTGGGGAGCAAGGTGGGGAGCAAGGTGGGGAGCAAGGTGGGGAGCAAGGTGGGGAGCAAGGTGGGGAGCAAGGTGGGGAGCAAGGTGGGGAGCAAGGTGGGGAGCAAGGTGGGGAGCAAGGTGGGGAGCAAGGTGGGGAGCAAGGTGGGGAGCAAGGTGGGGAGCAAGGTGGGGAGCAAGGTGGGGAGCAAGGTGGGGAGCAAGGTGGGGAGCAAGGTGGGGAGCAAGGTGGGGAGCAAGGTGGGGAGCAAGGTGGGGAGCAAGGTGGGGAGCAAGGTGGGGAGCAAGGTGGGGAGCAAGGTGGGGAGCAAGGTGGGGAGCAAGGTGGGGAGCAAGGTGGGGAGCAAGGTGGGGAGCAAGGTGGGGAGCAAGGTGGGGAGCAAGGTGGGGAGCAAGGTGGGGAGCAAGGTGGGGAGCAAGGTGGGGAGCAAGGTGGGGAGCAAGGTGGGGAGCAAGGTGGGGAGCAAGGTGGGGAGCAAGGTGGGGAGCAAGGTGGGGAGCAAGGTGGGGAGCAAGGTGGGGAGCAAGGTGGGGAGCAAGGTGGGGAGCAAGGTGGGGAGCAAGGTGGGGAGCAAGGTGGGGAGCAAGGTGGGGAGCAAGGTGGGGAGCAAGGTGGGGAGCAAGGTGGGGAGCAAGGTGGGGAGCAAGGTGGGGAGCAAGGTGGGGAGCAAGGTGGGGAGCAAGGTGGGGAGCAAGGTGGGGAGCAAGGTGGGGAGCAAGGTGGGGAGCAAGGTGGGGAGCAAGGTGGGGAGCAAGGTGGGGAGCAAGGTGGGGAGCAAGGTGGGGAGCAAGGTGGGGAGCAAGGTGGGGAGCAAGGTGGGGAGCAAGGTGGGGAGCAAGGTGGGGAGCAAGGTGGGGAGCAAGGTGGGGAGCAAGGTGGGGAGCAAGGTGGGGAGCAAGGTGGGGAGCAAGGTGGGGAGCAAGGTGGGGAGCAAGGTGGGGAGCAAGGTGGGGAGCAAGGTGGGGAGCAAGGTGGGGAGCAAGGTGGGGAGCAAGGTGGGGAGCAAGGTGGGGAGCAAGGTGGGGAGCAAGGTGGGGAGCAAGGTGGGGAGCAAGGTGGGGAGCAAGGTGGGGAGCAAGGTGGGGAGCAAGGTGGGGAGCAAGGTGGGGAGCAAGGTGGGGAGCAAGGTGGGGAGCAAGGTGGGGAGCAAGGTGGGGAGCAAGGTGGGGAGCAAGGTGGGGAGCAAGGTGGGGAGCAAGGTGGGGAGCAAGGTGGGGAGCAAGGTGGGGAGCAAGGTGGGGAGCAAGGTGGGGAGCAAGGTGGGGAGCAAGGTGGGGAGCAAGGTGGGGAGCAAGGTGGGGAGCAAGGTGGGGAGCAAGGTGGGGAGCAAGGTGGGGAGCAAGGTGGGGAGCAAGGTGGGGAGCAAGGTGGGGAGCAAGGTGGGGAGCAAGGTGGGGAGCAAGGTGGGGAGCAAGGTGGGGAGCAAGGTGGGGAGCAAGGTGGGGAGCAAGGTGGGGAGCAAGGTGGGGAGCAAGGTGGGGAGCAAGGTGGGGAGCAAGGTGGGGAGCAAGGTGGGGAGCAAGGTGGGGAGCAAGGTGGGGAGCAAGGTGGGGAGCAAGGTGGGGAGCAAGGTGGGGAGCAAGGTGGGGAGCAAGGTGGGGAGCAAGGTGGGGAGCAAGGTGGGGAGCAAGGTGGGGAGCAAGGTGGGGAGCAAGGTGGGGAGCAAGGTGGGGAGCAAGGTGGGGAGCAAGGTGGGGAGCAAGGTGGGGAGCAAGGTGGGGAGCAAGGTGGGGAGCAAGGTGGGGAGCAAGGTGGGGAGCAAGGTGGGGAGCAAGGTGGGGAGCAAGGTGGGGAGCAAGGTGGGGAGCAAGGTGGGGAGCAAGGTGGGGAGCAAGGTGGGGAGCAAGGTGGGGAGCAAGGTGGGGAGCAAGGTGGGGAGCAAGGTGGGGAGCAAGGTGGGGAGCAAGGTGGGGAGCAAGGTGGGGAGCAAGGTGGGGAGCAAGGTGGGGAGCAAGGTGGGGAGCAAGGTGGGGAGCAAGGTGGGGAGCAAGGTGGGGAGCAAGGTGGGGAGCAAGGTGGGGAGCAAGGTGGGGAGCAAGGTGGGGAGCAAGGTGGGGAGCAAGGTGGGGAGCAAGGTGGGGAGCAAGGTGGGGAGCAAGGTGGGGAGCAAGGTGGGGAGCAAGGTGGGGAGCAAGGTGGGGAGCAAGGTGGGGAGCAAGGTGGGGAGCAAGGTGGGGAGCAAGGTGGGGAGCAAGGTGGGGAGCAAGGTGGGGAGCAAGGTGGGGAGCAAGGTGGGGAGCAAGGTGGGGAGCAAGGTGGGGAGCAAGGTGGGGAGCAAGGTGGGGAGCAAGGTGGGGAGCAAGGTGGGGAGCAAGGTGGGGAGCAAGGTGGGGAGCAAGGTGGGGAGCAAGGTGGGGAGCAAGGTGGGGAGCAAGGTGGGGAGCAAGGTGGGGAGCAAGGTGGGGAGCAAGGTGGGGAGCAAGGTGGGGAGCAAGGTGGGGAGCAAGGTGGGGAGCAAGGTGGGGAGCAAGGTGGGGAGCAAGGTGGGGAGCAAGGTGGGGAGCAAGGTGGGGAGCAAGGTGGGGAGCAAGGTGGGGAGCAAGGTGGGGAGCAAGGTGGGGAGCAAGGTGGGGAGCAAGGTGGGGAGCAAGGTGGGGAGCAAGGTGGGGAGCAAGGTGGGGAGCAAGGTGGGGAGCAAGGTGGGGAGCAAGGTGGGGAGCAAGGTGGGGAGCAAGGTGGGGAGCAAGGTGGGGAGCAAGGTGGGGAGCAAGGTGGGGAGCAAGGTGGGGAGCAAGGTGGGGAGCAAGGTGGGGAGCAAGGTGGGGAGCAAGGTGGGGAGCAAGGTGGGGAGCAAGGTGGGGAGCAAGGTGGGGAGCAAGGTGGGGAGCAAGGTGGGGAGCAAGGTGGGGAGCAAGGTGGGGAGCAAGGTGGGGAGCAAGGTGGGGAGCAAGGTGGGGAGCAAGGTGGGGAGCAAGGTGGGGAGCAAGGTGGGGAGCAAGGTGGGGAGCAAGGTGGGGAGCAAGGTGGGGAGCAAGGTGGGGAGCAAGGTGGGGAGCAAGGTGGGGAGCAAGGTGGGGAGCAAGGTGGGGAGCAAGGTGGGGAGCAAGGTGGGGAGCAAGGTGGGGAGCAAGGTGGGGAGCAAGGTGGGGAGCAAGGTGGGGAGCAAGGTGGGGAGCAAGGTGGGGAGCAAGGTGGGGAGCAAGGTGGGGAGCAAGGTGGGGAGCAAGGTGGGGAGCAAGGTGGGGAGCAAGGTGGGGAGCAAGGTGGGGAGCAAGGTGGGGAGCAAGGTGGGGAGCAAGGTGGGGAGCAAGGTGGGGAGCAAGGTGGGGAGCAAGGTGGGGAGCAAGGTGGGGAGCAAGGTGGGGAGCAAGGTGGGGAGCAAGGTGGGGAGCAAGGTGGGGAGCAAGGTGGGGAGCAAGGTGGGGAGCAAGGTGGGGAGCAAGGTGGGGAGCAAGGTGGGGAGCAAGGTGGGGAGCAAGGTGGGGAGCAAGGTGGGGAGCAAGGTGGGGAGCAAGGTGGGGAGCAAGGTGGGGAGCAAGGTGGGGAGCAAGGTGGGGAGCAAGGTGGGGAGCAAGGTGGGGAGCAAGGTGGGGAGCAAGGTGGGGAGCAAGGTGGGGAGCAAGGTGGGGAGCAAGGTGGGGAGCAAGGTGGGGAGCAAGGTGGGGAGCAAGGTGGGGAGCAAGGTGGGGAGCAAGGTGGGGAGCAAGGTGGGGAGCAAGGTGGGGAGCAAGGTGGGGAGCAAGGTGGGGAGCAAGGTGGGGAGCAAGGTGGGGAGCAAGGTGGGGAGCAAGGTGGGGAGCAAGGTGGGGAGCAAGGTGGGGAGCAAGGTGGGGAGCAAGGTGGGGAGCAAGGTGGGGAGCAAGGTGGGGAGCAAGGTGGGGAGCAAGGTGGGGAGCAAGGTGGGGAGCAAGGTGGGGAGCAAGGTGGGGAGCAAGGTGGGGAGCAAGGTGGGGAGCAAGGTGGGGAGCAAGGTGGGGAGCAAGGTGGGGAGCAAGGTGGGGAGCAAGGTGGGGAGCAAGGTGGGGAGCAAGGTGGGGAGCAAGGTGGGGAGCAAGGTGGGGAGCAAGGTGGGGAGCAAGGTGGGGAGCAAGGTGGGGAGCAAGGTGGGGAGCAAGGTGGGGAGCAAGGTGGGGAGCAAGGTGGGGAGCAAGGTGGGGAGCAAGGTGGGGAGCAAGGTGGGGAGCAAGGTGGGGAGCAAGGTGGGGAGCAAGGTGGGGAGCAAGGTGGGGAGCAAGGTGGGGAGCAAGGTGGGGAGCAAGGTGGGGAGCAAGGTGGGGAGCAAGGTGGGGAGCAAGGTGGGGAGCAAGGTGGGGAGCAAGGTGGGGAGCAAGGTGGGGAGCAAGGTGGGGAGCAAGGTGGGGAGCAAGGTGGGGAGCAAGGTGGGGAGCAAGGTGGGGAGCAAGGTGGGGAGCAAGGTGGGGAGCAAGGTGGGGAGCAAGGTGGGGAGCAAGGTGGGGAGCAAGGTGGGGAGCAAGGTGGGGAGCAAGGTGGGGAGCAAGGTGGGGAGCAAGGTGGGGAGCAAGGTGGGGAGCAAGGTGGGGAGCAAGGTGGGGAGCAAGGTGGGGAGCAAGGTGGGGAGCAAGGTGGGGAGCAAGGTGGGGAGCAAGGTGGGGAGCAAGGTGGGGAGCAAGGTGGGGAGCAAGGTGGGGAGCAAGGTGGGGAGCAAGGTGGGGAGCAAGGTGGGGAGCAAGGTGGGGAGCAAGGTGGGGAGCAAGGTGGGGAGCAAGGTGGGGAGCAAGGTGGGGAGCAAGGTGGGGAGCAAGGTGGGGAGCAAGGTGGGGAGCAAGGGTGGGGAGCAAGGTGGGGAGCAAGGTGGGGAGCAAGGTGGGGAGCAAGGTGGGGAGCAAGGGTGGGGAGCAAGGTGGGGAGCAAGGTGGGAGCAAGGTGGGGAGCAAGGTGGGGAGCAAGGTGGGGAGCAAGGTGGGGAGCAAGGTGGGGAGCAAGGTGGGGAGCAAGGTGGGGAGCAAGGTGGGGAGCAAGGTGGGGAGCACGGTGGGGAGCAAGGTGGGGAGCAAGGTGGGGAGCAAGGTGGGGAGCAAGGTGGGGAGCAAGGTGGGAGCAAGGTGGGGAGCAAGGTGGGGAGCAAGGTGGGGAGCAAGGTTAGGAGTTGAGCAAGGTTGGGGAGCAAGGTGGGGAGCAAGGTGGGGAGCAAGGTGGGGAGCAAGGTGGGGATCAAGGTGGGGAGCAAGGTGGGGAGCAAGGTGGGGAGCAAGGTGGGAGCAAGGTGGGGAGCAAGGTGGGGAGCAAGGTGGGGAGCAAGGTGGGGAGCAAGGTGGGGAGCAAGGTGGGGAGCAAGGTGGGGAGCAAGGTGGGGAGCAAGGTGGGGAGCAAGGTGGGGAGCAAGGTGGGGAGCAAGGTGGGGAGCAAGGTGGGGAGCAAGGTGGGGAGCAAGGTGGGGAGCAAGGTGGGGAGCAAGGTGGGGAGCAAGGTGGGGAGCAAGGTGGGGAGCAAGGTGGGGAGCAAGGTGGGGAGCAAGGTGGGGAGCAAGGTGGGGAGCAAGGTGGGGAGCAAGGTGGGGAGCAAGGTGGGGAGCAAGGTGGGGAGCAAGGTGGGGAGCAAGGTGGGGAGCAAGGTGGGGAGCAAGGTGGGGAGCAAGGTGGGGAGCAAGGTGGGGAGCAAGGTGGGGAGCAAGGTGGGGAGCAAGGTGGGGAGCAAGGTGGGGAGCAAGGTGGGGAGCAAGGTGGGGAGCAAGGTGGGGAGCAAGGTGGGGAGCAAGGTGGGGAGCAAGGTGGGGAGCAAGGTGGGGAGCAAGGTGGGGAGCAAGGTGGGGAGCAAGGTGGGGAGCAAGGTGGGGAGCAAGGTGGGGAGCAAGGTGGGGAGCAAGGTGGGGAGCAAGGTGGGGAGCAAGGTGGGGAGCAAGGTGGGGAGCAAGGTGGGGAGCAAGGTGGGGAGCAAGGTGGGGAGCAAGGTGGGGAGCAAGGTGGGGAGCAAGGTGGGGAGCAAGGTGGGGAGCAAGGTGGGGAGCAAGGTGGGGAGCAAGGTGGGGAGCAAGGTGGGGAGCAAGGTGGGGAGCAAGGTGGGGAGCAAGGTGGGGAGCAAGGTGGGGAGCAAGGTGGGGAGCAAGGTGGGGAGCAAGGTGGGGAGCAAGGTGGGGAGCAAGGTGGGGAGCAAGGTGGGGAGCAAGGTGGGGAGCAAGGTGGGGAGCAAGGTGGGGAGCAAGGTGGGGAGCAAGGTGGGGAGCAAGGTGGGGAGCAAGGTGGGGAGCAAGGTGGGGAGCAAGGTGGGGAGCAAGGTGGGGAGCAAGGTGGGGAGGTGGGGCAAGGTGGGGTAGCAAGGTGGGGAGCAAGGTGGGGGAGCAAGGTGGGGAGCAAGGTGGGGAGCAAGGTGGGGAGCACGGGTGGGGAGCAAGGTGGGGAGCAAGGTGGGGAGCAAGGTGGGGAGCAAGGTGGGGAGCAAGGTGGGGAGCAAGGTGGGGAGCAAGGTGGGGAGCAAGGTGGGGGAGCAAGGTGGGGAGCAAGGTGGGGAGCAAGGTGGGGAGCAAGGTGGGGAGCAAGGTGGGGAGCAAGGTGGGGAGCAAGGTGGGGAGCAAGGTGGGGAGCAAGGTGGGGAGCAAGGTGGGGAGCAAGGTGGGGAGCAAGGTGGGGAGCAAGGTGGGAGCAAGGTGGGGAGCAAGGTGGGAGCAAGGTGGGGAGCAAGGTGGGAGCAAGGTGGGGAGCAAGGTGGGGAGCAAGGTGGGGAGCAAGGTGGGGAGCAAGGTTGGGGAGCAAGGTGGGGAGCAAGGTGGGGAGCAAGGTGGGGAGCAAGGTGGGGAGCAAGGTGGGGAGCAAGGTGGGGAGCAAGGTGGGGAGCAAGGTGGGGAGCAAGGTGGGGAGCAAGGTGGGGAGCAAGGTGGGGAGCAAGGTGGGGAGCAAGGTGGGGAGCAACGGTGGGGAGCAAGGTGGGGAGCAAGGTGGGGAGCAAGGTGGGGAGCAAGGTGGGGAGCAAGGTGGGGAGCAAGGTGGGGAGCAAGGTGGGGAGCAAGGTGGGGAGCAAGGTGGGGAGCAAGGTGGGGAGCAAGGTGGGGAGCAAGGTGGGGAGCAAGGTGGGGAGCAAGGTGGGGAGCAAGGTGGGGAGCAAGGTGGGAGCAAGGTGGGGAGCAAGGTGGGGAGCAAGGTGGGGAGCAAGGTGGGGAGCAAGGTGTGGGAGCAAGGTGAGGTGAGCAGGTGGGAGCAAGGGGGGAGCAAGGTGGGGAGCAAGGTGGGGAGCAAGGTGGGGAGCAAGGTGGGGAGCAAGGTGGGGAGCAAGGTGGGGAGCAAGGTTGGGAGCAAGGTGGGGAGCAAGGTGGGGAGCAAGGTGGGGAGCAAGGTGGGGAGCAAGGTGGGGAGCAAGGTGGGGAGCACATGTGGGGAGCAAGTGGGGAGCAAGGTGGGGAGCAAGGTGGGGAGCAAGGTGGCGGAGCAAGGTGGGGAGCAAGGTGGGAGCAAGGTGGGGAGCAAGGTGGGGAGCAAGGTTGCGGGAGCAAGGTGGGGAGCAAGGTGGGGAGCAAGGTGTGGGGAGCAAGGTGGGAGCAAGGTGTGGGGGGAGCACAGGTGCGGGAGCAAGGTGGGAGCAAGGTGGGGAGCAAGGTGGGGAGCAAGGTGGGGAGCAAGGTGGGGGAGCAAGTGGGGAGCAAGGTGGGGAGCAAGGTGGGGAGCAAGGTGGGGAGCAAGGTGGGGTAGCAAGGTGGGGAGCAAGGTGGGGAGCAAGGTGGGGAGCAAGGTGGGGAGCAAGGTGGGGAGGCAAGGTGGGGAGCAAGGTGGGGAGCAAGGTGGGGAGCAAGGTGGGGAGCAAGGTGGGGAGCAAGGTGGGGAGCAAGGTGGGGAGCAAGGTGGGGAGCAAGGTGGGGAGCCAAGGTGGGGAGCAAGGTGGGGAGCAATGTGGGGAGCAATGTGGGAGCAAGGTGGGGAGCAAGGTGGGGAGCAAGGTGGGGAGCAAGGTGGGGAGCAAGGTGGGGGAGCAGGTGGGGAGCAAGGTGGGGAGCAAGGTGGGGAGCAAGGTGGGGAGCAAGGTGGGGAGCAAGGTGGGGAGCAAGGTGGGGAGCAAGGTGGGGAGCAAGGTGGGGAGCAAGGTGGGGAGCAAGGTGGGGAGCAAGGTGGGGAGCAAGGTGGGGAGCAAGGTGGGGAGCAAGGTGGGGAGCAAGGTGGGGAGCAAGGTGGGGAGCAAGGTGGGGAGCAAGGTGGGGAGCAAGGTGGGGAGCAAGGTGGGAGCAAGGTGGGGAGCAAGGTGGAGCAGGTGGGAGCAAGGTGGGGAGCAAGGTGGGGAGCAAGGTGGGGAGCAAGGTGGGGAGCAAGGTGGGGAGCAAGGTGGGGAGCAAGGTGGGGAGCAAGGTGGGGAGCAAGGTGGGGAGCAAGGTGGGGAGCAAGGTGGGGAGCAAGGTGGGGAGCAAGGTGGGGAGCAAGGTGGGAGCAAGGTGGGGAGCAAGGTGGGGAGCAAGGTGGGGAGCAAGGTGGGGAGCAAGGTGGGGAGCAAGGTGGGGAGCAAGGTGGGGAGCAAGGTGGGGAGCAAGGTGGGGAGCAAGGTGGGGAGCAAGGTGGGGAGCAAGGTGGGGAGCAAGGTGGGGGCAAGGTGGGGAGCAAGGTGGGGAGCAAGGTGGGGAGCAAGGTGGGGAGCAAGGTGGGGAGCAAGGTGGGGAGCAAGGTGGGGAGCAAGGTGGGGAGCAAGGTGGGGAGCAAGGTGGGGAGCAAGGTGGGGAGCAAGGTGGGGAGCAAGGTGGGGAGCAAGGTGGGGAGCAAGGTGGGGAGCAAGGTGGGGAGCAAGGTGGGGAGCAAGGTGGGGAGCAAGGTGGGGAGCAAGGTGGGGAGCAAGGTGGGGAGCAAGGTGGGGAGCAAGGTGGGGAGCAAGGTGGGGAGCAAGGTGGGGAGCAAGGTGGGGAGCAAGGTGGGGAGCAAGGTGGGGAGCAAGGTGGGGAGCAAGGTGGGGAGCAAGGTGGGGAGCAAGGTGGGGAGCAAGGTGGGGAGCAAGGTGGGGAGCAAGGTGGGGAGCAAGGTGGGGAGCAAGGTGGGGAGCAAGGTGGGGAGCAAGGTGGGGAGCAAGGTGGGGAGCAAGGTGGGGAGCAAGGTGGGGAGCAAGGTGGGGAGCAAGGTGGGGAGCAAGGTGGGGAGCAAGGTGGGGAGCAAGGTGGGGAGCAAGGTGGGGAGCAAGGTGGGGAGCAAGGTGGGGAGCAAGGTGGGGAGCAAGGTGGGGAGCAAGGTGGGGAGCAAGGTGGGGACATGGGCCCATGCAGGGCATCCCCGTAACTCTCCCCCTTCGTGCTAGCTGGCATCCCCGTCACTGTCGCCATCCCTCCCTTCTCCCTTCCCAACTCGCACACTTGTCACGCCCACTCACTCCTTTGGTCTCCCACGCCCCACTCTCCAGCCCCTCAGCTGCTGGAAAGTAGATCTACGACCGGATCCGCCCCGAGGCGAACCCCTCCGCGCACCGCCACGCCGGTCACGAAGCAGCAGCAGCCCACAGCGCACTTCGGCAGAATATGCGAGATAGGGCGTGCAGCTGGCAGAGCTGCGAGGCAGCCTCTTCTCGAGACTGCTTTCAGCCTCCCCTGCTGCCCCATATCATATGCTGACTTGCGCCCGATAAGGCCCTGCATTTGAAGTTGCCGCCTTCCCTGCGTGTGAGGGATTGTACACTGCAACGCGTGACAGCCAGCACTGTGCAGGCAACTGTGTTGAATCTGGATCATGGGGCACAGACATTTGAATCGAGCAGAGCAGGGTGGTGTGGTCAGTTCGGAGTGGCATGGTAGGAAGGCGCAAAAAGAATGGCATAGAGAGTAGAGGCCGCGGCATGATATGGAGATTGGCAGCAGGGATTGACTTGTGGGTCGTGCTTTGTTTTGTGCCAATGGTTTATATGCTGAATTGGGGTTACCTGTTGATAATACTGTGTGCAAGGGGTGTGCTGTGTATGCCCTATCTCAATCTTGCCCCGAGCTCCAACGCGTAAAAAGTCTTGAACAAGTGAGCTTGTTCCTAGCTGTGATATTCCCTACCTAAACATAAACAACATAGCCAACGACAAGCATACTAGTATCCAAAAACAGTTTCTCGGTATAAAGGTGTGTCATACATGGTGAAAACGCATCTCGCCAAAGAATGTTTAGGATGGTACGTAGCACTTCGAATCCGTAAAGCGCTCTTGCCGTTATAGAACCGGACACATCATAGTCAGCCGCTTTGAATGAACTGCAAGTTCACCAAGCATGACACGCCCTTAGAAAAACGACTTGCTGTTGCCTATAAACTAAAGTCGATTTCCCCAAGATACGTTGTGGGATTTATGCGGAGCTTCACTCCAGATGGTCGAGATGAATATGTCTAGGTAAGCCCAGCCGAGATGAGTGGTCAAGGGTGGCGGCGTCGGGCACATGAAAGGAGGGGTAGATGGGAAATTTCGAGGGGCTCTCCTTGCTGGAGCATGGCAAAGGCTGATTTGCGGAGGGGGGAGGGGGGGGATGGGAGGGTCGTAGGGGGAGTGGGGTGGGGGGCAGAGGAGAAGGAGGAGGTAAAGAGAGCTGAGAACGAGGAGGAGGAGCAGCAGGTTGACAAGCTAGCTCTCACTGCTTACTGCGTGCAATGGCTGTCAAAACGTGGGGGAGTGGGGAGTGGTGGGGAAGAGGGGAAAAGAAGGGAGAGAGGGGAGGCGGGATAGGGTCAAGGTGATTGTCTTTGAGATGATTTCTAATAGGGATCATGGGAAGGATGGGAAAGTTGTCGGTGGAGCTGGGAGAGAGGAGAAGGACGTGGCTACCGCGATGATCAAGCTTCATAATCGGAAAGGAAAACTTGACGCCAGGCAGCACTCGATTCGGTCGTCCCAGTAGATCTGTAATCTTCTCGTAGCCTCCATGAACGCGCCCTTTGAAAATGCGACTATACTCTTGACGGTGCATCTCGACCATGGCGCCGGTTTGCGTGCCCTCTGACTCGGGATCTGGGTGTCATTGAGTTCACATATGAGGGTGCACATAGTACTCGTATTCACTGAAATGACCTGCGTGCAACTAATATGTGTTGACACAACCATTCTTCAACTTACCTGCGGCTAGTCCAGCTGTAATGAGTCGAAGCGTCGCATCTGGTGCTGCCTCTGCTAAGAAATGAATAACGTCGTCGGGTGTTGCCATAGCATCGCCAGCGAACAAAGCGGACAATCCCACACGTAGCACGCACAACAGAGGCCGCATATGCTTTGATATGTTCGCGCTGCCCTTCGTGGCATCCTTGCATGCTTGCGCTGCTGGATGTACACTCGATCTACTCACATTGGACATACCGGGAATACTACACAACCAAGAGGGTATGCATGCGCATGATGGGTAAGACAGATACCCACGTGGGATGATGGGCAGGAGGGCATAGTTATTGATGGCGTGCATCTAGATGCCCAACAGGGAGGGAAAAATGACATATGAAGTGATAAGGCAGCTGGCCCAAGTGCTGCGTCTTTTGGGGCACTTGATATGAATGGTTAACAAACAAGCGCAGTGCAAAGGTGGCAGAGCCAAGATCAAAGCTTTGGTGTAAAATCAGGGAAGGCGAGATCAAAACTGACCTACCAAGGTTGCGGTGCGCTGAGCTGTTCTGGCTGAGAATAGTTGAGAAATCAGGGAGGGGTTTATGACAACTGACCTGCCAAGGCTGCTGCGCGATGAGCCTCCTGCCCTTGTGGCCGATTAGAAGGATGGATGTCCCCTGAACCCAGCAGTGCAATGGCTGCAGCAACACGTCCTGTCAACCGATGTCCACATGGGCGGCGGAATATAGGGCAAGTGAAACGCAAAGGCAACAACACCAGGCGCTGCTGTGCCTGCGGCACCAGCGAGGCTTGCAAAACCGCACAGCACCCAAGACCATGGCTGACGGGGACAAGTGGTGATGTGCCCCTAGTAACAGACAGAATGTTTGGGTTACAACTACCATGCAAATGACTCTGCGCCTCGAAAATGTTGAGCATGAGGCACTAGTGAGGGATGGTTAGATGAGCACTGACCTGCCAAGGTTGCAGTGCGATGTGCTGCCGTTCGCGCCGCCGCCCAGATGAAAGGATGGCAGACAAGTTCAGCAGTACAACTTGCAAAGCGTCCTTTGGATAACTGGCAAATGGCAAAGGAATGAAAGAGAGGTAAAATTCAAAGACATCCGGACGCTTGCCAGAAAAACTGGAAAGTGGGAAAGGAATGAGTCCAAGTGAAATGCAAATGCTAGAACACCAAGTGCTGCTTACGCTGCGGCACCAGCGAGGCATGGTCACCCACACTGCACCCCGCACACCGACAGCGGGAACATGTGATGATGTGCCCCTAGTACTAGACAGGGGTGTTTGAGAAACAACTGCTGTGCAAATGACATAAGACCGCGCGCTGCTGAGCATGAGGCAGCAGAAATGACATGCATGAGCTAGTGCTACAGATAGCTTTGTAGTCTGACATGCCAAGGCGATGGTGCGATGTGCTGTTCTTCCTGTGGCAGCAGCCACGACTGTAGCAACAAGTTTGAACATGCATGCAAACCCGAACAGCAGTAGCACAAGGGCAACCAGAGTCCATTACCGCGATGCATGAGGCACCGGACATTGACGTACGAGAACGAGCTCATCTGCAAAGGCAGCAGCACGAGACATTCACGACAACTGACCTGCCAGGGACTGTCGCGATGCATGAGGCACTAGTGATGGATGGTTAGACGAGCACTGACCTGCCAAGGTTGCAGTGTGATGTTATGTCGTTCTTGCCGCCGCCCAGATGAAAGGGTGACTGTCAAACTCAGCAGTGCAACAGCAAAACGTCCTTTGGATAACTGGCAAATGGAGAAGGAATGAAAGGGAGGTAAAATTCAAAGACAGCGGGACGTTCGCACGGAAAACTAGAAAATGGGAAAGGAATGAGTTCCAAGTGGAATGCAAACGCAAGAAAACCAAGTGCTGCTTACGCTGCGGCACCAGCGAGGCATGGCCACCCACGCAGCACCCTGCACACCGACAGCGGGACCATGTGATGATGTGCCCCTAGTACTAGACAGTGGTGTTTGAGAAACAACTGCTGTGCAAATGACATAGGACTGCGCGCTGCTGTGCACCCATCCCCATGCATGGGATGGTTGGATGAGGACTGACCTGCCAAGGCAGCAGTGCGATGAGTTGTTGTTATTGACGACGCCAAGATGATTGGATGTCTTGTTAGGTGATTGTGCTTGTGCTGTCCTTCCTGTGGCAGGCATATCGACCGATGATAGACAAGCTTTCTGCCACGACTGTAGCATCAAGTCCGAACAGGCATGCAAACTCGAATAGCAGTAGCACACTGGCAACCAGAGCCAATTACCGCAATGCATGAGGCACCGGACATTGACGAACAAGAACGAGCTCATCTGCATTGGCAGCAGCACAAGACATTCTCGACAACTGACCTGCCTGGGACTGTTGCGATGTGCTGTTGTTCTAGTGGCTGCCCAGAGAAATGGATGATTCCTACTCGGGTGTAGCGCGACGGCTGAAGCAAAACGGCCTGTGGGGAGATCAAGGACAAGTAGCGCAAAGACAACAACACCAAGTGCTGCTATGCATGCGGTGCCATGTGCTGTTGTGCAGGACATTACGATATGGATGGATGACTGCAAAACAGAGTATGAAGCCAACAGCTCCACAACAGAGCAACACTAAACCTTGATGATCCGCAAAGGCAGTTGCACCAGATACTGCTGTACATGTGGCACTAGCAAGATATGCATTCGTGAACATCAGCAGCTTGGAGGCAACCCGCACTAGCTGAGAAATCAGGGAGGGCTGGATGAAAATTGACCCACCCTGCGAGTTGTGCGTTGTGTGTCCTGCCCTTGTGACCACCCAGATGGATTGATGACAGAAAAACTCAGCCGTGCAACGATCCCCTGCAACACGTCCTGCTAGTAGCTGGAAAACGGGTTAGGGCTGAAAGACACATGAAGTGCAAAGGCAGCATCACCACGCGCAGCCGTGCCTGCGGCAACAGTGAGGCACTATAAGCCAAACAACAGCAGCAAAGCAAAGGTGGCAATAAATTGCAATGATGTGCAAGCGGATGGGGTGTGAGAAGTGCCCAGGCTGAAGCAACACTGGCTGCAGATAGGTGGGGTGTGCTGAAAGACTAGCTATCTACAAAGGCAGCAAAGGAAAGGGACATGGGGAAGCAAGGAAAGGGACGTGGGGAAGCAGGGAAGGGGATGGGGGGAAGCTGGGAAAGGGACATGGGGAACCAGGGGAGGGCGTGGGGGGGAGCAGGGACGGGGACATGCGGAAGCAGGGAAGGGGACATGGTTTCGCATGTAAAGGGATGGGGGAAAGCAGGGATGGGGGGAAGCAGGGAAAGGGACACCTCGAAGCAAGGAAAGGGACATGGGGAAGCAGGGAAGGGGACATGGGGAAGCAGGGAAGGGGACATGGGGAAGCAGGGAAGGGGACATGGGGAAGCAGGGAAGGGGACATGGGGAAGCAGGGAAGGGGACATGGGGAAGCAGGGAAGGGGATGGGGGAACATAAGGGAAGGGGATGGGGGGAAGAAGGGAAGGGGATGGGGGAAAGCAGGGAAAGGGACACGGGGAAGCAGGGAAGGGGACATGGAGAAGCAGGGAAGGGGATGGGGGGAAGAAGGGAAGGGGATGGGGGGAAGCAGGGAAGGGGACATGGGGAAGCAGGGAAAGGGACATGGGGAAGCAGGGAAGGGGATGGGGGGAAGCAGGGAAGGGGACATGGGGAAGCAGGGAAAGGGACATGGGGAAGCAGGGAAGGGGATGGGGGGAAGCAGGGAAGAGGATGGGGGAAAGCATGTAAAGGGATGCGGGAATGAAGGGAAGGGGATGAAGGGAAGCAGGGAAAGGGACACGGGGAAGCAGGGAAGGGGACATGGAGAAGCAGGGAAGGGGATGGGGGGAAGCAGGGAAGGGGATGGGGGGAAGCAGGGAAGGGGACATGGGGAAGCAGGGAAGGGGACACGGGGAAGCTGGGAAGGGGATGGGGGGAAGCAGGGAAAGGGACACGGGGAAGCTGGGAAGGGGATGGGGGGAAGCAGGGAAGGGGACATGGGGAAGCAGGGAAGGGGACACGGGGAAGCAGGGAAGGGGACATGGAGAAGCAGGGAAGGGGATGGGGGGAAGCAGGGAAGGGGATGGGGGGAAGCAGGGAAGGGGACATGGGGAAGCAGGGAAAGGGCCGCGCGATGAGCAGGGAAAGGGACATGGGGAAGCAGGGAAGGGGACATGGGGAAGTAGGGAAGGGGACACGGGGAAGCAGGGAAGGGGACATGGAGAAGCAGGGAAGGGGATGGGGGGAAGCAGGGAAGGGGATGGGGGGAAGCAGGGAAGGGGACATGGGGAAGCAGGGAAAGGGCCGCGCGATGAGCAGGGAAAGGGACATGGGGAAGCAGGGAAGGGGACATGGGGAAGTAGGGAAGGGGACACGGGGAAGCAGGGAAGGGGACATGGAGAAGCAGGGAAGGGGATGGGGGGAAGCAGGGAAGGGGATGGGGGGAAGCAGGGAAGGGGACATGGGGAAGCAGGGAAGGGGTCATGGGGAAGTAGGGAAAGGGACACGGGGAAGCAGGGATGGGGATGGTGTGACTATAGATGCTTTAAAGCATGTTACTGCGACAGTAGGAGCTCAGTCGCGACTTGCAGTTTCCTTTGTTGCAGTTTACGTTATGCCCGTTACTGCACATGTATCGGTCTGAGTTTTGTCAGTGCCGAATCGGTGGACCGGAAACTCCGCAGTGAAACACGAGGGGTATTGCAACGAGAGCTGTTTGTGCTGCGGAATCTCAAGACACGTCGTGTCAATGAAGACGCTTGAGCTGGTGACTGTAGTAATCTATTTTCCCGTTGCCACCCTCTTACCGATTCTAATTGCGTCACGCTCGTAGTGCAGCTCGTCGCCCTATAAATCTGAGCTCCTCTCTTAGTCTTCTCCTTGGCGCTCGCCGTTACCTCCCTCCTACCGCAATCGCATGCGTATTGTCGATTTGGTCCTGCGCACTATCGTCGTAGTTGGAGGCGTTGGGGTATTCAATCGCGTTCGTAAGTTCCACTGAATGTTTTCCTCACAGATACTCCCTCTTCCCCTACGTTTTCTTTGAGATCGTAGAGAGAGAGTAGGCCTTTCCGCTCCACACCTTGCTGCCATGTGAGTACGCCTCCCACTGATGCTTCTCTCTCAAACTCAACAACCGGCATCCTTCGTGCTTTCCGTACGTGCCACGTTCAGGCTAAACGTTACGTCTGGGAATTACGTTGACTTCTCCTGCGCCGCGGTGTCACGTGCACGCTTAGCTTTATTGTTGTATCACCTGCCGAAGGACAAGCATTGCTGGTAGTCGAGGGACCTACCAGTTCCTCCTGAACACCATCAGGCACGTAGCATTACGTGGCTGGAGCTATCATGTCGCATTTGCGGCTGGTTCCCTGTTTCTACCTACCACATGTGATCGCGCCAATCCATTTACACCGAGCGCAACACCCTGCGTTCTCGTTTTTCTGCTCTCGTCGCGCCCTGCGATTCGATTGCACAGATGCATTTCTAGAGGGCTGATTGGCTGCGATGCCCTAAACCCAAGTCGCGAGCGTCTCAGCCGTTGTCGCCCTGCATCGCTAGGGGATTCCCCTTCTCGAGAGTGGGCCTCACAATTTCGCCCTTCAGTGTGGCATTTTCAGGGGCTCGAGGCTTCTCTTCCCATATTCTTGGAGAAGCCTGTCGCACAGTTGAGTGACGAATTCAAGGTTTGCTCGTTAGCTGGTTTGGCTCTCGCTACGGTTTTTGGCTTTCGCCAACCATGTTAAAGCCATTATTCGACTTTCCCAAAAACCATGCTGACCTCGGGCTTTAATTCTCAGGGAAAACGGGCAAATGTCCGTGAATCGACATGCCTCATCATGAGAATGATTTTTTTCCGCGCCGCACCTCGTTGCTGCCAGCTATCTTCCCATCTCCACCTCCCCACCGGCCACTTTCTCTTCTCGCTGCCAAGATCAACATGATGAGAAATGGGCACTCGTGGAGAATTCCGTCATTGTTGCATTGTCTTGAGCTTATGTTTCATTCCCCGTTACCGTTGTTTCACCTATGCATGAGGCGTTTCGTGCGGGATGGAGAGACTTCGCGGAAGACGGACAGGCGCGTCTCGCCTTTCGTCACTGCTTGGGAAAGGGAAGAACTGAGGACAGTCCGTTTGTGGCCGAGGATGAAAGGACCGCTGCTTCTCGGGCTGTGCGTTCTCGCGAGTTACGATCACTCACTGCTACTATCTCCTTGATCACTCGCTTCGTCGCTCTTTAAAGGCAGCTCCACGGGGCGGGCAGAGCTTGGCTACGTCGTCTCGGCTCAAGAAAACGCCGCCTGCTTTTGATGCAACCGATTGGTTTGAGAGTTTCTGAAAGCCTTTTATAATCGTCGCATGATGATCATACCTCCAGCAGGAGTTTCGAGTCGCCTGGTAGTCGTCTGAGAGAAGCTTACTGAGAGTCGCAGCAGGAGGAGGAGGAGAGAACCGCCGCCCAAGCAGTTGTGATTTATCTCAAGAGTGATTCGCGTAGAGAAGGTGACGGCTGTTCTGCAGACCAGGAGTCGCAGGCATGGCTGGCGACGAATGCGGTTTCCGAGCGGATCCCGAAAATCATGACCTCGCAGATTCGTCACGCAGCATCAGCATCACCAGTAGTATCAGCAGCAGCAGCGGTGGTCTGGAGGAGACGCTTCTTTTGGCTGGCGCCGCTCCTTCCTCCGCTCCTCTCGACCAATCGCGAACCAAGCTGGGATCAAAAAGAAGGAAAGCCAAGCACGCGCGAAAGCGCACAGGACGACGCAAGTCCAATGTACATTACGCAGCAGATTCAGCTACCCGATATGGAGCTTCTCGACACAATCACTCTGCGGCGCTTCCGCGTCGAGTCGTTCAGCTCGTTAACGCCCTGCAGACCGCCCTCTCCCGAAGGCTTTCCTTGAAGCTTCCTCCTAAGTTGACGATCCTCGCGCTTTACGTCTCTCATTTCCTCTCCCGATGGACCAATCGCATGTGGGAATTCGCCGTACCGCTCTTTCTTCTAGACTCCTCTTACGTTGCCACGTCAGCTTCCTCTTCCTCCGCTACAGTCACCTCCGGTAGTATTAGTAGCGCTGGATCCGCCTCTTTGCTGCTCGTGGCGCTATACGGCCTCTCCGAGTCGCTCGCGATGTCTCTATTCTCCGTCCCCATAGGAGCGTGGGTGGATCTCTGTCCGCGTTTACCGCTAGCTGCCTTCGCGATCTCCGCGCAAAACGCCGCTCTGTTTCTCGCCGCGATCGCCGTCGCCGCTCTGCTCTACCTCGCCGACTATCTCGCCGCACCCGCCGCCGCGAGCCCCGCTGGGTCCGAGCTATTCGCGTGGGTGGCCGGAGCAGTCGAAACGGGAGCTGACGTGGCACTGGTGGCGGCGGTTTGCGTGCTGGGCGCCGCGGCTGCTCTCGCTGGATTGGCGCGCGGGATCGCGGTGGAGCGTGATTGGGCGGTGGTGATTGCGGATTGGGTTTGCGAGCAGGAAGGTGCTGCGAAAGGGGGATGCGGGCGGCAGGGGGAATGGGAGGACAGGGGAGAAGACGAAGCGGAGAGAGGGGGAGTTTTCCAGGCGGGGTTGGCTTGTAACGAATCAGCGCGGCGTGGGAAAGAGGAGGGGAGGGAGGGGGCGGGGAGAGAGGAGGGACAGAGAGAGGAGGAGGGGGGACACCAGTTACAGACGCACGTTGGAGGCAAGAGTGGTTTCAGCGGAGCAGGGGAACGAGAGGTGGCTGATTCTAGAGGTGGAGGAGGTCATCTGGAGAAGGCAGCGCATGCAGAGGAGCTTCTAGCTGGGCAGCAACAGGGGCAGCAGGAGAGGCAGGAGGGGCAGAAGGAGGGGCAGCTGGAGGGGCAGCTGGAGGAACAGAAAGAGCAGGAGGAGCAGGGGGGTGAGCAGAGGGAGCGCGTGCGAGCACGGCTCAACTCCACTCTTCGCACCATCGACCTGCTGTGCCGCCTGCTCGCCCCTGCCCTCACTGGCGCCCTCATGGCCGCTGCCTCTGCCTCCGCCTCTGCCTCCGCTTCCTCCTCCCCTTCCGCCGCACCCCCTTCGGCCCTCGCATCTACCCCCGCCTCGTCCGCACGCGCAGAATTGCTGCCAGTGTCGCTGCCGCTCGCCATGGCCGTGTGGGTTCTCGTGGCTGCTGCTGCCGAGCTGCTGCTGCTGGCGCTCGTTCACTCGCAGGTGCCCGCGCTGGGGGCGAGGCGCAAGGAGAGAGGCGGGGAGGAGGACGAAACGGCTGGTGTGGAGGAGAGGGAAGGTGAGGGAGGGGACGAGGAAGAGGAGGAAGAAGAGGAGGACGAGGAAGCGGAGGAGGAAGAGGAGGAAGAAGGGAGAGAGGGAGGGGTGGCGCGTGGAGGGGACGATAAGAATAGAGCGGGGAATGTTACGAGTCAAGTGAAGACACAAATTGACGATGAGGATGTTACGGGGAATGGGCATGAGGGAGGGGATAAGCAGATGCTGGTGCCTTCAGCCGCTAATCCAACGTCACCTGCTCCTATCACCCCCTCAGACTCCCCAGCCGCCGCTATCATCACCACCACCACTGCCACCAAGAGCAGCAGCAGCAGCAGCGAGCCTCCCCTCATTCCCTCCATCGCCCACAACCCCTCCTTCTTAAACCACCTGCTCTCCTCCCTCCACCACCTCCGCCTCCTCCTCACCTCCTGGCTGACCACCCTTCGCTCTGCCTGGACCATCTACCTCCGCCAAACCTCCCTCCTCCCCTCGCTCGCCCTCGCCCTTCTCTACCTCACAGTGCTCTCCTTCGGATCCCTCATGTGCGCCTACCTGCACTCCCAAGGCGTTCCTCTCGGTCTCCTAGGCTCGGCAAGCGGCGCCGCAGCCGTCACCGGCGTGCTCGGAGCGACCCTCTTCCCGAGCCTCTGCGCCAGGCTCGGGCCGAGCCGGACCGCCGAGGCCTCCGTGTGGTCGCAGCTGGCGTGCCTCCTGCCGTGTGTCGTCGCGGGATTGGTTCTCCAGTCGTCAGGGTCGATCCCAGCAGTGCTGCTGATGGCAGGAGTGGTAATCTCGAGAGCTCCTCTCTGGGTGTTTGACCTTTCAGTGCTGCAGATGGTGCAGGGGGCGGTGGTGGAGGAGGAGAGGGGCGCAGTGGGGGGAGTGCAGGAGTCGTTGCAGCAGGGAATGCAGCTGGTGGTGTTGGTGCTAGCAGCGGTGATTAGCAGGCCAAGGGATTTCTGGGTGCTGACAACTGTGTCGGGAGGGGCGGTGATGCTGGCGGCGGTGCTAGTTAGTGTGGATCGGAGGGGGAGGGGGGGTTTGGGGCGAATCAAAAGGGGTGGTTGGCAAAAGCAAGCTGAGGGGCTTCTGGAAGCGGATGGAACGGTTGGGAGGGGTGGTGCTGCAGATGAGGTTTAGGAGCAGTGGGGGAATCACGTGAGCTCCAATCCACATAGCAAGTTGCACATATGCGTTTAATCAAATGTACTTTATTCGCGTCTGTACAGCATACAGAGGAGACAAAGGCTTGGCTGAATCAGAAAGTGGGGCGCACATGAACTCATTACACTCCCCTCCCCACCCCAATTGAGTTTTCTAATTAAGACCATATACACCTGATACTACACACACATCACGTGATGACATCAGTCATAACACATAACCTGATCATGTCACACTGCCCTTATAAGGCACTTGCACAGGCCCCCCAAACCAGCACCCTTAAACTCCTTAGCTCGCCCAGGTTCGCATACCGGTAGGTCGAACGAAAGCACTCCAGTCTCCATCCAACCCTCTCAATTATCTGAATCACACAGGAACATCACACTCCCTGCCTGAACACCACCTCCTGCATGCTCGCCATTTCCGCATTTCCCTTAGGCACACTTTCCTATTTCCTGCAGCCCAGCACCACCACTCTTTCCAACCGACCCAATTCCATGACCGAAGCTGTCAAACTCCTTGGGGGAGCTCTTGCATTGTCCCAACCCAACTCGAGCACCCTTTGACTCCCGCAACGCGCGCAAGTTCTCCTACGTCGAAAAGAAAGCAATAGATCAAACAAGAGCGTCACACTCCCTGAAAATCACCTCTTGCACGCTCGGCATTTCCGCAATCCCCCCAGGCACACTTTCAAGCCTCCTGCACCCAAGCACCACCACTCTTTCCAACTGACCCAAATCCATTATCGAGTCCGGCAGGCTCCTTAGGCTCTTGCACAGCCCCAGCTCCAGCACCCTTAGACTGCTCAGCTGGCCCAAGTTCCCCGGAAGCTCTCTCAAATGGGAACACCCGACAATCACGAGGCGCGAGAGGGACGGGAGGAGGGGGAGCGATGGGGGGAGGAGCGAGAGCGAGTCGCAATTGTGGATTTCCAGGGTGGTTAGATGCTTCAGCTGGCCGAGTGATGCTGGTAGGGTTTTTAGGCACGGGCAGGATGAAATTTCGAGGTGTTTCAGAGCAGGCAGCTCGGAAAGAGATTCTGGAAGGGAGGTGAGGCCCTCACAGGAGTTCAGCTCCAAATGTTCCAAAACTGACAGGTGGGAAATTTTGTCTGGTAGTGCGGGGAGGGCCCAGCAGCCAATGAGAAGGGTGGAAAGGGAAGGCATGGTGAAGAGGGAGTTGGGCAGGGAGAGGAGCGAATCACAGTCGTTCAAATGGAGCACGGAAAGGTTTTCCAGGTGCCCAAAAAGCTCGGGCAGACTTGTCACAGGCATTTTTTCCAGGACGAAACGTTTCAAGGCGGAAAGCTGGCCAATGGATTCTGGCAAGGAGTCGAAATCGACGGACGAGAGGCGAAGCGAGGTTAAGGAACGAAGGCTGCCCAGAGATTCGGGCAGGTGCCGAAAAGAACAACTTTCGATGTCCAGGCGGGTGAGGCTGCTAAGCTGCCCGATCCAATCGGGCAGGTTCCGGGCAGACAAGCACCGGAGAGTGAGCTCTTCTAGTAATTTCAGCTGCCTGAGGCTCTCGGGCAGAGAGCTAAGACTGGGGCTTTCCAGCTGAAGCACCCTCAAGGCGGGCAGGGAGCCAAAATCCTCCGGAAGACTGCCCAGGCAGGGCATGGCAATCTCTAGGGATGTGAGTGCAGGCAGTGTGACTATAGAGGGGGGGAGGGCGGTGACTGCACGGCCGCAGTGCAGGGAGAGGGAGCGTAAGAGGCGGCAGTGGAGGAAGAGAGAGTCCAGGCCTGCTGCTGTGATGCGCGGCGGGGAGCGAGGGTCCTCCGCGAGAATGAGCGAGCGGAGAGGAGAGGTGCACGGCTGGGCATGCTGGGAAGGGCGGAGGAACTGGAGGGACGGAAGAGTACGGGGAGCTGGGCGCAGCGAGAGCACTTCAGTGCGGCCGGAGGAGACAGCAGGCTGTGCTGCTGTGCGATTGATGCTCGTTCTACTGCTGGCCACTGCACCACCAGTGGCACCCACTTTACTACTACCAGTGCCGTCCAGACCTAATCTCCGCCCAGCGCCCATGGCTTCGAATTGCTCTTTGTAATCTTCATCCTCCTCCTCCTCCTCCTCCTCCACCTCCCCGTCCTTCACCTCGTCCTCGTTATACAACGAACGCTCGCGCTCCTCCTCGCTATTGTCACTGCCGTTACAAGCACCTTTAGCGAGAATCGTCAGAAATCCGTCGTCTAAGAAATCAACTCCGTCTCGATCGATATGAAGGTGGGTGAGGCGGGGAAAGCGGGAGAGCGCGAGGAGGAGGCGCGGGGAGGAGATGGCTCGAGATTTCGCCACGTGGACTGATGACTGCGCGAGGCACGCCGCATGATGCCATCGCTTGCACACCAACGCGTGCTGAAAGGACGTGCCGGATGGCGCCACGTGGCGCAAGATGACGGCGAGGATCTCTTGTGGAAGCCGATCGAACGGATTTGACTCAGTGGTCAAGAGATCCGACGGTGCTGGGCTGTCCATGGGACAACGTTCACGACCTTTTCTCAACTAAAAAGAAACGAAGGTCGGTTTCTGAAGGTCTGCGCGAAAAAAAATGAAACGCGGTCGTGGTCTGTGTTGGGCGTTGGTTGTTTCCCAAAAGCGACTTCAACGGTCCGTGGAAAACCGCACGGATGGGGGGGAAGTCTGAGAGGGCGATTGGCAAAACCCTGGCCCCAACGAGTTTCGAACTCGTGACCTTTTGCGTGTAAAGCAAACGTGATGACCACTACACCATGGGACCACGATTCGAAAATTTAATGCACTTATTTATCGATCAGCCCGTGTCCTGCAGTTTTTTAATCCTGAAGTCTGTTTCTGGTTTGTTGAAGTCTTTATTCCTAGTCACGCTTGCCACGCTTGCCATTGGTTCAGGGTGGCATAGGACTAGTCGTTACCGCATAGCACAGGACGTCGCTGTTGCACCTTGTACCTTATGCACGAACCGCATGCTCTAGTAGGACCATGCCATCCACGTCAGCGCACCACAGCACCACCGCGTCCCGGCCTGACACGTCACTCGGTTTGGATGTCGTTCCCCATGGGCCACCTGTAAAGGAGGTTAACGTGGGAACTGGTAGAATTGATGGTGCAGAGTGTTTTAACCAGGAAAACTCAGGTGCCAATAACGGGTTTCCTTGTAACGGGGATATCGGGCTTAGTGATGTCGGCGATTTCGTCGGTGACAATCAGAAGCAGAGTAGCATTCAGGAAAGGGTTGACGATGACACCGATGGTCATATCCAGGACATCACGACCATCGGTAGTGAGATCGTGGGTCAAATCAACGGTGGAGGAGGTACAGATGTTCATGGAGGGTCACCGCACTGTGTTGATATAGGGTTACCCGACGCTTTTAATATAGGGTTACACGACGCTGTTGATATAGGGTTACCCGACGGTGTTCATACAAGGTTATCCGACGGTGTTAATTTGGCGCTTCCCGATGGTTTTAATGCAGGGTTACCAAGCGGTGTTAGTACAGGGTTACCCGACGCTGTTGGTATAGATGGTGGTAATGGGGTGTTACCAGGCGGTGTTGAAGTAGGGTTACCGGAAGATGCTAATATTGGGTTATCTGAAAGTGTCGGATTAGGGTTACCTGCTGGTGGTCATTCTGCAATGGCTGACGTCATGGGTGCAGATGCAGGTGCGGAAACGGAAAGAGATTGTGAGATTAAGAGTGAGAATGAGAGTGGAAGTGAGAATGAGAGTGAGAGTGTGAATGAGAGTGAGAATGGAAGTGAGAGTGTGAGTAAAAGTGTGAGTGAGAGTGAGAATGAGAGTGAGAGTGGGGAAGAGGGAGGTGACGATGCGCTGCACTTGCATGGGAATGGTGTGGGCTCGGATCATGGTGAGAGCGGTACAGCATGGAGGGTGGATGGAGGCATGGCGATGGATGGAGGCATGGACTTGGATGGTTGCCTGGGTACGGATGGCGATAAGGAGGCTCAGTTGGCGCACTCAACCGATGCGGTAACACCTGCTTCCGCTGCCGCTGCTGCCGCCGCCGCCGCGGCCGCCGCTGCTGCTGCTGCTGCTGCTGCTTCTGCTGCTGCTGCTGCCGCTTTTGCTGCTGCTGCTGCTGCTGATGCTGCTGCTGCCGATGGTGCTGTTGCTGCTGCTTCTGATGCTTCCGCACCTGCTGCTGCCCATGCTGCCTCTGATGCCGATGCTGCTGCTGATGTTCACGCTGATGTTGCCACTGCTGCTCCCATGGGTTCTCGTTCTTCTACTGCTGCCGCCAACGCATCCCCTGCCGCCGCCGCCAGCACCGACGCCACTGGTGCTGGAGGTGCAGCAGTAGGTGCTGATGGTCCTGCAGAGTCGACTGATAAGGCCACAACAGGTGCTGGTGGGGCAAGCTCGGCAGGCAAAAGTGTAAGTGCGGAAGCGCAACAAGAGGAGGAGGAGATGGAGGTGGTGTGGTTGAGCGATGATGAGGTTGGTAGTGATGATGACAGTGACCGTGATGGTAGTGACAACCAGTCCGCAGACCAGCATTTACAGCAGTTCCTGCAGCAGCAGCAGCAGCAGCAGAAGCAGCAGCAGGGACAGCAGAAGAAGCAGCAGGGGCAGCAGCAGGGGCAGTTGGGCAGCGGCAGAAGCAACGGAAACAGCGTATGGAACAGCACCCAGAGGGGTCAAAGTAACGGCAGCAGGAGGGCGGGTGGTGGTGCTAGTAACGGGGTGCGCAGTAACGAGGATGAGGACGTGGTGGAGTTGAGTGGGCGGGAGGTGCAGGAAGCCATGCTGCAGGCGAGGCTCAGGAACGCGCAGAGACAGATGATGCGCTCCATGGGGGGCGGCACGCCGGGCGGCGTTCTGGGCGGCGTGCCGGGCGGCAGCACGTTGGGCGGCTTGCAGGGCGGCGTACTGGGCGGCACGGTGGGCGGCACGGTGGGCGAAATGCCTGGAAACATGGCACGGGGATTGGGGAGTGGCTTGGGGATAGGTACGGGATTGGGAATAGGCGCTGGTGATGGGAGGAGGGAGGGCAGGGAGGGGAGGGGTGCGGCTGAAGGGGTAGGGAGAGAGGGGAGTGAGGGGAGTGAGAGTAGTGTTGTGAGTGTGATAAGTATGGCGAGCGATGATGATGAAAATGATGAGGTGGGTGATGAGGTGAGGCAGCAGTGGGAGCAGCTGGGGAAGCTGAAGGCTGTTCTGTCGCCGCAGAGGCAGAGGGATCGGAGGGACGAAGGTGAGCGAAGCAGAGGCCAGGCGAGCGTTGGACAGCAGCAGCGTAATCAGCAACAGAATAACCAACAGCAGAGTAACCAGCAGCAGCGGAATAACCAGCAGCAACAGCAGCAGCAGCAAGAGGTTTTGCAGTGGCAGCGGCAGCAGCAGGAGGCGAGGCAGCAGGTGCTACTAGAGCAGGAGGTGAGAGACCGGTTTGGCGAGCGCGTGCTGCTCCGAGACCAAGGGGACGAGGACGAGGGGGAGGACGGAGAGGGGAGAGAGGGGGGAGGTGGTGGGAGTGGGAGGAGGAGAGGGAGGGAAAGCGCAGGTGGGAATGCGCGGCAGTGGTTTGGGGTTGGGATGGGAGGGAGAGGGGTGGATAGGGAGGAGGAGAGGCGAGAGTTTGTGGAGGCGAGGAGGAGGAGTGCGGCTGACGCTCTGAGGCACTTCAGGAGCATGAGGGACGAGGGGCTGGGCCTGGTGCCGCGGTTACCACCACCACTGCCTGAGCCGAGCCATCATGTGGCACGGCAAGCACACACGCCACGTACAACAGTCACAGCACCCGCAGCACACACAGCAGGCACGGGACAGAGAGCCTATAGCATAGACCCACACACAACGTTACACATGGAACCTGATCTAGCCCCGTTTATTGCAGTGGACAGCTCACCATCGGTTGGGTTGCCGCAGTTTAGGCCGCTGCCGGCAAGCATTCGAGGAGGCACGGTCAGCAGTGGTGGTGTTGGTGGGCGCACAGACACAGGCAGGGACGAGGAGCAAGCTGCGAAGAGGATACGAGTGGATGCCGGAACCGCACAGAACCACATCGCACCGGGTCACACCCATCCGCATCCCACCCACCACCACAGCCACCACCCCCACCACCACCACCACCACCACCACCACCACCACCACCCGCACCTGTATCCCCAAGCTTTCCCCCCAACCCCTTCCAACCCCCCTCCAGACCAGCAAACCGCAATGCGGCAGATCCTGGAAGGACTCTCCCTCTCAGGAACAGCAGAGGAGGTAGAAATGCCGGCAGGGGCTTTAAGCGTGCCGCTAATGACGCACCAGCGCATGGCAGTGGCGTGGATGAGGCGCAGAGAGGCGTCTATCCCCGCTGGGGGGATACTGGCGGACGATCAGGGGCTGGGGAAGACGCTGACCACGATTGCACTCATTGTGCTGGGCGTGCGGGAGGGCAGGGAGAGGGAGAAGGGGAAGGGGGTTGTTAAGGAGGAGGGGCAGATGCTGCTGTTGACGGGTGGTGCGCGTACGGGTGATGCCGGTCCTTCTGGTGCCGGTCCTTCTGGTGCTGGTGCTGCTGTCGCTGGTACTAATGGTGGTGGTGGTGGTGGTGGTGCTGCTGCTGCTGCTGGTGCTGCTGCTGCGGTGCCTGTGGCATCAGCAGGAGGAGGAGGAGTGGGAGTGGGGAGCAGCAAGATGGAAGTGGTTGATTTGGAAGAGGAAGAGGAGGGGGAGAGGGGGCGGGGGAGACGGGGCGGGAAGAAACAACGTCTAGCAGCTCCAATGCCAGCAGTGGCCTGGCCGGCAACGCCACCTGGCGTTTCGGCGGCTGCCACCTCAGCAGCTGCCACATCAGCCGCTGCCGCATCAGCAGCTGCCACGTCAGCAGCGGGCGGCACAGGTGGCAGCAGGGGCAAGCGCGTGAGCGGCGGCACTCTGGTGGTGTGCCCCACGAGCATTCTGCGGCAGTGGGAGCGGGAAATCCGAGAGAGAGTGGGCGACCTGGGGGAAGCTGGCACTGCGGGAGGAGGAGGAGGAGGAGGAGGAGGAGGAGCGGGAAAACGTGGGTTATCGGTGCTGGTGTATCACGGGCCGGGGCGCACGCGCAGTGCAGCGGAGGTGGCATCGTACGACGTGGTGCTCACCACCTATGCCATCGCTGCTATGGACGTGGGCGGTGGGCGAGGCGGTGATGGCGGCGAGGGGGGGAAGGGCAAAGGGAAAGAGCCCTCGTGGGAGGAGGTGATGGGGATTGGTGGGGGTGGTGGGGGCGGGGCGGGGGGGAAGAGGAAGGCTGGTGGTGGTGAAGGGGGGAATGGCGGGGGTCCGCTTGCGGGGGTGGCGTGGCTGCGAGTGGTGTTGGACGAGGCGCAGGCCATCAAGAACCGCAACACACAGGTGAGCGGATTTGGTAGACGTCCCTGAACAGATATTCGCGGGTGGGTGGGCTAGATGTATTCTGGAGTGTGGGGGCTTGCTAGAAGGCTTGGGGCCTGCTGCGCATAAAATCCATTCCTTTCGTGGCTAAATGCCCCTCCCCCCAGGTGGCGAGGGCGTGCTGGGCATTAAGAGCCAAGAAGCGGTGGTGCCTGTCGGGAACACCCATGCAGAACGCGGTGGACGACGTGTATTCCTACCTTCGCTTCCTGCGCTTCTCCCCGTACGACGAGTACGCATCCTTCCGCACAACCATCAAGGATCCCATCGCGCGCAACCCCACCCAGGGCTTCAAGAGACTGCAGGCCGTGCTGCTTGCGGTGATGCTGCGCCGTACAAAGGGTGAGTCCGTGAGTTCTTGCGTGCTCTGCTCTGCAGCATCACACGAGTATGCACAGTTCCGCACCACCATCAAGGAAGGACCCCATCACGCGCAATCACCCCTTCTGCATCACACGAGTATGTATGCACAGTTCCGCACCACCATCAAGGACCTTATCACGCGCAACCCTCCGCAGGGCTTTAAGAGGTTGCAGGCCGTGCTGCTGGCTGTCATGCCAAGACGCACCAAGGGTGAGTGTTTTGTGTTTGTGATTTTCCTCTAGTACGGGCGTGTTTGTGTGTGTTGTCACGCTTCTCCGCTTTCCTCCATTCACCCCACTTATCTGCTCTCCTCCGCAATAGTGGCGCAGCAGCGATCCCCATCCCTTCGCTCCCTCCCCCTGTTTCTCTCCCCCCCAACCAGCCACGCGCATCAAGGGAGAGCCCATAGTGAACTTGCCACCGCGCATAGTGGCGCTGCAGCGATCCCCATCATCCCTTCTCCCGCTCCCGCCGCTCTCCTCCCTCTGCTCTTTTCCCCTCCCCACACCAGCAACGCGCATCAAGGGAGAGCCCATAGTGAACCTGCCACCGCGCATAGTGGCGCTGCAGCGAGCGGAGTTCACCCCAGAGGAGAGGGCCTTCTACCTCTCGCTTGAGGCCTCCTCCAAGCGCCAGTTCCACGTGAGTGAGGCCGTCTCTACTTTTAAGATTAAGTTCACACGCACTCTTCAGACTTCACACCAGAAGGGAGGGCCTTCTACCTCTCGCTTGAGGCCTCCTCCAAGCGCCAGTTCCACGTGAGTGAGGCCGTCTCTACTTTTAAGATTAAGTTCACACGCACTCTTCAGACTTCACACCAGAAGGGAGGGCCTTCTACCTCTCGCTTGAGGCCTCCTCCAAGCGCCAGTTCCACGTGAGTGAGGCCGTCTCTACTTTTAAGATTAAGTTCACACGCACTCTTCAGACTTCACACCAGAAGGGAGGGCCTTCTACCTCTCGCTTGAGGCCTCCTCCAAGCGCCAGTTCCACGTGAGTGAGGCCGTCTCTACTTTTAAGATTAAGTTCACACGCACTCTTCAGACTTCACACCAGAAGGGAGGGCCTTCTACCTCTCGCTTGAGGCCTCCTCCAAGCGCCAGTTCCACGTGAGTGAGGCCGTCTCTACTTTTAAGATTAAGTTCACACGCACTCTTCAGACTTCACACCAGAAGGGAGGGCCTTCTACCTCTCGCTTGAGGCCTCCTCCAAGCGCCAGTTCCACGTGAGTGAGACCGTCTCTACTTTTAAGATTAAGTTCACACGCACTCTTCAGACTTCACACCAGAAGGGAGGGCCTTCTACCTCTCGCTTGAGGCCTCCTCCAAGCGCCAGTTCCACGTGAGTGAGGCCGTCTCTACTTTTAAGATTAAGTTCACACGCACTCTTCAGACTTCACACCAGAAGGGAGGGCCTTCTACCTCTCGCTTGAGGCCTCCTCCAAGCGCCAGTTCCACGTGAGTGAAGTTGCATCTGCGTTGGTAGGGCTTTCTTTTCTCTCCCTCCAGTTCTCCTCCCGCCGATCCTTGGACACATTCTCAGTGAGTTGCGTTGCGGTGTTTAAGAGATGGGGAAAACAGTGTAATCTATACTAGCTTGTAGCCAAGAGTTCAAAAGAAAGAAATGTTTTTCCTTTCCACCTCATCCCCCATCCCCTTGCCCTCACCAGGATGCGGGCACGGTACAAAGCAGCTACATGCTTGCTGCTGCGCATCCGCGCATACCCTCCCCCATTCCTTTCCTCTTTTCTCTCGCCCCTTCTCATGTCGCCAGGATTACGCGGCAGCAGGCACGGTGCAGAACTACATGCACATCCTCACGATGCTGCTGCGCCTGCTCTCATTCCCACCCTCCTTCCTCTTCCCCCCGCTCATCCCACCAGGATTACGCGGCAGCAGGCACAGTGCAAAACAACTACATGCACATCCTCACCATGTTGCTGCGCCTGCGCCAGGCCTGCAACCACCCCGCCCTCGCCAAGGGCTCCCCCATCGCGCCTGACAGCCGAACCAGAGGCAATGGAGGAGGAGGAGGAGCAGCACGGGGGAGAAACGGGGCTGGCGGGGGAGGGGGAAGCGGAGGGGGGAGTGGTGGGGCGGGGGGGCGGCGGAGTGTGTTTGCCGGGTCGGTGGGGAGGCTAGCAGCGGGGAAGCGCGCGGAGCTAGTGCGGCGTGTGGCGCAGGTGGGGGGAGAGGCGGTGTGTGAGCTGTGCGGGGATGCAGCAGAGGTGCCGGTGCTGTCTGTGTGCCTGCACACCTTCTGCGAGCAGTGTGCCCTGCAGCATCTCGCTCAGTGCGATACCCCCCTCTGCCCCTGCTGCTCCAAACCCATCTCGCCGGCCTCGCTCTGCTTGTTTTCGGAGCTGGAAGGTGTAGGGAGCGGTGGGATGGGTGCGGGAGGGGTGGTGATGGGTGGAGCAGGGGGTGGGATGGGGATGGGAGCAGCGGCAGGCACGTTAGCAACAACTTCACTGGCAGAAGGGAGGGGAGGGAAGCAGCAGCAGGCGGAGGAGGAGATGGATCCGCTGTTCTTCTCTCCTTCTCGCATGTCCACCAAGGCCCGTGCTGTTCTCAACTACCTCCTCGCCCTCCCTCTCATGCCCGCTGCTCCTCCTCCTTCTTCTGCTGTCGCTGCTGCTGCTGCTGCTGCCCTCCCTCTCATGCCCCCTGCTCCTCCTCCTTCCTCTGCTGTTCCTCCTGCTGCTGCTACTCTTCCCACCTCCTCTCTTCCCCTCTCCCTTCCTTCCTCCATTCCCGCCCCGTTCCCCTCCTCCGTTCCCACTGCTCTCCCCTCCTCCCCTCCCTCCTCCCTCCCTCCATCGCAACCCTCCATGCAACCGCCCAGTGCACGCATTGTGTCTGGCCCTGTTCCCGTCAGTAACCCTCCCTCCTCGAGTACTTTCCTTTCCACTCCTCCCTTCGCTCCTCTCTCCTCCACCCCTCCCTCTTCCACCCCTCCCTCTGTGGCACCTGGTGGAATGGTGAAGGAGGAGGAGCAAGGAGGGGTGAGAGGCGGGGCAGCGGGAGGGGTTTCGGGAGACATTGCGGCAAGGCGTAGTGCGGGTGCAGGGGATTCAGGCAGTTCAGGTGCTGGTGCAGGTGTCAGTGCAGGTGGTTGTGCAGGTGGTAGTGCTGGTGGGGGTGCAGGTGGGGGTGCAGGAGGGGGTGCAGGAGGGGGTGCAGGAGGGGGTGCAGGAGGGGGTGCAGGAGGGGGTGCAGGAGGGGGTGCAGGAGGGGGTGCAGGAGGGGGTGCAGGTGGGGGTGCAGGTGTGAGTGCAGGTGGGGGTGCAGGTGTGAGTGCAGGTGGGGGTGCAGGTGTGAGTGCAGGTGGGGGTGCAGGTGTGAGTGCAGGTGGGGGTGCGGGCATGGGAGGAGTGAAGGAGGAAGCATTTGATGGTGGCGGTAATTGTGGGCTAATGCCGCAAGGAGGAGAGAAAAGCGGCCAGTTGCAGCAGCAGCAACAGGAGCAGCAGCAGGAGCCAGAGGAGGCGCAGTGGATGGCGGGGCTGTGGGCGGAGATTGCTGCTAGCGCTGTGCTGGAGGAGGGAGATGTGGGACCTGCAGGGGCACCTGGGGTAGGGGCATTTGGGGAAGGGGCACCTGGGGTAGGGGCATTTGGGGAAGGGGCATTTGGGGAAGGGGCACCTGGGGTAGGGGCATTTGGGGAAGGGGCATTTGGGGAAGGGGCACCTGGGGAAGGGGCACCTGGGGAAGGGGCACCTGGGGGAGGGGCACCTGGGGAAGGGGCACCTGGGGAAGGGGCTCCAGGTGGGCGGGTACCTGACCTACCACCTGCACGTCTGACAGGAGGTGCAGTGAAAGCAGAAGCGGTTGAGAATGGTGGAGATGGGGTTGTAGGAGTGTTCTGTCCATCAGGTGGCTGGACACCTGGCCAGCCTGGTCCACTACCTGACGCACCTGACTCAACACCTGACGTGCCTGATGTAAAACCTGGAGCATCTGTTTTAGCATCCGCTGCACCTGAGTCTACACCTGACTTGCCTGATGTTAAACCAGCAGCTGCTTCAGCATCCGCTGCACATGTTTCTACAAATGCTGCACCTGATTCAGCTGCTGCAACTGCTTCAGCATCCGCTGCACCGGATTCAACACCTGCCGCAGCAGGTCATGCCACATTCAAGAGGGAAGAGGAAGGGGGCGGTGGTGCAAGAGCTGCTCTGGTGGGGGCTGTGGGGGCTGCGGGGTTAGTGAAGGCGGAGAAGCAGGAGGCACTGGAGGAGTTGGGGTTGGGAGAGGAAAACACCGCCAGGCGATTTTTGAGTCGACTCAAAAGTCAGGAGGCACTGGAGGGGATGGGGTTGGGAGAGGAAAACACAGCCAGGCAGGTTGGGCTGATGGGGCAGGCAGGCCAGGCGGGGCAGATAGGGCAGGTGGGACTGGTTGGGTCTTGCCAGGAAGGTTCTGTGGAAAGTGGTAGTGGGAATGGAGGTGGAGCAAGAGCGGTGTGTGGCAGTCCGCTTAGGTTCCCGATCTCAGCAGCGGCGCTAGCATCAGCCCTGCGGCATGTTGTGGCACTGCCGCCTTCAGTATCCCCTGCCGCCCCTGCCGCCCCTGCCGCACCTGTCGCACCTGTCGCCCCTGCACCCCATGCACCCCCTGCTGCCCCTGCACCTCCTGCCGCCCCTCCATCTCCTGCACCCTCTGCCGCCCCTGCACCCCCCGCTCCCACTGCTGCGCCTGCATCTGTTGCTCCCCATGCATCACCTTCGCCCCATCCTCCACTTACCCGTCCTACGTCATCCGCACACCTTCCACCCCTCGCACCCCCTGCATCCGCCCGTCTCCCCCGCCCCGCTCCTACTTCACCTGCCCCTGTTTTGGCTACTCCCGTGGGAAGCACAGGAGGCACTGCGGCAGAGGGGCAAGCAAGGCCAAGTACAGAACAGCGTCAGCTGGCACTGGTGCCTGTGGCACAGGAGAAAGCATTAGCGAGTGCAGGGGAGGAGATGTGTAGAGATTTAGCACTAATAAACACTCCCTCGGAGGAGAGGGGGAAGACAATAGTGAGTGCTCCTTCTCATGCAGTGGTGCAAGAGAAGGCGATTGTGTGTGCTGGCACGCCCGCAATGGTGAGGGAGAAGGCGATAGTGTGTGCTGGCACGCCCGCAATGGTGAGGGAGAAGGCGATAGTTTTCTCGCAGTGGACGCGCATGCTGGACCTTCTCGAGCTGCACCTGGCTGCTGCCGGCATCTCCCACGTGCGCCTCGACGGCACCATGTCCGTGACAGCTCGAGACAGGGCCATCGCTGATTTCACCTCCGATCCCCAGGTCCGTGCAGGTTCAAGGGTTGTTCAAGGTGATCCCATCCCATCCCATGCATGTGTGCCAAGTTGGTAGGTGGTGGTGGTTCCAAAATTGCTGCACCTGGCTGCTGCCGGCATCTCGCACGTGCGCCTTGACGGCACCATGTCCGTCGCCGCTCGAGACAGGGCCATCGCTGATTTCACCTCCGATCCGCAGGTCCGTGTATTCCCAAGGCTGGTAGGTGGTATTCCCAAGGCTGGTAGGTGGTATTCCCAAGGCTGGTAGGTGGTATTCCCAAGGGATGCCTCTCCAACTAACCCCCGTGAGAGTGCCGCTTCAACAGGCAGCCGTGGGGGCGTGTTTCTCCTCTCCGCCCTCCTCCTCTGCCCTGTTTCTTCGTCCATCCCCCAGAGCACCTCTGAGTACTTTTATGGTTCTGTTGAGGAGTGTCAGCTTCTCAATAACATTCTTAACTGATTAATACAAATGTCACTCTGATTCGTCTCACGGCAACTTTACTTTGCATCTGCTGTGAGCGACTTTTGAGGCGCCTCAAAAGTCGTCTGCTGTGAGCGCGCCATCCACGTCATCCTGATGGACTGGACCATTGCCTGACCTGAACCCACCCTGCAATGGAGCCCCAGGGCACCGACTGCATTTTCAGAGCTGCCTCAGTACCTATCATAACTGCCCCATCTGACCCCTCCCTTCCGCCCCATCCGAACCCTCTCCTGCCACCCCATCAGATCACGGTGATCCTGGTGTCTCTCAAAGCAGCCAGTGTGGGGCTCAATCTGATAGCGGCAAACCATGTCATCCTCATGGACCTCTGGTGGAACCCCGCAGTGGAGGATCAGGCCATCGACCGCGCGCACCGCATCGGCCAGACCCGCCCCGTGCGCGTGGCACGCTTCACCGTGGCTGATACCATCGAAGACCGCATCCTGGAGCTGCAGGTGGGTCAGGGGGTTGGTTGGGATGACTCACTTCACCGTGGCTACCATTGAGGACCGAATCCTGGAGCTGCAAGTGGGTCAAGGTCAGGGGTTCAGGGTCAGGGGTTCAGGGTCAGGGGTTCAGGGTGAATGCTGCAGTGGGTCAGGATGGATCTTGGAAGTGCAGATGGGTGGGAGAGGTGGCACAAGGTGTGTGGTCGGTGAAGCTTGCTCCGTGCTGGTGGTTCTGTTCACTGCGGCCGACGCCACCCCTGGGGATCGCATAGTGGAGGTGCAGGCTTGCTGTGAGGTGGTGGTGATGGCACGACACAATGTGAGGCAGGGCGGGACAAGGTATGTGGTTTGTGAACCGAGCGACGGGTCATCCATGAGCTGTACTCTTTTGAGGCGCCTTTTTAGTCCTCTTTTCTTTTGAGGCGCCTCAAAAGTCCTCTTATGAGGCGCCTTAACAAGGTATGTGGTTGGTGAACCGAGCGACGGGTCATCCATGAGCCGCGCTCTTTGTGCGCGTCTCGTATCGCGGATCCGTGTGGTAATGATGGTGGCTGGCAGTGCTGTTTCTCAACTGCTGTTGTCATATGCATCTTCACTATCACTCTTTGGCTCGTGTAAACGCGTCCTTCCCGCATCCCACATGCCTGAAAAACCCACTGGCACACGAGCAGGAGCGCAAGCGAACGATGATCGAGAGCGCATATGGCGAGTCAGCCACAGCGATGAACCGCTCCCGCCTCACCACAGAAGACCTCAGATTCCTCTTCCAAGTGTGACGTACGGTGCGGGTCAGTCAACGAGTCAATGCCTGGCTGTCTGATGACCCGATATACATGCTGCTAGAAAGGCATAGTGCCAGCGTAGCGGAAACGTGTTTGTAGAAAAGAATAAGATAGAAATCTTGCATTGATCATTGAAAGGTAGAATGGTGACACAAATGATTACTCAATGATGTTGAAGAAGTGACACAGCAGAGTATATATGCATCCAGCTACCCCTCCCAGAATGGCCCATTCACACCAATAATGGTGTACCAATAATTGTACCCTCTACCCTCCAATAATGCTGGGCTCCAATAATTGTGGCCCTACAATAATTGCCACAATTATTGTAGGACCTGGAGGCTTATAACGAGGACTACACTAAAACCAAACAGCACACTGGTATACAGTATTCGTTATACTGTATTCGGATTTCCAACACTCCCCCTTGCTGTAGGTTTTAGTGAAACCGTTTTCCTTGGAGGATAGGGTGGTCGAGGTGGTGTACCACCACACGGTAGGGGTGCGTCCAAACCAAGCTAGGGTTTGGTGTTGGCCAAGCTGCTTGTCACTGTAGCACTTTTCCCTCCCAACCTTTGGGCCTTCCAAACTCCAACCAAACCACATTTCTTCACGGTTTCCGACCCCCCCTTCCAATCTCGACATTCTAGATCGAGATCTAGAGAGTAGTGACTGCTGCTGAGGAAATCGTAGCAGCTCCATGGCGAAATCTCTTCAAAACCATGGCGTAGTCCGCGTATCGTCATGGTGGAATGCCCTTAGCGCACGCCGATTTTCCGAAACCGTAGGCTTTATCGCACGCGACGACCACACTTGACGCGCGTTTGCGACGATCGCGGTTGCGGATGACGCGAATCGGTAGCGGATAACGCATGGCGTACGGCTGGCGCGGAACTGCATTGGCAGGCGCACACTTCGCGCGATAGAAGCGACGACCTTGCGTTCGTCAGCGGCTGACGATCTGCTGCACGCCTGCTGCATCATTTTCCTGTTCGCGCCTGCTGCATCTTCGTATGCCTTTCTCCCCATGCTTTGGCAATCTTGCCAAGTTTGCTCAAACTTCACCCATGTTGCCCTGTGATGCTCCCATACGCTCCAGCCGACACACGGTAGCAGCCGGAGTTGCCGAACTCCATCAGCTGGAGGGTTGCGCATGCCGACGAACTCCAAGTATCCCAGAAATCTGTACTCCATATATGCAGAAATGTCCACTCCATGTGTGCAGTGCACACCAAGTATGCCGAAATGTGCACACCAATAATGGAGAAACGTGCACACCAGGTATGCAGTAATGCGTGTTCCCATGTATGTTCTCCATCATTCCCTCAGACGGTGCCGTTCATCTGCAGCAACCAATCGCACGATACCGCTGCATCACGACGTATGACAACCTGCTGCATCCATTTTGCCTGCTCCCCCTGCCTATTGGCAACCCTTGGTGAGTAGGTCTTCCCCTTATGCTTCTTGACTCCATATCCCACTCCTGTGCCACCAGATACACTCCACACCCCACCTCCCCCCCACCCATGTGCTTGTAGTGATCCGCGTACACAGCTACAAGCACATGAGGGAGTATGGAGTTAGGTGATGCCATGGTGTGCAGCCCCGTTCGAGGTGGCCGCACAGGTGAGCACAACTCCAGAATCATTGACTTGGCGATGATCAGCAGATGGTACGCCCGTTCCTGCACATCCCACATTGTTTTCAGCATCATTGTCTTCAACCTCCTTTGGTACAATCACTCCTGCTGCAGGGAAGTCATCTGCTGCAGCATCTCTGCTTCCTTGGGTTGCATCAACTTTATCAGCTCCATGTAAGTCCTGTTTTACAGGGTCTGCTCCATCGACTCCCGAATCCATCGCGAACCGTCTTCCTTCTCCCCCTGAAGTCCACACCGCAACGTGGGGTGTGACTTCATCCGTGGTATCATCATGTGCCTGCTTCCGCACGACGCATGCCTTATGCGCCATGCGGTACCGAACAGATGCATGCGCAGACTGGCCACTCAAGTGCATCCCAGGTGTGCGGAAATCCGTGCTCCCAGGTGCGTCCATGTGCACACCAGGTGTGCGGAAAAGGGTAACCCCTTCACGATCAACCTGATTCGATGACGCGCCATCACGGGAATGTCCAAGATCAAGGGCGGATGTAAGTGCATGCGCATACTGCACCACAAGCACTCCATCCACGTTCTTGGCAAGTCCAATCCGCACGTACACCTCTCCATCAGTCATGGTGATCTCGGTGTCTCCATTAGTAATGGTATTGATGCGCGCTCCCTTTTTCAGCAGCTGACAATAGGAGAGCAGGTTACTCTTCAAGCCAGGTACGTAGAGGACGTCAGTGTACCGAACTGTTGTCCCATCAGATGCCGTTGCTCTGATCGTTCCCGTCATCGTGCTGCTCAGCTCGCTCCCATCAGCGAGCTCCACATAAACAAGTTTGTCCAGCTCCCTTAACTCTTCAAACCAGCGCTTGTCCGAGGTCATGTGCTGGCTGCATCCACTATCCAGCATCCAAGATGACGCTTTAGCTGGTGGTAAGGTAGCTTGTGACGATCCCACCGTTGCAGTGCACGTAACAGTACGTTGCTTGTCTTCCCCGGCCGCCCCTTGCTGTTTTGACGCATTATTGTCACGCTTGGGGCTGCGACTCCTTCGTGGGGAGGACGAACGGCTGTCGCTGGTGTGCAGTTTTGCCTTTCCGCGGGTATGCGGTTCCCACCCTGGTGGTGTCCAGCCAGGGGGTGCCTTGGTACACTTGAAGAAGGGGTGGCCTGGCTCGTTGCAGTACCAACACACGAGAGGTGAGCGACCCGCACTTCCTTCCTTGCCTTGCATTTTCTCCCCAGCGAACTCTTCCTTGTACTCGGTGCTGCCCTTAGCAGTTGGAGAAGGTGAGCGATCTCCACGTGCTTGTCCAGCCATGCGAGGTGGACGCCGGTCACGGTTATCCTTCGTAATGAGGTCGTGATACCTCTGCTCTTGAATCATCATCCGCTGCAAGGTGAAGCTATCCGTCACGTTGTGTAGCATTGCCGAGTGCCTCATTTCCTCCCAATACGCCGGTAGTCCGGTGAGCAGATTTAAGGTGAATGTGTCCTCATCCACCATCTTCCCCACGAGTGCTAACTTGTCCCGGATTGCCGATGCGCGGTTCACGTACTCCTCCACCCTTTCCGTGTTCCCCATTTTCAGGTTGTCCAGCTGCTTCATGAGAGAGACCTTCGCCACCGAATCTTTAGCCTGGTAAGTGTCCATTAAATACTCCCATGCTTCATATGCCGGGCTATAGGATTCCTGGAACATGTCCAGCTGTAGCTGAATCGTGGCGCTCACGCTGTGCAGTAGGACCCAAAAAGCGAGCGCCGCACGCTGTGAGTAATCCGCCTGTAGCATTTCCAGTCGCTCCATAGCGTCGTTAATGTCACCATCTCCCATGGTAACCGGATACTGCAGGGTCACAAAGAACTCCCACAGATTCGTGACGCGAGCGTTCATACGAAACCGTAGTGCCCACTCCCGGAAGTTCGAGCCATCAAACGGAGTAGTGGTGAACGCTTTGTCCACCGTTGCTCCCACCATTTTGCGTGACAACCGTTCCTTGTCTTCTTCCGTGTATTCACGTGGAGCGGGGTCGAAGAGAGTAGGCACGGTTGACGGTCGAGGTAGCTGAACCGTGCGCTGCATGTCCCCATTCTGTCCACCAAGTTGACGTTCCAGCACTTCCACTTGATCCCGTCGCATGACACCACTTGACTGCATTCCGTATCCCATCCGCCCCATGCTGTCCACATAGTGTGCGCCTATCGATCGACGTGGTGCACGCGGAGGTACGTCATAGCCGTCATTAAGGTGAGACCTGGCCATGGGAGGAACTCCAATGGGATGGGAGTTAGTCGCAAGTCGTCGTAGTGGGGGAGCACCAATAGTGCAGGAGGCAAAACCCACACCTTCCACGCCCACTTGACCATTTCCGTCACCCTTCTGCCCAATCTGTCCACTTCTCATTCCACCATGCACTGCACTCCCATACTCATCATTTCTCCCCCGTACTTCCCTTTGCATGGATGATTGAGGTGCGGGATTGGCGCTCTCCTCTCCTTGGACGGATGCATCCCTCCCTTGGGATGACTCTCCTCCTTGAGGTATGCCCATTTCCCCTTCACCATCAATTCCTGCATAAACGTTTGCACGAGTTTGGTTAGTACGTGGAGTGCTTGAATGAGAGTGTCCACGGGTGGACGGATTGCTGGACTCATGAGAGAACGTTGTTCTTGGCTGGATTGTCATTCCAAACTTATCCCTTAACGAAGCTTGGAGTGCTGGTGGTGCCTTTGCAATCATGCTTTCCAGGTGCTCATGCTGAGCCATGATGGCTTCTTCAAAAGCCGCATATCCAGGATCCACTTCGCCATCGAAGTGCGCCATGACCTTGACAAAACCGTCCACCAAGTGTGCGGTAAACGTGCGATTGGACCCAGAAGCGAACACCAGGTATACAACAGCGCAGACCGGGTGTGCGGTACTCTGACTGTATGCAGGTACCTATCCGATGTGAATGCCAGTAAATTCCTGAACCAAATTTGGCAGCATGCCCCCTAGAGTAGCTCTGATACCATGCTAGAAAGGCATAGTGCCAGCGTAGCGGAAACGTGTTTGTAGAAAAGAACAAGATAGAAATCTTGCATTGATCATTGAAAAGTAGAATGGTGACACAAATGATTACTCAATGATGTTGAAGAAGTGACACAGCAGAGTATATATGCATCCAGCTACCACTCCCAGAATGGCCCATTCACACCAATAATGGTGTACCAATAATTGTACCCTCTACCCTCCAATAATGCTGGGCTCCAATAATTGTGGCCCTACAATAATTGTCACAATTATTGTAGGACCTGGAGGCTTATAACGAGGACTACACTAAAACCAAACAGCACACTGGTATACAGTATTCGTTATACTGTATTCGGATTTCCAACACATGCGACGGGTAGGAATGTGTTGGTCAGATAGATATGCATTTCTCTGGCATACCGTAGATGCAGCTAATCCCGTTCGTAATCAGAAGGATCCCTTGCAGTGTCTAGGCAGGTGGGGGTCCAAATTGCTGTTAATAGTGAGAGGTTTGCGTTCGTACCGGTAGCTTGCCTTGGCACTCAAGCTCTAGTTGCTCAGGTGGTACTCTTGCACATGATTGTCCAATCGAAGTTTGGTAGGAGTTTCTTTTGCTGTACGGGGGGTGTTGTTGACCTGTGTGCGTGCCTTGTAGACTGGTAACAGTGAATTGTATATCAGTTGTGTCACTGTTGAAGCTTTATACTACATCAGTTGTCAGATTTCATTAACGTTGAATTGAAGTGTTCAATAAGTGTACACCAGTTTGCTTTAACAAAAGTACTGTACATGCAATGAGGCTGGCTTGAACATGTTTAGGTCTCCACAAAAACTGCAGACGAGCCAGGGCAGGAAAAGCAGTTGCAACATCCCCAATAACCAGCCTGGTATGCCAACCAATCGCTTTTGAGTCAACTCGATAACAGCCTGGAGTGCTACCCAGTCGCTCCTCGGAAAAGATACCGTAACTGAAAAGTGGAGCAGCTACACGAGGGGATGCGAGTAGCTAAGCGAGGGAATGCGACGCGACTCAAGGAAACGGGTCTCTAGCGACGACATAGACGAGGGGCCTCAAGCACGGTGGTGACTGAAGCAGAGCCGCTAGCAGAGCAGAGTATCGCGGGTGTCGTTGCCGGTGACAGGATTGGTGCTGCTTGGCAGGTGGAGGGGTAAGGTGGGGTTGGGGAGGGAGGGGTTCAAGGGGAATTCAAAAGTGAGGGGGGTGATGGAGAGGAAAGGGCAGAAAAGGTGGTGGAAGCAACGGGGGAGGGAAAGCTAGGAGCGGAAGCACAGGAAAAGGGGAGAATTGGTAAAAACAGGAGAACGGATGACATGGCAGCATGGTGGACACACACACTCACCCCGCAACTGCAACACCCCACAGCCGCTCTGCAGTGGTACGCCTTCTCATTTCCAGCCCGCAACTGCAACACCCCCCAAAGTCTGTGGCACCTACCTGCCGCTACATCGGCCTCCCAACCCGACTCACCCTTCAGCCGCTCTGCAGAGGTATGCCTTCTGATCCGCTCGGAAATACACGTCTGTGAAGTCTGCAGGGGGTGATAGACATGGGTATGGGCATGAGCATGGGCATGGGCATGGGTAGGGGCGTGGGCATGGGCATGGGCATGGGCATGGGCATGGGCATGGGCATGGGCATGGGCATGGGCATGGGCAGGGGCAGGGGCATGGGCATGGGCATGGGCATGGGCATGGGCATGGGCGTGGGGATGGGGATGGGGATGGGGATGGGGATGGGGATGGGGATGGGGATGGGGATGGGGATGGGGATGGACATGGGGATCGGGTGGTGAGTGAACCACATTCCCCACACGCACACCATCATATATCTATTGTCGAGAATAGCCCCAAAGCTCAGAAACAGGAGAGGGTACGCAAATACCCGCGGCAGCAGGGGTAGATCCGCTGAAGGACGCGTTGCCAGTGAAGGAGGAGAGGGAGAGGCAGAGAGCAGGAGAGTGAGGGCGCAGGAGCGAGTGCAGCACTGACCAGCGCCAGTGATGGTGACGCCCTTGAAGGGCGTGTTGCCGGTGAAGGGGAGTGAGCGTGAGGTTGGAAGTGAGAGCTAGAGTGAACGAGGGGGAAGGTGGAAGTGAGTGTTAGAGGGAGTGAGTGGGAAGGTGGAAGCGAGTGTGACTCACCAGCGCCAGTGATGATGGCGCCTTTGAAGGACGTGTTGCCAGTGAAGGAAATGCCCTCCAAAATGGCGTTCGTGAAGTTGGCCTTTGGAAAAAGGGAGCGGGAGAGTGCGCGTGGCAGCCGGGAAGCAGGGGACAACGGGGGAGGGGACAAGATGGTAAGGGGTCTGTTTATGAGGCGCCATGGCAAGCAGGCGTGGGAGAGGGCGGATAGCAGCACGAGGGGAAGGGGGACGGGAGCCAGTGGCGGGGCGAGAACGAGGGGATACCAGGGGAAGGAAAGATCAGAGGAACGAAGCAAGGGCGTCAGCAAGGGCGTAGCAGCACCCTGTAGTTCCCATCGTGTAAACAGAAGCGTTTTGAGACGTCTCAAACACTTCTGTTTACACGGGGCGTAGCAGCACCCTGTAGTTCCCATCGCACCCTGCTCACTGCTCGCACCTTGTTTGCACTGGTGAGGGAGAAGTCAGCCGCAGTGAGGTTGGCTCCTGTGAAGTCCGCCCCTGATGTGCAGAAGACAAGCGTTGGAGGATAAGGGGTGGGTGGATGGATAGTGAAGAGAGCGGATGATACCGGGAGGAGAGGAACGAAGGTTGGCGAGCAATGCAAAGTTGATGAGGGAATGCGGGGAAGGAGAAGTTGAAATGGGGAGATTACGAAAGGAGAAGATGGGAAGGGGGAGATGGGAGAGGGGAGATGGGGGGAGGGGGAGATACGGAGAGGGGGAGATGGGGAAGGGGGAGAAGGAGAGGGAGGAGGATGGGGAGAGAGGGGGACGGGGAGAGGGGGAGATGGGGAGATCGGAAGACGGGGAGAGGGGGAGATGGGGAGAGGGGGAGATGCATGCAGCTGCCACTTCAAAGTGCTATTTGTGCAATGGTGCAAGTGTTTAACATTGGGGAAGGAGGGTTCATCTGCGCGAGTTCATTTGCGCAATGGTGGCGGTGCTAACTCTGGAGTTAGCTGTGAAATGGCATCTGTCGGGGTGGAAATCCTTCTTTGTGGGGTTCTTTACGAGGGGAAGGTGCCATTTTGTGTGAGGCGGCAACGGGAGGTGGTGCCTGTGAGGCGGCAAGGGGAGGTGGTACCTGTGAGACGGCAGGGGGAGGTGGTACCTGTGAGGCGGCAGGGGGAGGTGGTACCTGTGAGGCGGCAGGGGGAGGTGGTGCCTGTGAGGCGGCAGGGGGAGGTGATACCTGTGAGGTCAGCATCGAAGAAAGACGCCCCTATGAGATTCGCCCCGGCGAAATTCGCCTGGCGCAGAATGGACTGTGGGCGGGCCGGGTGGTGGGGGGTGCAGAGTGGTGGAGGGAGGTGGAGACGGGGGGATGAAGGGGATGGAGGCAGGTCGTGGAGGCGAATAAGGGGAGAAGGGGATAACGAGGCGTTAAGGGGAGTGGGGAAGGGAAAGGGAGGTGGGTGGGAGGTCACAAAATGGGACGGTTGGCCGACAAGGCGAGACTGTAAGAGGGAGACTGTTGGAGTGGTTTGAGACTAAGAGAGACCAGCACGATTTGGCTGGGAGCTGGGCGAGTGAGACCACACCCAGACCCAGAAAACCGTAAGAGAGATAGATCAATCGACGGCTTCTCTCATTCATTCTAAACAGGACTGCCCAATCGCATGCCTTCCCTCTCACGTCAGCACAAGTCAACGCGAGTCAACGCAAGTTAAAGGTGCGGTTTCCAGATCGAACCAACGCACCGTCTTGAAGTCCTGCCCGCGCAGGTCCAGCCCGCTGTAGTCCCTTCCCGTCAGGTCCTGGCCACGTGTCACCTCGCGACCGTACGGACCTCCTCCCTGGGACGCACGGGCAGACAGGGACGGCGGAACGGATGATGTGTTGAAAGGAAAGGCGGATACAGGGAGATTACCGTAATGCAGGTAGGTACGCATGTGCATGGTGCGCAGGTAGCACCTCATTCATATTCCACGTACGATGTACGCCAATGCCGCGTCGGGCTCAAAGCCGCCACAGCCGCTGCTGCCGCTCGCTGTTGTCGCCAATGCTTACACTTATCCACTTACGCGCTCGATCATCTCGCATCCCCCCTGCCTTTCATATCCGCGACCCGACCCCCTCATTCGCATTCCACGTACGATACAGGCCAAGGCGGCGTCAGGCACAAAGGGGCCCGCCACAGTCGAGTTATCCTTTCTCTCGCTCATTCAACCTCTCACCCCTCGTGCCCCCGAGACCTGACATCACTCCACGTACGATGTATGCCAATGCAGCGTCAGGCACAAAGGGGCCCGCCACAGCCGCTGCTGCCGCCAGCGCCACCGCCGCCGTCGCGTGCTGCTGCCGCCATCGCTCCCCCCACGAGGCGCCGCTCCCGCCTTTCTGCTCGCGCCCGCCCTCGGTACTGTCACTCTGCCCAACAGGAACGTGGGGATGAGGTGAAACTATTTATTTTTTAAAATGTGTTGGTTTATAAGAGGGTCTATTTCGCTGTATGGTAATAGCAGGGGAGCAGCGGCTGCAGGGGAGCGGCGCTTGCGGGGGAGCGGCAGGCGGATCCGCGCGTACCTTGAGAGCGCGCACGACAGTCCGCTTCGGCGCAACCGCGGTGGCGAAGGCCTTGCGAAGGGAGTTTGGCGAGGTGGTACGAAGAGACGGCGATGGGACGAGGGTGGACGCGGACGAGAGAGCTTGAAGCGACATGGTGGCCATGTGGTTTGGCGGATGAGAGGCGAACAGCAAAGTCGGGTCTTGCGGGTATACGGCAAGTCCGAACTTTGAATGCCGACTAATCTCGAGTTTTGGACCAGACGACTGATTGTTCTGAACGGTGCCGAGACAAGAGAATAACGATGTCAGGGTGAGTTGATAGTGGGTCTTGTCCTCATTTTGTAGTACGAATTCTGTTGTGTTGCTGCCGTCATTCCCAGTAAGGAGCTGGATGGGGTGACTTGGAGCCTGGATGACGTGGTTTGGGTTGCGAACACGCAAGCAGGCGAGTGCAAGAAGTTTTCGTGTGCCGCACTCAGTCTCGATAGCTGGTTACAGGCTCTTGCGAAACATTCATCGTTACCAACGAATCTGCTTGATGACTCATATCATACCCTACACTCCACTTGGCAAACAAGCTCGACGCCACGTAGTCCCCAGAGATTCTGTCAGACTGTTGCCGCTACTAGGTTTCATGCGGTATTGTTCAGCCGCGTGCCAAGCTACATGCGAAAAAACAGGTCACACGTCAATGCTTAGTAATTTACCCAAGAGCATGAAAATAATACATGCTCATCTCTCCAAGCCATTTTACACTCAGAAGTCTCCAAATTCTGGCTGAAAACTTTTTCCACCGCATTTAAAAGCGTGGATGCATGTTTTGCATTAGTGTGTTTCATTCAGGAAAAAAGAGTCCACTCAGCTGCTGTTATGGTAGATAAGGTGTATGAACAACGGAACTCTTTAGTCCTAGTAACGAGCTGCCTCTGAAAGGGTCGAGCAATGGTCCTCCTATCCAAGGAATCAGGTGTCGTCATCTTCAAGTGTCCTTTCAACGCGTACGGACGAAATTCGTCGAAAGCGCCCAGCATAATGATTTTGATGGCCTTGCCTATAAAGACTCTTTATGCAATTCTGTAGTTAGCCAGCTGCTGCGTCGTGACGCGGTGACCATTCGGCGGAAATCCTGCGCGCGACGCGAGGCTCCAGGCGACCGCATTACAGTTCCAGAAACACAAAACTGATTGTACATCCGACCATTCCAGAAAATGCATGCGAGCTAGAACCGTAGGATCTCGATTAACATTCTAGCACATACGTATGAATGGCTTTCATGCCAGACTTAGTCCCTTGACGCCGCTGATTCTGTACCCGCATTACTGAACGGCGATGTCTCGCATTCTCGTACCAGTGAGTCACAATGGCACAGTAGCGTGTCCGTTACGCTATCTCTCTGATAACAGTGTTTCGCCTTGCAGCTTGCGCGCGCTTGTGATGAATCCGGACCAGCCATGAACATGAGTTTTTTTGCGTGATCCGTGGAGACAAGAGCTGTGTGGTTATCCGTTCATGTTGTGCGTCGTTACCATGTTCATGTTAGCCGTTACCAAGGGAGTGTCGTCAGAATTACACTCATGTCATCGCCCTTGCATAGCTTCAGCCAACTCTGTATCTCCAATCCCCGAGTTCCGCGAAGCTCCGTTCCCGCAAAGCCCCACCCCGCTCAATGCTTTCCGTTCCGCAGCATTGTCGCTGCACTCGCATGGTTCCTCTTGAAACCGCCACGTAGCTTCTCACATCTCCCTCTTACCATCCCCTCGCACCCCCTGTTACCACTCCCTCCCTTCTTACCACTCCCTCTCTCTTACCACCCCCTCTTACCACATGTATTACCCTTGGCACCATGCGTGCCTCACGTTGTGGTGCACGGCAGGAGCAATACCTCTTCCTCGCCGTGCTCGCCTTTTTCTTCCTCGTCTCCCTGCTGCAGGTCCGCCATTCACTTTGCGCCTCCCCGTTTATAAGCTCTGCGTTTGCTCGACCGTTTCGCCGTGCATTCACCATTCCATGCAGCAATGAGCCATGGCATGCATCAATGAACCATGCCATGCATCAATAGACAATTCCCACATCAATGAGTCATGCCATGCATCAATGAGTCATGCCATGCATCAATGAGTCATGCCATGCATCAATGAGTCATGCCATACATCAATGAGTCATGCCATGCATCAATGAGTCATGCCATGCATCAATGAGTCATGCCATGCATCAATGAGTCATGCCATGCATCAATGAGTCATGCCATGCATCAATGAGTCATGCCATGCATCAATGAGTCATGCCATGCATCAATGAGTCATGCCATACATCAATGAGTCATGCCATACATCAATGAGTCATGCCATACATCAATGAGTCATGCCATACATCAATGAGGAATGCCCAACCCCAGCTGCGAGTGACATGGGTGGAGAAGCTCAGCGCCCTGGACCTGCCACCCGAGGGCTTCGCCAGCCTTGCAAAGACAGGAGTACGCATGGTGTGATCCATGATGCATGTGTGATGCATGATGAATGATGTGACACATGATGCATGATGTGATGCATGATGAATGATGTGACGCATGATGCATGATTTGATGCATGATGAATGATGTGACGCATGATGCACGATGTGATGCATGATGTGATGCGTGATGCATGATGCATGGTGCAAGATTTGACGCGTGATGCATGATGCACGATGTGACGCATGGTGCATGATGTGCATGATGCATGGCGTGATGCATGATGCATGATACCCGTCAATCCCTGTGCACTAGAACCACCTCTCTCTCTTACACGATAAGCAATGGCCTGTCTCTCAACGTCCCTTTTTCTAGCATCTCAACTCTCCACACCATCCGCACTGCCGTCATCAACTGCTGCCTCCTCATCCTCCTTACCATGTTTCCCTTCCCTCCCGCCCACTATCCTGCAATGCCAATCTGCAGCAGCCAATCGGGACGAAGCTGAGTCAGCGTGCCATGCTGGCGTACACTTCAGCTGACATCGCAGCGCTCCACCGTAAGCCCCCTCTCTTTCCTTGCGGGGTCTTAAAAGTGGTAGGAGAGAAGAATACAATAGAACAAGTTTTGAATGAAAGCTCCTTCTGAGGATAATTTATTTTAATAAAAAATGTCACCAAGCACTGGAAGAAACCTTAGAAGAAGATGAAGGGGTTTGTTCTCTCGAGTATCAAGGAAGGGGCCCTTGTGGCCTCTCTTCTCCCTCTTTGCTTTCCCTTGTGCCGCCTCCTATCCCACATTCTCTTTTCCTTCTGCACTCCAGGCGCCATGCAAGAAGATTCAGAGCAGGTGCGGCAGCAGCTGGCAGCAGGCATGGAGGGGGTGGCGCGGGAGGTGGGGCAGCTGCGCCAGGCCAGCAGCAAGGCGGCGGGGGACGCGGCGCAGGTGCTGAGAGAGGGGCAGGAGGGGCTGCAGCAGCTGCAGGCGGAGATTAAAGAGCTTAAAGCCCGCGTGCGCCGGCAGGGCGAGGAGCTGTCTCAGCAGATGGTGACCCTGGCTCGCCTGCAGGTGAGCGGATGGGGATGAAGGGAGATAAGAAGTTAACTTTTTTCTAGTAGGTGAACTTAGAAGCAGGAACAGCTTAGAGAGCCTTTGAGCTGCGCCAGGCAAGCAGCAAGGCGGCGGGGGACGCGGCGCAGGTGCTGAGGGAGGGGCAGGAGGGGCTGCAGCAGCTGCAGACAGAGATTCGGGAGCTTAAAGCCCGCGTGCACCGGCAGGGAAGGGATATCTCTCAGCAGATGGCGGCCCTGGCTCGGGTGCATGTAAGTGGCAGGGGGGTGGAAGGTGCATGCAGGAGAATAACACCTGGAAAACAGGCAGTTGGAAGCAGCGTGCGTGTGTTGGCAGGGCGAGGGGATTCCGATAGTACTTCACTTTACTTAGTACTATGGGAACGAGGAAAGGAGAGGATCTGGTGGGTGCGTGTATGGGTGTATCAACCACTGAGAAGCTGGATGCTGCTTTCTCGTCTCTCCTTATCACTCCACCCTCCTCGTCCTCCTCCCTCCTCACTCCCCTCCCAAACCCCCTACCCGGTTCTCATACCTGCTGCGTTTTTCCATCCTCATCCTCTCCTTTCCACTCTCCAGCAGCAGGCACGGCAGAACAACGCCAACACTCGGGCTGCCGCTGCCGATTTGTGAGTCGACTCAAAGATCAGATCATCCCTGCTGCGTCTTTCCACCCTCATCTTCTCCTCTCCACTCTCCAGCAGCAAGCACGGCAGAACAACGCTCGGGCTGCCGCTGCCGCCGCCACTGCTGCTGCAGTTACTGAAGCTGGCGGTGGTAGCAGCAACAGCAGCGGTGGCAGTGGGGGGAGGGGGAGCGGGGTATACCACAGGCCGTGGCGGCGGAACGGGTTCCGGAGGTGGAAGATCACGGATGACCGCCCGCAGTACTGGCGGCAGCGCGTGTTTGAGAAATACGGCGCCTATGGCTTTGTCAAATTCAGGTGAGCCTGAAGTTCAGGTGGGCACAAAGGTAAGGTGAGTCTAAAGCTGGTATGGCAGTAGCAGCAGTGGCGTCAGAAGCAGTGGCGGCAGTAACAGTGGGGGGAGGGGGAGCGGCCCGAGCGGGGTATACCACCGCCCGTGGCGGCGGAACGGGTTCAGACGGTGGAAGATCACAGATGACCGCCCACAGTACTGGCGGCAGCTTGTGTTCGAGAAATACGGTGCCTACGGCTTCGTTAAATTTCAGGTGAGCCCGAAGTTCAGGTGAGTTCAAAGGTCAGGTGAGCACAAAGGTGAGGTGATCTCAAAGGTGAGGTGATCTCAAAGGTGAGGTGATCTCAAAGGTGAGGTGAGTCTAAAGTTCTGGTGGGCTTAGCTTGATTTCAGAGTTTGCAATGGCTGTGACTGATTCCATACTTAAGGTGAGAGCACAGCTTAGGTAAGACACGACACTGCATGGCATGGCATGGCATGGCTTCCTCTCCCCTCATTCCTCTCCCTCACATCCCCTGCGTCTCCCAGTGCATACCGCATGAGTGCAAGGCGAATAGCCATAATAGGCATGGTGCCGGTGGCCATGGAGGGCAAGACGCGCCTCAGGGGGCTCCTGTTGACTTCATTGACTCTCTTGACCCTGCTTCCTCTCCCTCCTATCCCATGCGTCCCCCAGTGCATACCGCATGAGTGCAAGGCGAATAGCCATAATAGGCATGGTGCCGGTGGCCATGGAGGGCAAGACGCGCCTCAGGGGGCTCCTGTTGACTTCATTGACTCTCTTGACCCTGCTTCCTCTCCCTCCTATCCCATGCGTCCCCCAGTGCATACCGCATGAGTGCAAGGCGAATAGCCATAATAGGCATGGTGCCGGTGGCCATGGAGGGCAAGACGCGCCTCAGGGGGCTCCTGTTGACTTCATTGACTCTCTTGACCCTGCTTCCTCTCCCTCCTATCCCATGCGTCCCCCAGTGCATACCGCATGAGTGCAAGGCGAATAGCCATAATAGGCATGGTGCCGGTGGCCATGGAGGGCAAGACGCGCCTCAGGGGGCTCCCGTTGACTTCATTGACTCTCTTGACCCTGCTTCCTCTCCCTCCTATCCCATGCGTCCCCCAGTGCATACCGCATGAGTGCAAGGCGAATAGCCATAATAGGCATGGTGCCGGTGGCCATGGAGGGCAAGACGCGCCTCAGGGGGCTCCTGTTGACTTCATTGACTCTCTTGACCCTGCTTCCTCTCCCTCCTATCCCATGCGTCCCCCAGTGCATACCGCATGAGTGCAAGGCGAATAGCCATAATAGGCATGGTGCCGGTGGCCATGGAGGGCAAGACGCGCCTCAGGGGGCTCCTGTTGACTTCATTGACTCTCTTGACCCTGCTTCCTCTCCCTCCTATCCCATGCGTCCCCCAGTGCATACCGCATGAGTGCACGGCGAATAGCCATAATAGGCATGGTGCCGGTGGCCATGGAGGGCAAGACGCGCCTCAGGGGGCTCCTGTTGACTTCATTGACTCTCTTGACCCTGCTTCCTCTCCCTCCTATCCCATGCGTCCCCCAGTGCATACCGCATGAGTGCAAGGCGAATAGCCATAATAGGCATGGTGCCGGTGGCCATGGAGGGCAAGACGCGCCTCAGGGGGCTCCCGTTGACTTCATTGACTCTCTTGACCCTGCTTCCTCTCCCTCCTATCCCATGCGTCCCCCAGTGCATACCGCATGAGTGCAAGGCGAATAGCCATAATAGGCATGGTGCCGGTGGCCATGGAGGGCAAGACGCGCCTCAGGGGGCTCCCGTTGACTTCATTGACTCTCTTGACCCTGCTTCCTCTCCCTCCTATCCCATGCGTCCCCCAGTGCATACCGCATGAGTGCAAGGCGAATAGCCATAATAGGCATGGTGCCGGTGGCCATGGAGGGCAAGACGCGCCTCAGGGGGCTCCCGTTGACTTCATTGACTCTCTTGACCCTGCTTCCTCTCCCTCCTATCCCATGCGTCCCCCAGTGCATACCGCATGAGTGCAAGGCGAATAGCCATAATAGGCATGGTGCCGGTGGCCATGGAGGGCAAGACGCGCCTCAGGGGGCTCCTGTTGACTTCATTGACTCTCTTGACCCTGCTTCCTCTCCCTCCTATCCCATGCGCCCCCCAGTGCATACCGCATGAGTGCAAGGCGAATAGCCATAATAGGCATGGTGCCGGTGGCCATGGAGGGCAAGACGCGCCTCAGGGGGCTCCCGTTGACTTCATTGACTCTCTTGACCCTGCTTCCTCTCCCTCCTATCCCATGCGTCCCCCAGTGCATACCGCATGAGTGCATGGCGAATAGCCATAATAGGCATGGTGCCGGTTGCCATGGAGGGAAAGACGCTCCTCACTGACTGCACGTGGCACGGCTCCGATGGCTCGCGCATCAACGGAGACCTCACAATCAGCCTCGTGGGCAGGCATCACAACTACATCGTAAGGCCGTGGCTTGTATGTGAATGGTCCACGCACTTCAATTGGCACGGCTCGAGTGGCACGGCTCGAGTGGCAGGGCTCGTAAGCTCCCATACAAATGGAGACCTCACAATCAGCCTCGTGGGCAGGCATCACAACTACATCGTAAGGGCATAGGGTAGGCAGGTGCGCAGTGCAGGACTGAGATGCAGGCATAGCGCTTGCCTGGACTTGAGTGGCACCGCTCCGATGGCTCGCGCATCAAAGGAGACCTCGGCATGGCTGGCTCTGATTGCTCCCGTATGGATGGTGATCTCTCTCCATCAGGGCTAGCCATGCCATCAGGGCCAGCCATGCCATCAGGGCCAGCCATGCCATCAGGGCCAGCCATGCCATCAGGGCCAGCCATGCCATCAGGGCCAGCCATGCCATCAGGGCCAGCCATGCCATCAGGGCCAGCCATGCCATCAGGGCCAGCCATGCCATCAGGGCCAGCCATGCCATCAGGGCCAGCCATGCCATCAGGGCCAGCCATGCCATCAGGGCCAGCCATGCCATCAGGCTCCATCAGCCTCGTGGGCAAACATCACATCACAACCAAGTGACTATCGTGTCTTTGTGCGCCCTACTAGAACGCCTCCTCCTACTGCTGGCCTTCTCCATGAGCACTCATCCGTGCGGCTCCATCAGCCACATAGGCAAACATCACATCACAACTACATTGAAAGCTTATGGCTTGTATGTGAATGGCTTGTATGGGTTGGCTCTGATGGCTCCCGTGTGGATGGTGCCCTACAAGCTAGGCTACACCATCCACAGCCGGCTTTTTAGGCACCCCAAAAGCCATCTACAGCCTCGTGGGCAGACACCTACATTGACTTTTGAGTCGACTCAAACGTCACCCCGTGTGGATGGTGCCCCACAGGCTACACCATCCACAGCCTCGTGAGGAAACACCTACATTGTGAGGCCACAGGGTTGGCTGACTGGCTGGCTGGCTGGCTGGCTGGCTGGCTGGCTGGCTGGCTGGCTGGCTGGCTGGCTGGCTGGCTGGCTGGCTTGGGAGATAGCTGTGTTCTGACTGATGAATCCAATGACATGCTGATGAGGATGAATGTATATCATATCTATTCCCAGCAACTTATGACAATGATAATGATTCTGTTATTGATTATTCTAAGAATATTCTGCCTTTTCCCACCCCTTACTCTGCTCCCCACTCCATGCCTACGTGGCAGTGCTGCTGTGCACATTCGACAGTGCCACCAAGGCAGCAGGAGGCCACCTGGAGGCGAGGATAGAGCAGGAGATACTGTTCCCGTACAGAGAGGAGGCGAGTGAGGTGAGTCATTTTTGAGATGTCTCAAAACCCAAAGCTAATTCTAAGGCAGCAGGCGGGCTCCTGGGGGCGAGGATAGAGCAGGAGATACTGTTCCCGTACAGAGAGGAGGCCAGTGAGGTGAGATATGTTACCTAACCTGTTGTATGGCTACCACAGGTCCTAGATATCTCTGCTCCTTGCCTTGACGACCCGCCATACCCCACTCTCCACCCACGCCAACTCTCACCACCACCAGCTTTCCGCTCTGTTCGCTCTCGAGTCTCCACACCAACTCCCACTCTTCTCACAAACTCACAAGCCCCCCCCCCCCCACTTTGTCTTTGTCACGCACGTGCATCAAGAGCACAACCCCCTACACTGCTCGCTGCTCTCCCCCTCAACCCCACTCACTGCTGTCCCAATACCCCCACCCCATACCAAGCACTGCCATCACGCCCTCCTCCCTGTCCACTTCTTTCTGTTCTATTAAGTAGGGACGGGAGAGGGAGGGGTTGGTGGTGTGGGGCTTCCTCGGAAAACGTCTGTGTGGTTTCGAGCCAAACCCTTTCTCCTTGTAACCCTCCTTTTGCTCCCCCCACCCCACTTCCCCAGCCTTTGGATCCTCCTTCGCCCCTCCCTCTCGACGTGGCAGCGTGTGTGTCCCCCATTCACGGAACCATCGACGCCAGGAGGCTCCTTGGGTGGCTGCACTTCCACCGCACCGCTTCCTCCTTTACGATGCAGGGGGCATCGCGGGCAACGGGGAGGCGTGTTGTTCTCAACCAATCCATCTCTCCATGAACCCACGCTTCCCTTCTCTTCTCTGCCTCTCTCCTTTCCCGTCCCGCAGCCACTGGAAGCGCCATCCCCTCTCCCGCTGAACGTTGCAGCATGCGTCGCCCCCATTCACGGCAGCATCGACGCCAGGAGGCTCTCAGAGTGGCTGCAATTCCACCGTGTGCTGCTCCCTGTCAATCGTTCCCTGCTTCACAATGCAGAAAAGGGGTGGTGGAAGAACGTTGTCATGTCACCGCAGAAATTGGCGTTTTCCCTGCCAATCTCTCTCTCTCAAGAACCCCCTTTTCCTTTCCGCCACCCCGCCCGCTTCCGCAGCCTCTCGAGGCCCCATCACCCCTCCCTCTGAACATAGCGGCGTGCGTCGCCCCCATTCACGGCACCATCGATGCCAGGAGGCTCCTAGAACGGCTGCACTTCCACCGCGTGCTCCTCCCTGTGGACCGCTTCCTGCTCTACGATGCGGGGGGCATCGCGGGCAACGGGGAGGCGGGGGCGGCGCACAAGGAGGTGCAGCGGGTGCTGGCGCCGCGGGTGAAGCGAGGCATGGTGGACGTGATGTGGCGGTTCAGAGAGGTGCTGCAGTGGGACGTGTGGAACTATGGCGAGGTAAGAGGGTTGGGTTGATTGGCACGTGTGGGATGAGATGAGATGTACTGTCAGAACCAGAGCACAGGGTGCTTGGCACTTGGGTGAAGAGAGGCATGGTGGACGTGATGTGGCGGTTCAGAGAGGTGCTGCAATGGGACGTGTGGAACTACGGGGAGGTACGTTGAAGGGAAAGGAAGGTGGGGGCTGATCAGTCGCTGCAATACTCTCTCTCTCCCTTCATGTCCCTTATGCCCATCCATCCATAGGAAACATGTTTTATTAGGAGCCAAATTAAGCATCTGTCTGACCGCCCCTCTGTCCATCCATGAGAAACTGCCCACCCAGCATCTTCACCCGCCCCTCACCCCCTCCCTCCCCTCCCCAACCGCCCAGCATCTTGCCATCCAGGACTGCATATACCGGACGCGCAACGCCGCCCGCTGGCTGCTCGTCTCCGACATCGACGAATACCTCCAAATCCCGCCGCCCCTCTCGCTGCCAGTGCTGCTACAGGAGCACGAGTCGCTCCCGTGGCTGACCTTTGGCGCTACAGCCTTTAATGGATCCTTCTGCTCCCCGCTACAGCTGCCACCCCAGGCAGCAGGGGGAGGGGAGGGGGATGGGGAGGGTGGGGGAGGGGAAGAGGGGACTGGGGGCGGGGAGGAGGAAGAGGAGGAGAGGAAGCGGGCTGCTGCGATGGCTGCAAATGAGGCCAAAGCCGCTTTTGCCGTGGAACGAATGCGGTTCAGGTGGGTGAATGCTGGTGTGGGTGGGTGAAGTTTGGTGCTGGTGGGTGAGGGGGTGGCTCACATTGCACAGAAGGGCGCACAGCAACAGCTTAGCTTTTTCACCAACCGCCAACCAGATAGCCCTACGTATCCCTACTTCCTCTCCACCCTTCTCTGAGTACGCACCCTTTGTGCTCTGCTACAAACGTCCACAGCCCACGTCAGTGCCTGGAAGATCAATGCTCCACCTGCTCCCTCCTCTCCTACTCCCTACACCGCGTTCCCACCTTCCCCCTCTCCCCCTCGAGTTTTCCCCAGGTGGCCCCACCCGGTGTGCTCTGCTACAGACGTCTATAGCGCCAGCCAGTGCCTGGGCGAAGAGGGCTCACGGCGCTACATCCTCGACCCGCGTCAGGCTGGCACCGCTACAGCCAATAGCGTCGCGTCGTCTCGCCCAGGAATCAACCTCCCTGTGGAGACTGCCAGGCTGGCGCGCTTCCCTGGTATCAGCCAATTGGGCTTTGCCACGTGTACGCTGGGCGAGCCGAGTGACAGCTGGTGGGAGAGAGAGGAGGGGGTGGCGGCGCTGGCAGAGGCGGCGAGGAGGTGTCCGGCCTTAAAGCCACGGACGAAAGGGGCGTCTGCTGAGGTGAGTTGTCTGCTGCGGAGGTGAGAAACGTTTGTTGTAATCAGGTGTGTTAGAGTGAGAGTTGTTGGAGTGGGTAAGGTGGTGAAAGGGGAGGAGGGGGTGGCGGCGCTGGGAGAGGCGGCAAGGAGGTGTGAGGCTTTAAAGCCGTGGACAAAAGGGAGCATCTGCTGAGGTGAGTGGGGGGTGTTGGAGGGAGAGTGGATGTTATGAGGGTTGTGGGAGTGAGTGAATAAGGTGGTGGGAGAGTGAGGAGGGGTTGGCTGCGCTGGAGGTTGCATGGGGATTCCCAACTTAGATCGCTGAATGTGAAAGGGACCTACTGCTGCGGTAGAAATAGCAGATTAGGGCCTTATAGCCAATGCATACTTGACTTTGCCTGCAATATGTATCCCTTCTACCACCTCATCCCTCCACCTGACCCTTCACTATATCATGTGATTGTCACCTTCATGCCACTTTCTGCGACTACGACCTCCCTCACCACCGTAACTTACCTCCCTTCCTCACCCTTTCTGTCATGGCCACTGCTTCCTTTCTTGTAGAAATGCACGCCTGAAGGGATAGCCAAGAGGTTAAGTGGTGGCAATGGTTGAAGCTGGATAGTGCCTGTAGTAGAACCCCAGTAATTTTATTCTCGGTTTCCCAGCCTTCTGCTCGACAAGAGGAACATACATATCGTAATGTTACTGGAAACATTGTTAATGACATGCACATACAAAACCAGAAAAAATCTGGCTTTCTACAGTGTCCATTAACTCTCTAGCTAAAATTGTATGAAAGCATCACTGATGACGATGTACACTACTCCGGACTTATGTTGGGGTTGAGTTCCCAAGGGGCGGGACCAATACCGAAGTCGCATTTCCAGCCAAACGCCATTTTCCCGCTTCCTCGCCGCCAGAGTTTGACGACAAACAGTCGCATTACCGCATACCGCCATTGCCACAGCTGCTCATCCCAAGAAGGCCTTTCTAGGCGACTGTCGCTCGTCGTGCGTCGTTCGTCAGTCGTCGCTAGATTTCGCTAGGCGATTGCAGCCTTGAAAGCCATGGGCTTGATGGTCCTGGCTCTTTGGCTAGTCGCTTCCGTCGCTTCTTGCAAGGTGTGTTAGCCGCTAGTAATGGCTTTCGTGTAGTCCGTACCGTGCTTGTGTGTCTGCTTTTTATGCTCCCTCTTACCACGCTTCGCGATAGATAAGGCCTTTCTGGCTAGAGTTGCTAGAAATTCCGTCTCTGCTTGTAGCCGTTAATGTTGGTGGTTTGTGCGTGCTTCGTTGCTCGAGTTACGAGGTTGAGCAACCGTGGTAGCTTGTTATCTTTCTTGGTTTCACTAGCTTGCATTCCACATACTCATTCAGATATTGAGGCGGTTGCACTGTGATTGCAAGACATTGACACGTTCCCTCGTCCGTGCAATGCGTCAGCTGTTAACGGTTTCTTGGTAGATTTATTCATGTATCAGGCGGTTTCGTCCACGTCTCCGTCACCGTCACCGTCACCGTCATCGTCACCTCCATTCTGCTCTGCCGTGACTTCTGACGTAATCTCACCGTCGCCTGAAGCTCGCTCGCACCTGCTCATAGCAGGAGGCACAGTCGTTAATGCAGACGGAGAATTCGCTGCAGACGTTTATATCGAGGATGGAACCATCAAGCTTGTTCGACCAAACATCAAGGTGACGTGTCCTTCTCAGCCATTTCCGTGCCAAACCTGCGTCACATGAGCGCAGTATCGCTCTTTCGAGAACTCTGATGGCCCCTCGCCTTCTTCAAAGAATCTAGACGTTGGGACTCTCATGTCATGATGGGGAAAGACTCATGCCGTGCATGCATCCGTACCTGACCTCCCACGGTTGAACCCCTCTTTCCGCTTCTCTCCGTTTGCTGGGTTTTAAACACATCTGGTGTGGTATGGTGTGACTTGTTATGGTGCGGATGTGTTTATGTTCTTGCTGTCATTATCTTGCTGTCATGTTCTTGCCCTGCTGACGTGGCTGGCAGGTTCCAGAGTGGGTTCAGAGAATCGACGCCACTGGGAAATACGCCATGCCAGGTACCTACCCTTGACTGTCTTGACTTTCTCGAAAAAATTGAGCATCGTGCATCACTTGACTAATTTGCTATCTCGTCCTGATTCTGTGTGTGTAGCCTCCTTGACAATCGCGTTTCTTGGCCTTCCCCTCTCCCCTTTCCTCCCCTCCCCTCCCCCCCCCGCATCTCTCTCGCCCCAGGTGGCATAGACCCCCACACCCATCTCGCCATGCCCTTCATGGGAACAGAGTTGTTGACGATTTCTATTCGGGCCAGGCAGCAGCGCTGGCAGGCGGCACCACCTTTCACATCGACTATGTGCTCTCTGCTCTCCTCCCGCTCCCTTTCTCTCTCCTCCCCTCTCTCCTCCTTTCCCCTCCCTTCCCCTCCTTCCCATGCGTCCTCCCCTGTCCCTCTCGCCCCAGGCGGCATCGACCCCCACACGCACCTCGCCATGCCCTTCATGGGAACCGAGTCGTGCGACGATTTCTTCTCGGGCCAGGCAGCAGCGCTGGCAGGAGGCACCACCTTCCACATCGACTATGTGCTGGGAGCTCTTCCCCATATCCCCTTCCTCCCACTCCGCCCCTTCCTTCCCCTCCCCTCTGTACTCCCCCGCCCCTCTGCCCTCCCCAGGCGGCATAGACCCCCACACGCACCTCGCCATGCCCTTCATGGGAACCGAGTCGTGCGACGATTTCTTCTCGGGCCAGGCAGCAGCGCTGGCAGGAGGCACCACCTTCCACATCGACTATGTGCTGGGAGCTCTTCCCCATATCCCCTTCCTCCCACTCCGCCCCTTCCTTCCCCTCCCCTCTGTACTCCCCCGCCCCTCTGCCCTCCCCAGGCGGCATAGACCCCCACACGCACCTCGCCATGCCCTTCATGGGAACCGAGTCGTGCGACGATTTCTTCTCGGGCCAGGCAGCAGCGCTGGCAGGAGGCACCACCTTCCACATCGACTATGTGCTGGGAGCTCTTCCCCATATCCCCTTCCTCCCACTCCGCCCCTTCCTTCCCCTCCCCTCTGTACTCCCCCGCCCCTCTGCCCTCCCCAGGCGGCATAGACCCCCACACGCACCTCGCCATGCCCTTCATGGGAACCGAGTCGTGCGACGATTTCTTCTCGGGCCAGGCAGCAGCGCTGGCAGGAGGCACCACCTTCCACATTGACTATGTGCTGGGAGCCACGCCAGAGGCAGGGGGGGACCTGCTGCGGATTCTGGCGGAGTATGAGGGGAAGGCAAGGGGCAACGCGGTGATGGACTATGGGTTCCACATGGGTGTCACGCGGTGGAGCGAGGCCGTGGAGAGGGACATGGAGGAGGTGGTGCGGCGAGGTGAGGTGCGGTGGGATGAGGTGCGGTGAGTTTGTGGGGTGAGGTGTGGTGTGGCGAGGTGAGGTGGAATGGGATGGTATCTGGAGGGAAGTGAGGGAAAGGGTTGTGTCTGGTTGTGCTGGGGACCTCACCTGCTTGTCCCTGCTTCTCCTCTCGTTGCCATCCCAACTCTTCATCGGCATACCCACTGGAGGCATCAACTCGTTCAAGTTCTTCATGGCGTATAGGGCGCTCTGCAGGTGGACGAGTCTGGAACCTATCGAATGCGACTCCTCTCCTTGCTTTAGCTCCCTGCTCCTCCCCAACCCTCTGATCGCCACATGCTATGCTTGCCAGGCGTCAACTCGTTCAAGTTCTTCATGGCGTACAAGGGCGCTCTGCAGGTGGACGATTCGGAGTGCGTTCCTAATGCGATTTGTCGCCTTGCTTGTTGTGGCTTGCCATGAATCTGCGCACCCGTGCGTGGCAGGCATCAACTCGTTCAAGTTCTTCATGGCGTACAAGGGCGCACTGCAGGTGGACGACCAGCAGCTGCTGGATGGCTTCACTCGCTGCAAGCAGCTTGGCGCCATCCCCCAGGTCAGACCCTGTGGCGTCGCTGTGTCTCCCAGCTGCTGCAGTGCAGTGCGTTTCAGGTTCAGGTGACCAGGTGAACAGATCACCCGGTGGTGACCAGGTGACGCGAGTGATGCAGCGGAGCGGCATAGGGCCACCAGCACATCTTCAATGCGACCAAAAGGCACCACACCATTCCTCACGAATTCGACTCCCCTCTCCATCTCCCCGTGTTTTCCTGTGCGCACAGGTGCATGCAGAGAACGGTGATGCAGTGGTGTGGGGGCAGCAGCACATATTCGACCTTGGCATCACCGGCCCCGAAGGCCACCCCTTGTCCCGCCCTCCCGAGGTGTGTCTAGTCTGGTCGAAGGCTTGTGCTGCTGGTGTTGCTCAGCTTGCCTGGGGGGAAAGCAACTGCGATTCCTCCACCCTGCCGCCAACTGCGATTCCAACTGTCACCAGGGCGAGCAATGCCCGTCCCACCCGTACTGTGTGACACCGTGGCATGAATGAAGGTGGAGAAGGAGGCGTTTTGAGACGTTTCAAAACACTTCATCATTCACGTCCCACCCGTACTGTGTGACACCGTGGCATGAATGAAGGTGGAGAAGGAGGCGTTTCGAGACGTTTCAAAACACTTCATCATTCACGTCCCACCCGTACTGTGTGACACCGTGGCATGAATGAAGGTGGAGAAGGAGGCGTTTTGAGACGTTTCAAAACACTTCATCATTCACGTCCCACCCGTACTGTGTGACACCGTGGCATGAATGAAGGTGGAGAAGGAGGCGTTTTGAGACGTTTCAAAACACTTCATCATTCACGTCCCACCCGTACTGTGTGACACCGTGGCATGAATGAAGGTGGAGAAGGAGGCGTTTTGAGACGTTTCAAAACACTTCATCATTCACGTCCCACCCGTACTGTGTGACACCGTGGCATGAATGAAGGTGGAGAAGGAGGCGTTTTGAGACGTTTCAAAACACTTCATCATTCACGTCCCACCCGTACTGTGTGACACCGTGGCATGAATGAAGGTGGAGAAGGAGGCGTTTTGAGACGTTTCAAAACACTTCATCATTCACGTCCCACCCGTACTGTGTGACACCGTGGCATGAATGAAGGTGGAGAAGGAGGCGTTTTGAGACGTTTCAAAACACTTCATCATTCACGTCCCACCCGTACTGTGTGACACCGTGGCATGAATGAAGGTGGAGAAGGAGGCGTTTTGAGACGTTTCAAAACACTTCATCATTCACGTCCCACCCGTACTGTGTGACACCGTGGCATGAATGAAGGTGGAGAAGGAGGCGACAGGCAAGGCCATTCGAGGCGTCTAGAAAACCGTCGCTTGCTGAGCAACCCGTGTCTTGCTATGCCATCAACCAACCCTATCCCAACCGTCACTAGAGCAACCCCTGTGCCTCTCTGCCCATGTGCCGTGGCCATCCAAGACGTCTCAAGAACTCTCACCTGCGTAACCCCTGCCCGACTCTGCCATCAAACCTTATCTCACTGGGCCCGTGTGGCGTGGTGTGCAGGTGGAGGAGGAGGCGACAGGCAGGGCCATTCGGCTGGCGAATGTGGTGGGGGTGCCACTGTACGTGGTGCATGTCATGAGCGCAGGGGCCGCCAGGGAGGTGGCAGAGGCCAGGCGCAGAGGTGAGGGGGGAAGTGAGTTGCAGAGGTGGGGCGTTTGTTAACATCTCTGGCTGTACGTGGTGCATGTCATGAGCGCAGGGGCCGCCAGGGAGGTGGCAGAGGCCAGGCGCAGAGGTGAGGGGGCGAGGAGGGCGCTGAGTGTGTGATGTGATGAGCCCTTTAGGCAGTACCCCTGGCTGTATGTGGTGCATGTCATGAGCGCTGGGGCTGCCAGGGAGGGAGGTGGTGAGGCAAGACGCAGAGGTGAGAGGGGGTAATGGGGTGCAGGGATGGGGGCTGACTGTGTGAGTTGAGCCCGTTGGCAGTAGCTGTACGTGGCAGAGCGGGGTGGCAGAGGCCAGGCGCAGAGGTGAGGCAGAGAGCTTTCCCGCACCTCTACCCTCTACCCTCATGCATGATCAGATGCATACCCTCTACAGGCGTATTGTAACAATTCTCATATCATGCCTGTATGCATCTGTCACGTGGATCCCTTATTCACTTCAGGGCAGCGAGTGGTGGGGGAGCCGGTGGTGTCGGGCATCGCTCTCAACGACTCGCACCTCTGGTCGCCTGACTTCCAGCACGCTGCTCAGTGCGTCTCCATGTCACCATGTCTTCAAGATTCAGCAGGGTTCACGCTTTAGTTTCTGCATGTCCTTGCTCCATTCATGCGCTCGTTGTCCTAGTGACACTCTCCTCTCAAACTCTCCTCTCACATGGCCCCCTGTCCGCCTGGCAGGTTCGTGATGAGTCCACCCATCCGCTCAGCAGAGCACGTGGCAGCAGTCAAAGCAGCACTCGCCACTGGCACGCTGCAGGCATGCACTTCATTACAAAGTTGGCTTGTTATGAGAAGTCTCAAAACATTGTTATTTTTCACGTTGCCACTGTCCTTCAACTCTTATCTCGCAATGCATCGTTCCTTACTCTCACCAACTCTCCATGCCTTCACTCCCCGCTCCGTCACTTCCTCACTCCCTCTCTCCCCTCTCAGCTGGTGGCCACAGACCACTGCCCTTTCAACTCGTCTCAGAAGGCCAAAGGGCGTCATGACTTCCGCCTCATTCCCAACGGCGTCAACGGTGAGTGGTGGTGGTGGAGGGGGGGGGGGTTGTATATGATACTGGCGGTCAGGGAACGAACTGGTTCTGAGGTGGATGGTGCCATGTGCTCTTATGGCAGGGATTCTGGATGTGTCGTGATGGTGGATGTGTCGTGATGGTGTGAATGGTGCCATGAGTGTTGATGGGGTGATTGGCAAAGCTATGTGCACGTATGACACAAGCCGTCTATGTAGGTGCTCATTGCAATTCCATCTTGTCTTGTCTTGTCTTGTCTTGTCTTTCGGCTAGCATTGGCTTTTAGTCTCTTCGCATCCGTGTTCTGCCATGTGTCTTGCCATGTGTGCAGGCATTGAGGAGCGCATGCACATCACATGGGATGTGATGGTGGTGAGTGGGCATGGGATGTGATAGCATCAAGAGGTAAAACTCCTAATTTCTGGTGCATTGATGCATGCTGCATATCTGTCTACACACACACTCTCTCCCTTCCACCTCTCTCCGTTTCCCCAATTTCAACCCATGGTTGCAGAATTCGGGTCTCATGTCACCCAGTGATTATGTCCGCATCACCAGCACAGAGTGGTGAGTCTGTAGTGCAGAGTGGTGAGTCACAGCACTGGGTGGTGAGTCAGCAGCACAAAGTATTGAGTCAGCACTTCAAAGAGCGATCAGCTGCAAGCACTCCCTTTCTCCCACCTCTATCCCATTTCGCCCTACGCTTCTCCCCACCCTCCCCTATCCTCCCGCCTTTCAATAGCATCAACATTTTCACCCTCGCCTGCCACTTCCCTTCTCTTCATCACAAACAGACGTCTCTACTGCAATTTCGATCCCCCCTTCTCCGTAACCCCCTCTTTCCTCTCCCTTGAGTGCAAATATTTTCAACCTGTACCCACAGAAGGGTGTGGCGGCAGTGAATCAGATGCTGACGAACTTGTGTTGAATCCCCGAGGCAGCACCACCATCAGCGCTGCCACTCACCACTTCCCCGACCCCCACCCCCCCCCCTCTCCGCCTGTGCTTCTCAGCGCAAAGATATTCAACCTGTACCCGCAAAAGGGTGTGGTGGCTGAGGGCTCAGATGCGGACGTGATTGTGTTGAATCCACGAGGTAGCACCACCATCAGCGCTGCCACTCACCACTTCCCCGACCCCCACCCCCCCCCTCTCCGCCTGTGCTTCTCAGCGCAAAGATATTCAACCTGTACCCGCAAAAGGGTGTGGTGGCTGAGGGCTCAGATGCGGACGTGATTGTGTTGAATCCACGAGGTAGCACCACCATCAGCGCTGCCACTCACCACTCCCGCATTGACACGAATGTCTACGAGGGGTGGCGCATGCAGGTGAGTTGCGGTGAACACAGAGGATGCTGTTTCTGTGGTGCCTCAGAATAAGGCGCTGCAATTGCTGGTGGGATGAGCTTTGATGATGTTTGAGTCGAGTTTAACGCACCACCATCAGCGCCACCACTCTCCACTCGCGCATTGACACGAATGTCTACGAGGGGTGGCGCATGCAGGTCAGATGAGCGAACGGAACACAGTAAAGCCACGGTATAAAACCTGAGGTTTGGGTTTTGGATTTGGTTGATTACAGTAAATGCTAGTGCACACCGGTAGAGGCCATGATTGCGAGAACGGAAAAGAAAGTGAGAGGAAGAGAGGCAAGAGAGGGAGGGTGGGAAGCACAATTGCACAGTATTTCAATGAGCTAAAGGCACGGTAATGAACCCCCAATCATCTGTTCACACCCCCTATTATCACTTCTCTACCCAACATTTCTCTGATTTGTCCTATCTCTTTCCTCACTCCCAACCTTCCCTTCACCCCTCCCAACGATCTCTTCCTTAGAAAAAACAACCCTTCTTCACGCTCGTATACATCCAGACCTAAATAGCCAAATTTAGCAGTTCCATCATCCCTTTCCCCCATCCCATCCCATCTCCCCTTGTGATCCCACAGGGCAACATCGAGGTGACAGTGAGTCAGGGCAGGGTGGTGTGGCATCAGCACGCTTTTGAGGCGCCTGAAATGACCACTGGTGTCTTGGCCACCCCAACCATCCTACTATCCGTTTTCCCCCTCAACTATCCGTCATGCAGGGCAACATCGAGGTGACAGTGAGTCAGGGGAGGGTGGTGTGGCAGCACGGGCGGCTGAATGTCACCCGGGGGGCGGGGCGTTTCGTCCCCATGCGGCCGTTCGGCCCGCTGTTCCGCGGCATACAGACGAGGGATGCCGCCCGCCTGCACTCGTACCACGCCCCTGTGAGGCGAGAGTAGGATGGGAGTGTTGCTGGCAGTGTTGCTGACGCTTAGCTTGAGGCGAGATGGGGACAGGAGTGGTGCTGACGTCTACAGTGGGGGGAGATGGGGAGGGGAGTGTTGTATGGAGTGGGGGAGAGATGGTGGGGGGAAGTTCTGCTGACACCGCTGCCATTGAAGCTGCTTGCTTCCTCAACAGGCGGGATTCTGCTGCCCGCCCGCCTGCCCTCGTACGATGCCCCTGTGAGACGAGATGACGACGGGAGCGGTGCTGCTGACGTTGCTGCTCCGTTAAGTTGGTAGCTCAGCACGTGCGTCGGGGAGCAGTGAATGTCTGTCTGTCCGTCTGTCTGTCTATGTTCGTGTTGGTGTTTGAGAATTCCAACTGTGTCAATCTCTCTCTGCATTTCCAACTGTACTGACACTAGATTCATGTGGCAGGCATACCCAAGTGCTCTTGCTGCGTGCCGTGCCATGGGTAGAGTTTTGAGTCGACTCAAAACTCGTTACAGTGGAGCTAAGCAGGACGTTCAAGTGTACAGGAGATATCATGTTGGTATCTATGTCGGTATGTACTTTCGTTTTAGGAAACAAAAGGCAGTGTGCATGCAATGCAATGCAAGCATCCTCGTCTGCAAAGGCCTCAGACAGAGCAACACACACACAGGTCAACAGACAAGTCAAAGGCGGTGGTTGCCTATCCGCCCCTTCCCTCTACACTCGATTCGAACGGTGGTCAGGTTATTTCTAGCAGCCATTGCACAAGCCTAGCTCGCGCTTATTTGAATAACACCCTAGCCGTCCTAGGTAAAACCCTAGAGAATCCTCTTTCACACCTCCCTACTCCCTCAATTGTTGAAATCTGTCACTGCACAGCATCCGATCCAGACAGCAAGCCATACTCACCATGCCTCGTTACTACTCGCCTCGCCTCTCCTCTCCTCTCCGCTCCTCTCCTCTCCCCTCCTCTCCTCTCCGCTCCGCTCTTCTCCTCACCTCCCACCGTCCCTCACCTCCTCGCTCCAGAGCCACTGCCCCAAGCCGGTTTCGACCCACCCCCACTACCCCAAGCAGGCCTCGCCCTGGCACCTGCACCCCTATGCGTCTCCCCCACTCGCCCCACCACACCCGCAGCAGGACCACTGCCTCTGAGGCTCGTAGGCCACTTCTCCACCATCGCTGCCATCTGCTGCTCCCTGCTCCTCCCCCTCCTCTCGGCACCCCCACTAGCACTGCCAGCAACAGCAGCAGGCAGGGCGAAGCCACCGCTGCCGCAGCTGCCGCTGGTTCGGAGCAGCAGAGAGCTCTGGGTGCTGTCTGAAGGGCTGCCTATGCCGCCCATGCCGCCCATGCCGCCCGATCCGCGCATAGAGTGGGTATATGCCCTTGGACTGCCACCCATAGCCATGGCAATGGCGGGCGAGGTGGGCGGCGCTGCTGCTGCCAGGGCAGATGCCATGTACCGCGACTCCACGTGGCGCGATCCCATTGGTGGAGAGCGATGGGAGGAAGAGGGGGAGAGGTTTCGCAGCGGGGTGCGAGGGGAGAGGGGGTGGGAGGAACGGGGGGAGCCGAGCGCAGGTGGCGTGTGGGGCGTGCGTGGTGTGTGTGGTGTGTGTGGTGCATGCATGTGGGTGTGTACATGGGTATGCATAGTATCCCTGGGGTCCAAGGCAGGGGGGAGGATGAGGAAGGACTCCGAAGGGGTGGCAGAGGAGGCTGAGAATCTCCCGACTCCTCCACACCGACCAACACCACCACCACCTCCGTTTCTCCCTATCCCCCCATACCTCCCAATGCCACCCGCTTGCTGCACTGCTTCCACCGTTGGCTTGGGTTGACTCGTATCTCCATGTGTTGACTCGACTTGACTCGTCTCCTCAAATAATGGATTGGGTTGACTCGTCTCTCCCTCCGTTGACTGGAGTTGACTCGTCTCTCCGTATGTTGACTTGGGTTGACTCGTCTCTCCATTGCTTGACTCCGATTGACCCATCCCTTCCTCCGTTGACTCCAGTTGACTCATCCGTTGACCAGAAGACCCCTTGCTCCAGCCACCCCACGATCGCTTCACCTCACCTGCACCTGCACCTCCCACAGATATACCTCCCGCAGATGTGCCAATCGCATGCGTGCCTATCCCACATGTGACCCCACACGTGGCCTCACATGCACCTGCCTCAGATGCACCTGCCCCAGATGCACCTGCCTCAGCAGGAGAGTCACGAATGGTCTCGACTGGTCCAGGTGCTGCCCTGCTGTCAGCATGCCTGGTGCCACCCTGCTGCTGCTGCTGCTGCTGCTGCTGCTGCTGCTGCTGCTGCTGCTGCTGCTGCTGCTGCTGCTGCTGCTGCTGCTGCTGCTGCTGCTGCTGCTGCTGGTGCTTCTGCTGTTGCTGACGATGAGGAGAGCGATTAGAGAGGGGAGGAGAGCGGGCAGAGAGGGGGGGAGAGCGAGCAGAGCGGGGAGGGGAGCGAGCAGAGAGCGGAGGAGAGCGAGCAGAGAGCGGAGGAGAGCGAGGAGCAAGGGGAGGAGAGCGGGAGGCAGTAGGAGATCGGGGGCGAGTGGGAGGGGAATGGGGGGCGTGGGAGAGGGAGGTCCGTGTCTTGACAGGGGAGCAGGAGTGCGGAGCGGTGGAGGAGGGATTGGGGGAGGTGGAGCGGGGCGAGGAGGAGCCAAAGGGAGGCGATCGAGGGGCCTGCTTTGCTGCGCTCACTGCCCTTCCACTTGCAGCAGCCAGGGCAGGCGCAGCAGCCGTAGCTGCCCTTCCACCTACTGCCGTAGTTGATTTTGCGGCTGATCCCAGAAGAGTGTGGGGGGACTGTCTTGCTGCCGTGGCTGCTGGTCCTGCTGGAGCAGCAGCAGTCATGGCTGCTGGTGTCTGTGGCGTGACTGGTGCTCTTGCTGGTTGTGCTGCTGCTGCGTCTGCAGTTGCTACGACTGGCGTGACTCGTGCTGCTAGTGCAGGTGCATGAGCATCTGTGCTCTCCCTCTGGCTGCCTTGAGCTGCCGCTGCTCTTGAGGCACGAGAGGTGGGCGAGAGGGCAGAGGAGCGAGCGGAGGTGGAAGAGAGAGGGGGCGAGCGGGACTTGCCTGCACCAATGCCAGCGGCACTCGCAGCACAACCACCACCCACACCACTCGCACCAACAGCTACATGAGCTGCGGCAGGGAAAGCAGGAGTCGTTTTGCCAGCAGGGACCGCAGTAGGTCTGGCAGGAAGAGACGCAACAGGGTCGGGGAGTACACTGCTGGCAGGAGTGGCGTCAAGGGAGAGAGGAGGGATGAACGCTGGGGAGGAGGCGAGGGAGGCGAGGGTGTGGTGTGGTGATGAAATGGGGGAGGATGCAAGAGGAGGAAGAGGAGGAGGAGGAGGAGGAGGAGGAGGAGGAGGAGGAGGAGGAGGAGGAGGAGGAGCAGCTGCAGCAGCAGCTGCAGAAGTTGACGAGAGGTTGGGGTCTGGAGCTCCAACAGCCTCACCCAGACTGGTATTAGCATTATTATCCGCATCATCAGCATCGTCAGCTTCTGGAGGACCAACATCAGCATGATGATCAGCAACAGCAACAGCAACAGCAACAGCAACAGCAACAGCAACAGCAGCAGATGAAAGAGGCTGGTTTCTTTCCGCTCGCAACCTCCTGTCCCCTTCTTCTTCCCCGCCCTCCACACTGCCATCTGTCAACACATCCGGGCTGGACCCAGCTTCCCTCACTCCCCTCCCTTCCTCCTCTTCCGCCCTGCTCTCCCTTCCTCCTCCAACTGCCCTCTCCCTGCTCTCAGCATCCGCCTCTCCCCCATCCCCACCATCCCCTGCAACCTCCCCTCCCATCCCTCCCTCCATCCCCCCATCCATCCCTCCTTCCACCATCCCTTCGCTAGGCTCGGTCTCCGCAGCCGAGGCCGAGGTTCGGGCCGAGCCGGACCTCCGAACGTTAACAGAAAAGGTAGGATCAGTACGAAGGGACTCGGAGGAGGGGATGCGGCCAAGGGAGAAGGAGGAGGACGCGCGGGCAAAGGGAGACGCAGGGGCGTTCGCTCCTGGCGAAACCGGCCCTGAAACCAGCCCTGAATGCGGTCCTGAGACCGGCATTGAGATTGGCATTGAAACAGGGCCTAACCCGAACAAGCCTTGGCCTGGTGCTGGGCCAGTGAGGCCTGGTGTTGACCCTGTGAGGCCTGGTGTTGACCCAGTGAGGCCTGGGATGGAGATCCGTGCGAGAGTTGCTGCACCACCAAGAGGAGCTGCAGTAGCGCCTGGCAGGGAGGTGCCTCCTCCCTGGGAAGCAGCAGCGGCAGGTGTCAAGGGCTTTATTCCGGCTGAAGGGAGTGTTCCACCTGTCCCTGCTGCTGAAGCCAGACTCCTTGCCTCCAGAGGGTTGGCGTTGCTGCCACTGGCGCTGCTGGTGCGAGCGGCAAGGCGAGCAGCGGCTGAAGCAGCAGCAGCGGAGGCAGAGGCAGAGAGGGGGATGGACGACTGGAGGGAAGACCTTGCAGGCATGGCAGGTGGCGCTGCTGCTGCTGCTGCAGGTGCTGATTCCACTGCTGCTGCAGCAGCACCCTCACCTGCAATCTCCCTCAGTTGAGCCTTCCCCTGTTGATCCTCTTTCAGTTGAGCCTCCCCAGGTTGGCCCTCCCCCAGGTAATTCTCCCTGAGCTGCCTCAGCTGGGCTGTGGCGCGCTTCAGCTTCGCCAGCACACTCCCTTCTCTCACCGCCACCCTTCTCCCTGCCGCTGCTGCGGCTGCTGCTGCTGCTGCTGCTGGTGCCGCTGCTGCGGCTGTGGCTTGACTTGGTATGGGTTCATCTCTGTCCCCTTCGGTTTCCCGCACCTTTCCTTCTATCTCTCGCTCTCTGTATTGCTCCTTCTCCACTGCTCTCTCTCCCGCTTCCTCTCTCTCCTCCTCGCTCTCACCACCCTTCGTTGGTACCTTCAGCTCTTCCTCTCGCTCCACTCTGTTCCTCCCCTTTGGCTCGTCATGCACTCTGCTTGCCTCAACCCCACCCAAAGCACCAGCACCAACACCAGCTGCACTACCACCAGAGCCACTTGAACCAACACCAGCGCCAGTAGCGCTAGCAGCAGCAGCAGCAGCAGCAGCCTCATTGCCCCGAGCCTCGCTCTCTCCCCACTTTGCCTGATCGCCCAACGTTCCGTGTCTCCTCCCGCCACTGTTCCCACCACTGCCCTCTGGAAACTCCAAGCCTGCGCCCGAGCCTGAAAACGAGCCGTTGCCTCCGGTTCGGGACTTGCCGCTCCTGTTTTCTTCCGGTGCGGGGCCAGGGAGGTTCTCATGTGCCCATGCCTGTACCCGGTCCGCACGCTCCCAGCCCCTCCCCTGCTCCTCCCACCCCTCCCTCCTCCTTTCTCCTCCCCTCGTCTGAGCCATCTCCACACCGGCGCTCTCTGCACCGCTCCCAACACTCCCCTCACCCTTCTCCACTCCTCCATCCTCCCTCGCTTGCACCTCCTCCCGCCTCCATTCCTCTCCATGCTCCCTCGTCTCCTCTCCCTTCACCCCATCGCCCTGCATACTTAAACCCTCTCCCTCCTCTCTCCTCCCATCATCACCACCATCACCATCACAACTATCACCGCCACTGCTATCACCCCCCGCAGCAGCAGCAGCTGCAAAAGCGGCTACGTCCACTTCCCTCTGCTCCTCCTCTCCTCTCTCCCCTGCTCGCCTCCCTTCCCCTGCACCCTCACACCCCAACTGATTCCCTACAACACTCGAAGCTGCAGACGCACCTTCCTCCCCTTCCTCCGCACGCCTACCTTTCCCCCCACTCTCAAACACCAATCGCCTGCTCACAGCCCCCCTACGCAACCCAAACGACTCTGGTAGCGCAGGTAGGGCGTCAGCAGGGGAGAGAGAGAAGGACGAGCGGGGGGAGGAGCCGGGGGAAGTGGCAGCGAGGGGCGAGTGCGGGGGAGAGGAGGCAAGGCTAGAGGCGTTTCCGCCTGCCTGCCCGCCTGCCCCTGCTGTGCCCCGCTCGCTGCCCCCTGCTGTGGGCTGCTGCCGCCAGTGGAACGCGGAGAGGGAGGGGGGCGGGGGCGTGGGGAAGGGGGAGAAGGATGGGGTTGCGGGCGGAGGGGGAGTGGAGAGAGAAGGGGGCGGAGGAGTGGAGGAAGGGGAGCGAGGAGGGGAGGAGAGAGGGGAGAACGAGGGGTTAGCGGATGGGAGAGGGAGCGGGGAGCGAGGAGGGGAGGAGGATGGGCGGTCAAAGGCGGTGCGAAGAGGTGAAGCTGCCGGAGAGAGCAGTGGTGATACCCCACCACCAACACCACCAAACGCACTGCTCCCAACACCACCACCACCACCAGCACCACCAGCAGCAGCACCACCAGCACTGCCGGCAGAAGCAGCAGCATTACCAGCGGGGAGGGAGAGGGAGTGACGATGTCGGCGCATGAACTGGGAGCGGGCGACGCGCAGCAGAGTGGCGGGCTGGGCGTGGCAGCGCTCGGCCAGCTCAAAGAGGCGCACTGCCACGTGCAGCCGCCCCTCCGCCTCCGCCATGTCCACCTGGCGCAGCCAGTGCCCCACCGTGTACAGCGCCTTCTCCCCCCCTGCTCCCCCTCCGCCTCCCCCTCCGCCTCCTCCTGCACTGCCGCTGTGCCCCTGTGCATGTGTCTGTGACCCGGGTACCCCTGCAACCACTCTCTCCTTTACTCCCCCACCACCACTGCCACTCCTGTCCCCGGCACCACCACCAGCAACGCTACCAGGGCTCATCCCACCACCGGTAACACTCAAAGGACTGCTTCCCATCCCTCCCCCCCCAAGCACCCCCCCGCCACTGCCCGTGCTGCTCATACTCATGCCGCCCATGAGACCCAGACCTAGCCTGCTGGGGCTGCTGGCTGTGCTACAGCTGGTGCTACAGCCGCCGCCCATCTCCTCTACCTCTGCTGACACTGCTGCTGCAGCCGCCGCTACTGCCGCTGCTGACTCAGCGTCCAGGTCAGCAGAGAGTGCATCCACGTGTGCAGAGAGGGACGGTGGGAGAGGCGGCTTGGTTTGTGCAGGAGTGGGCTGGGCAGGCAAGCAAGGCTTGTGGGTTGTCGTCTCTTTTCCCGCCTTCTCACCTTCAGCATCCTTGCACTCCTCCTCACCGCACCCCACCTCCTCACCTCCAGCCTCCTGAGCCTGCTCACCACCCCCCACCTCAGCCTCCTCACCCACCTCCTCACCCTCCCCACCCATCTCAACCCCCTCATCCATCTCACCAGCCGTTCCCTTCACACTCTGCTCCCCTTCCACGCCTTCCCTGTCATGCCCACCATATCCACCATACTCACTGCCTACTCTCACCTCCTCCCTCTCTGTCTCCCCTTCTCCCTCCCTCTCCGTCTCCCCTTCTCCCTCCCCCTCCGTCTCCCCTTCTCCCTCCTCCACCTCCTCTTCTCTCTCCCTCTCTGCTTCCCTCTCTCCCTCCTTGCCCTCCCTGCCCCCCTCCATTTCATGGTACGCAGTCACATCCCTCTCCATCTCCCCTTCTCCCTCCCTCTCCACATCCCGCCGCTCCCTGCCCTCTCCTCCCTCCATGCCCACATCCCTGCCCGCTCTGCCCTCTCTGTCCCCTTCCATTTCATGGTACGGAGTCACATCCCTCTCCATCTCCATTCCAAATCCCCCCCCCCCATCCTCACTCCCCCCTTCCTCCTCCCTCTCACCTCCACTCCCCTCCCTCTCCACCTCAACCCCATCCCCCTCGCCACCCTCTCCCATCTCGTCTCCACCGTCTTTCCCCACCCCCATTTCCCTCTCCACCTCTCCCCTCATCACACCCCCCGCCCCTACACCCTCCCCTTCTCCCGCCCCAACCACAGCCCTCCTTTCCGCCTCCCCACCCTCCTGCCCATGCGCGCCTCTCCTCGCCCGCCGCGTCCCTCTCTCCACCAGCGCTTCCAGCTCTCTCCTCAACGCCTCCACCTCATCCGGCAGCAGTCCCTGCTCCAGTGCCAGCTCAAGCTGACGTAGACTCGCCTCCACTGCCACCTCATCCAGCTCGCCGTCCTCGTCAGCAGGGTCCACTGCCACGCCGTCGCTGCCCGCGTGGAAGGAGAACTGAGCCCCGGTTACAGTCACACTCGCACTGTCACCAAATTCGCCTGGAGTAGTAGCATCACCATCACCACCGGCAGCACCAGCAGCACCGGCAGCACTAGCAGCACTAGCAGCAGCACTAGCCACACGCGCAGAGCCAGCAGAACCGTCATCAGTTGCAGCCTCCCCCTGGCTCCCCTCCACATCAAATACACCTCCAATGGAATATACCTCCCCCGGCTGTAGCACGGGCAAGCCAACAGCATCCCTTCCTCCTCCTCCTGCTACAGCCGTTGCCTCCCCCTCCACCGTTTCCTCCTCCCCAGCACCACCCAGAGCGAAACCCTCAAGAGAAAACGGAAACCCAAACACTGATAACGCCTCTGCTGCTGCTGCATTCGCATCTTCCTCGCTATACTCCCACATCTCATCATCCCCCGCCCCCGCTTCTCCCAAGCCCCTTCCCCCTCCCCCTCCGCCCATCCCCCCTCCCACACCTTCCCCATACTCCCCCAATCGTTCCAGCGCCTGTGCCACCGCCCCCGCCTCCATCCCCTCGCCAGCTGTCGCGTCGTGATTGGCCGAAGAAGCGTGCATGGCAGCGACGCCTGTGCTGCGCATGCGGTAGAGCATGGAGGCTCGGCCCAAGGCTCCGGGTCGGGAGGCGTAGGCGACCAGGATCGGGAGCATCGAAGCTACGCTGGGCTGCGGTGGTGTGACTGTAGCGAAAGCAGGTGGAGTGGCAGCGTCTGTGCTTGTATCCGCTTCCACAGATGCTGCAGCAGGGGTATTTTGAGAGTTCTCAAAATGCTCCCCTGTAGATGCCTCAGGGGTGTGCTCTTGAGCTCTTGAGAGTTCTTGAGTCGACTCTACAGCGGTTTGCTTGTGAAACGAGTCTCTGAAATCGTCTAAAGCGGTGAGCCTTTCAGTGCCCTCTGAGGCAGCCGTGTCAGCAGCTGTTGTTTTCATTGGTGGCAGTGGAGTGTTGGCAGCTGCAACAAAGCCCACGGTGGCGAATAATTCCGTACCCTCGCTGCCAGCACCTGCATCTGGTGTCGCACCTGAAGCACCTGAAGCAACAGCTGGGTCAGCATCAGCAGCATGAGGAGACGGGTGGGTGGCAGCAGAACCAGGAGCAGGAGCAGGGGTAGAGGCAAAGACAGGCCGGATGGTGCGGCTGAGTACGGAGCGAGGGACAGGCAACAACGCATCAGCAGCAGCAGAGGCGGCAGCAGCAGCGGCAGCTGCGGCAGAAAGGGCAGCAGTGGTGAGGGCAGAATGATTTCTGCGCCAGAGCCCGTGCATGAGAGGGCGGGGGGGAGCAGCAGCGGAGGGCGCAGCAGCAGCAGGCGGGAGCAGGTGCGGGTGGTGGGCGCGGAGGAGGGAGGCGAGGGGGAGTGGGTCCTCCTCGCAGTCACAGTCTTCGATCTGGTGGGAGGCGGTGGGGAGTGGTGGAGTGGGTTGCTGAATAGCAGGAGGAGGGAGGAACACCGGTGGCATTGTTGAGGACAGGTCAGAAAATGCAGCAGTGCTGCTTGGAGAGGGAGAGGAGGCTTGTAATGGAGAGGCTTGTAGCGGGGATGCAGCAGCACTGGCGGCAGAGGCCGTGTAGACTGATGCAGTGCCGTCCCGCGCTGCCCCTCCAGAGGCCATAAGAGCGGCAGCAGCAGCCATGCCGCCATCCCATTCCGCTGACATGCCCATCGTTACCATATCATCCTCCCCACTCGCCCCATACTGCCCGTTCGCTCCATACTGCCCGTTCGCTCCATACTGCCCGTTCGCTCCATACTGCCCCCTCGCCCCATACAGCTCCCTCGCTCCATACTCCCCCGTTCCACCATACTCCCCCCGCCCTACGCCATACGCGTACCCGTGCCCTGTTTCCTCACCCCCGTCCCTCACACCCTCCTCTCTGGGCCCCCCCTTTCCCCCCTTTCCCCGCTCGCTCTCGCCTTCCCCCTCCCCCTCCGCCTCTCCCTGCTCTCTCTTCCTCTTCCCTGACACCACCCGGCTTGGACTTGCTTCCGCCTCCTCATGCTCCTCCGCCTCCTGATGCTGCTGCCATCGCGCCATGCCATGCCCATACCGCTCCAGATCCTGCCCACACTCCGCCATGCCATCTCCTCCATCTTCCCCATCACCATCCCCATCATCATCCCCATCATCATCATCATCCCCATACCCCTCACCCTTGCCATCTTCTCCCCACTCTCCATGTGCCCTTCCCTCTTCGTCCCCATAAGCCCTCCCCTCCGCCCACCCTTCCTTCTTCCCTCCGCTTCCCCTAACCCCCTCTTCGCCCTCATCCCCAGTCCCATACCCTTCCGCGCCCCCTGACCATTCCCCTTGGGCCCCAGCCTCCGCAGTCCCCCAGTCATTCTTCTCCTGCCCTTCGTTGACCTGTCCCCACCGCCCCTCCGCCTCCTCCCCCGCCATATCCTGATCTCCCCCTGTGGCGGAACCCTCCAAGCCCGCCCGTTCCTCCTGCGTGCTTCCCCCTGCCGCCCTCTTCCCCCGTTCGTGTCCGCCATGCGCTCCCCCCTCCCCGCGCCATGACCTCCGCGCGCTCCACTGGGCGCGCAGACTCCGCCTCGACTCCGCCTTGCCCTCTTCCGCCCTGCGCTCGTCCGCCTGTCCCCCGCCATCCTCCGCGTCTTCATCCCTCCATCCCGCCACTCCCCATCGCGCCCGGTGCTTCCGCGAGCTTCCGCCAAGCCCTCCCCCGCGCTTCCGCGTACTTTCCTGCGCGTCCCCGTCATGCGCGCCCGCCGTCTCCCCGGCCGCCATCCCACCCGCCGTCGCTGCTGCGCCCACCGCAACCGCCGCCGCAGCTCCAGCCGCAACTGACGGCGCACCGCCATCCCCAGCCGCATCTGAATCATAGTAGTCATCATTCTCGTGACCCCTCTCCCCCGCATTTCCCGCTTCCCCTCCCGCTGGAACCGCCTCACGTTCCGGCGCCCCAGTTGCCACGTCAGCGTCAGTGTCCCAATTTCCCGCCGCCGCGCCACTACCAGGTGCATCCCCGCCCGCATCAGCCTCGTTCGCGCTAGTAACTGCTGCGGTATTGGCACCAGCACCACCACTACCATCGCCACCGGCAACAGCAGCACTCGCGCCGCCACCAGCACCAGCAGCTGCAGCGGCACTGACGCGCGCAGCAAGAAAGTCCGCAAACGAGACGTCAACTCCGCCGCCGCGGAAATACTCGTGAGTGACCTTACCCGCCGGTGACGCCGCACTCCCCGCGCTCTGCCGTCGCCGATTCCTGTACTCCGTGATATCCGGAACCTTGTAGTACCGCCCCTCGTCCTCGCTATAGTTCTCATCGCCTCCGTTGTTATAACCCTCGCGACCGCGCCGGGGCGAGCGCGAGAGTGCTTCTAACGAGGGCAAGTGATCCACCGCGGCCGATGGCGCAGAGGGCGTCGCGCCGCGCCCGCCCCACGGGCTCGCGTCCGCGACCTGCGGACTCCACGCCGCCTCGTGCGGGCTCGCCAGCGCCGCCGCTGATTTTCCCTGTCCCTGCTGCGTCGGCTGGTCCTGGCCGAAACCCCTGGAGATCTCGGAAATCTCGCCCGAATCCGCCACGTTTGCGCCTCCCACGCCGGTCAACCCGGCGCCGTTCGCGCCGCAGAGAACGCTGCTGCTGCTGCTGCTGCGCGCGTGCTGCCGCGCGCGCCTGTCTCTGGCGCCCGCAACTATACTCTCAAACGGCAACCCTCCCGCCTCCGCCTGCTCCTGCTCCCGCCGCTGCTGGCGCTCGTTCCACTCGCGCTCCTGCTGCGCCTGGAAGCGGCGGGAGGGCGTGGCGGAGGGGGTGACGGGGCCGGATAGCATGTCGATCAATCCGCCAGCGCTAGAGCGCAGAGGGGAGATCGACCGGCGCAAGGGGGAGCGGGAGGGGAGCGGGGAAACGGAACCCGCGCGGCTGCCTCTTGCGGACGAGCTTCCCGCGCCCGCCACATCCCACACCCCGCTCCCGCGCCCGCTTCCGCGCATGCTTCCGCGCACGCTCCCGCCCCCGCCGATTGCCCGCTCCTCGTCGGCTTCCGCGCCCATCCGCGGGCCTCTGTACGGGGAGAGCGATCTACCCCGCTCGATGGGCCTCCGCGGCTTTGGTGATGTGTCGAACATTCGCAGCCGAAGCGGAGAGCGAGACCCGGACCTGCCCCGAGCCTCGGCATCAAGCTCGACAACGGGCGTCCGGACGTACAGGCCTGCGAGCAGTCCGGAAATTCCTGCCGACGCGCTTGTCCGGGGGGAATTGGCGGAGCCGGGGAGCGGGGAGGCTCTAGACTCGTCTGACACGTGTCGCTCTAATGGGTCCCGCTTCAGCTGCTGCGGTGTGTGACAGTAAATGGGTGACTGTAACGAGGATGGCTCTATCGGCCCGCTGTGGTGGCGGGGTAGCATCGGGGGCGACTGAAATGAGTCCCGCGGGGACGGAGAGCGCGGAGTGCGCGGAGTGCGCGGTGTGGCGGGCTGCGCGGGCGCGTGGACTGGGATGGCGCTGCGAGTGGTCTTCACGTGAAGACCCCTGCACGCATGAAGGAGGTCGCGTGGGGGCAGGGAGGGGGACGGGGGACGGAAGGGGTGGGGAGGGGGAGGTGTGGGAGCGTTGATACGTAGGGACGTCGGGACATGAAGACGTGGGGACGGGGAGCAATTGCAAGAAGTACAGAAAAAGACACGGCAATCGGCGTGAATGGGATTACGTGCTCTGATCGCTCCTCCCGTTTCCCCTTTCACCTTAGTTCGTCGCCACTCACCGTGGCTGCTTCTCCATGCTCGCGAGGACATTCAAGTCGTCGCGCACATCGCGCGGCACGACCTGCAGCGGCCAGCCCAGGGACCCGTTGTCCGCCCAGCCGGACGCCGCCAGCTCCGCCGCCGTCATCATCTTGAGCGCGTTCGCGCGCTGCGCTGCTTAGTACCAATATACCTTCGAGGGATGCCTAGTTACGGGGAATGTGCTGTTGCCGTTACTACGCGCCCGCTTCACAATCGCGCAGCGAAAGCATAACTGGACATTAATGGTGGCGTCGAGTGCCAGGCCATGACTGACCTTCGAGGCGTCGACATTCTAGGCGGATAATTTTGGACGATCACCAGCGCAATTAGAGAAATAAGCGCCCGAAGCTCCTACGTGTCTATAAGGCTCCTACTGTTGGCGGTTGGCGCGTGGCCTGCGAAAGCATACAATGCCTAGCTAGATGCTAGGGCGGGTCTGCCTATCACCCAAAAGTAGCGCCCACGAGTAAAGAATTGCGCGGCGTAAGGCGTGTGTGGTGGTGGCGGAATGGACAGGATGACAATCGCGCTACGGTGGCGCGAATAGTGCTAGGGGAGAGGGGAATTTGAGCGCAACGCCAACGATGAAAATCGAAGGGATTTTGGCGGAGGCGCCAAAAAGAAGGAAGCAAGCAAAGCAACCCAACTGCCTGTGGTGGACAAGCATGTCCCCCAGCGGAAGAACGAGGGAAGGCTCTCCCGCGCACGGAAAGCTCGAGGGAGGTCATCCGTACCTGCCGAAATGGGGTTTACGTTCGCTTTCGTTAGTGTCAAACACACTTCACCGTCGATGTTTCAGATCCGATGGTGGTCTCTGCAGTGTTTCCAAAGGACCCGTCACGACAGCTTCCCGAAACTGCTTTCCAGCCCTCGCCAATCAGCCTCTGATGCTAGAGAACGCGCCGCAAACTGCAAAGCCAGCCGAGTCGCTCGTGGTGTGCGAGACGAAAATAGGGGTTCGCAGCCGCTTGTGGTAACTATTTTACTGTACAGTGACCTGGAGTACAGACCGTAAATAAATGATTGCTGGGAATCGGGGAATATACATTAACAGGTGTCACTCTACAAGTATTATATACTTGATCTCTCATTTACATTTATGTTGAGGCATACATCGTGAATGATAGCACGTTTCTACTTCATTGTATATTTTTATGTTCAAATGTTACATCAAACGATCGTTTGCGTATTTAACGTATTTACTAGACTACCGCAGGACAAGTCAGGTAACATATATTTTTCCAACATATACTCTAGTTCAAACCAGCTGTATATTGCCGTAATGTGACTATGTCCAAGCTTTCTAACCGTTGTACGAGTGTCCCAGAAACTTGCCTTCCAACCAGCGAACCAGCGAACCAGCGCCGTTCAGTCGTGCATTTACAGTAATCTGGTCTGGATGAGCATGCGCTACGCTTTGACACTCTGGCATGAATCCTGTCAGCCGGAGATACGCTGTGGTTGGTCAACAAGAACGAAAGTTCTTCCAAGAGCTGTGGGAGATATCGAGTTACACCAATCGTGGAGCCAAGCGGCTCATTTCACTCCCGAAGTGAAGGGGCACGAAGTTTGTCCACGTGGAGGACATGCTGCCTCAGCAGTTGAATAATTTTCACGAAGCATGTAGATTACCCCAGTGAAAATTATCACGAAGATTGAATAATTTTCACTGACGGCAATCTACATTCTTCTGTTTGTTCCAGTCGATTGCCTAGTGTAATAAAAATGTGCGAAACTGAGTGCCACGGTCTACGAACACTTCGGCAGTTGAGAAGTATGGGAAGAAAATCGGTTTACGGAAGCAGTCCACCACCCTCCCAGATATCCCTCCCACCATTCTTGGGAAATATTGTTGGAACAGAGAGAAGAGAAGATGCTGCTGAACCTGGCGAGGTTTCAAATGTTCCAGCACGAAACCATGTGAGGGTCACGTGATAATGAATGCGGTGGCATGCTAGTGGCAGACTCAATCAACCGTGCGACTTTTCCGGACTGACAGCGTTTCATATCAAGAAACGACTTCAGGTGGAGCAGAAATATTGCTCCACGCGGGCGTGGCTGCACACTACTGGTTTACTCCCCTAGGTCATGGGAACATTCGGTCAAGGCACCGAAATTTGTGGCGAGTCCTTCCTGACCACATATCAGCTTCGTCCTTCCCTCACTCCTGGGAATGGTATGCGAAAAAAATCTTCACTCCTGGTGTGCGTGCACTGAAAAAAATCAGCTCCCTCAAGCACGTCACTTTTGACCTCATCATTCTGTACCAAAGCAGCTTCACGTGCAACCCGACTGCGAGGGGGGTCTCGCAAGCGAATCGTGACTCGTCGCAGCCTGCCTCTTCGTAGACGCTAGCGTCAACGAACTTTTCTTCGCTTACCTTTCCGGCGTGGTTCCACCACTGTATATAGTTCTGCTAAGTGCTGGTAGGTGGAGCTTGGACTGGCTTTGTTTAGAGCTCCAATAAATCTTGATTCACTTAGTGAATGCTGGTGTTGCCATGGCAGCACTGTCCTGTTTAGACGATAAGAATTCTGCTCGACTCCTCCTTCCCGCAGGCGGCGCCTAGCGTGGGTGGGATATGAAGTCATCCTCCTCGGCAGGTATCTTTCAACAAACTCACCTCGCACAAACCACACTCTACAATCCCGCCACTTGCGGCGAACCACGACCACATTTTCCAGGAGGAAAACACATATGCACTGTACAGTAATATCCGCACCTTCGTGCTTGCTTTCTCAAGTACCACCTATGGAACCATGGTGGGAATGAGCAGCGATTGTGATGCATTCCTAACTCTCAATTGGTCCCCATCCAGCCGTCCGTGCGCTTACCACATTTTCTTTTCACAAAATCAAAGCTACCCCCTCCCCCCACGCGCTCGAATGATGTTCCCCTCCAGCAATTACCCCCGACTGACCGCACATTTGTAGTTCCCCGCAAAGGAGTAGCCCGAGCATGGCGTTTTAGTCATGGAAACTGTTACTCCTGCTGTCGGAAACAGACGAAAGCGTCGAGTAAGCTCACAGTAGGAGCACTCTCCCCTCCCACTCTCCGATTGCTGCTGGGTGACGCACCCAGCAACCTCGCAAGCATATCGCAGCGCCAGCGCACAGCAGCTCGCACGCAGCGCACGGCCTAGAGCGCGGCTCACAACGACTCGTTCCGCAAAAAACGCAACGTCAAAGAGTCACTGACTGCCCGCCCACTGGGCCCAGAGCAAGAAGGTCAGCCGACTGTGCGGTGGAACGAAAGCCGTCCCCGTCCGTGAATCACTCGGTCCTGCCCCACCATATCCTACTGTGCACAGTACCTGCATCCGGAAAAGAGCCCATATCCATCATATTTCACTCTCCGGCTGTTCTCTCTTCCACAGCCTCCCCCTGGGCCCAAGCCGCCTTTTAGACCGTGCAAGACCCCGCAGTTCCTCCGACCAGAAGCCCGTCAGCGTAGCACTTTTCACATGTTAAATCGTCGACTCAGCAAGCCAGCTCGGCGCAGAACGGAAGCTTCTTTCAGAAATCAACCTTCCAGCAATCAGTGAACCAACGTCCCCAGCATCACCGTTGTCCCTAGAGACACTTTTCAGGAGACAGCTCCGCAGAAAGCAACGTCTTTCGTTTCCACTCCACCGTTGTTACAACCGTCGTCGACCGACCGAACGTCCCACCGGGTTCCACCATACCACAAGCCGCGCCTAGTACTATTACGACTACCCGTAGCAATAGTGACACCGCTTTCCGATTTTAGCATCATGAACAGTCTTCGTTACCTCCCCACTTGCTTCGACCCGACGCCTTTCTGCCGGCGGTACTACCCCCTGGCACGTGCAGCAGCTCCTGTCACCTCTCGTCCAGATCCCTGCGCCGCCGCCTCCGAGCCTCCCGCTGGTTCCGCTGTCAGCTCTCCCGTGGGTTCTGCCGTCGGTTCTGCCATGGGTTCCGCCACGGGTTCCGCTTTAGGTTGCGCGCCAACCACCTACGCGCCAGTCCCCTCACACGTGCGCGCGACGTGCGCCCTTTGCGCGCGTCCCGCCGCGGTGCGCTGCGCCGCCGACCGCGCGGACCTCTGCGTCGATTGCGACGCGGCCGTGCATTCCGCCAACTGCATCTTCCGCCGCCACGCGCGCTTCGTCCTATGCGCGCGTTGCGCCGCGCCGACCAACTGCCTCTGGCCATCCCCGGCGCCTGGCGCGAACCACGCTCTTCCGCCGCGCACAGTGTGCGGAGCATGTCTTCCGCTCCCCCCCGACGAAACGCTCCCCAAGCGCCAGAAATTCGACGCTTCCGCTGCATTGCTACCCCCGGGACTTGCGGGTTCAAGCGGACTCAATAATCTCCTTTTTCACCCGTTCTCGGTGCAGCAGCAGCAGCAGCAGCAGCAGCAGCAGCAGCAGCAGAAGCAGTCGACGCTTCTTACCGTTCCAAGCTGTTTCAACGGCGGTCCGCGAAGCCTGACAGCGGTAACGAGGAGCCAAATCGAAGAGGCATTTCCGCTGCTGAACGCGCTTTCGCGGTCCAACGATGACCTTTCCGCCGCGACGGACCAAGTTCCGCTCCCCAACTCCGCCTCCTGCAGCTCCCTCACTGGCGCTGCTCCCCCACGCCCCCCGACTCCGCAAACACTCCAGCTCTTCCCCGAGACCGCGGAGAGCGCACCCGCGCAATGCAGGGGGGAAAGGTCAACTTTGAATACCTGCGGTGGCTTCGTAAGTCAGCCGCAGGCGCAGGCGGAATGTGTTGCGGCTGACACGCGAAGCTCGCTGCGACTCCTCGCGGACGTCGCGGGCGCGGCTGTAGCGGGGACGGCGGAAGCAACGGTGTTGTCAACATTGCCAGAGCTTGCCCTCCGTTTGCCCGAGGCCCTCACTCCGGCGGAAGCCGCTGCGTCTGCTGGCTCATCGAAAAAAGGTTTCGAGTTTTTCCTGACCAATTCTTTTGCGGACGCAAGCAATGTCAACACCAACGTAACCCTTCTGGGCAAAAGAAAGTCTGCGTGTAACGAAGATGCTCCCGCTGAAGCAGACGGACGGAAACAGTGGTCGCCAGTACCGTCGCTGGTTCCGTCGGTTACCCAATCGGCTTCCGTCATCCCACCACCGCCTCTGGTCTTGGTAGAGTCGACACCGTCACCTGCACCAGCAGCTGCGCCAGCAGTGAAATTGTCAGCGGGACTCCCGCTGGGAGCGGCGATGGTATCAGCAGCAGGAGCGGCGGAGCAGGCGGACGGCTATTTCCACCTCTCTCCGCGCAGCAACTTGCGCCATCAGGCCGCGGACCGCCTGCGCCGCATTCTCTCATCGTGGTGCGCCAAGCTGGCGCTGCGCGGGCGTCGCGTGGTCGACCTCGCGCTGCACGTTCTTCAGCGCGCGCTTCGGGATCTGGCGCTCGGATCCGTCGACAGCAACGCGCTGCGCGTGCTGCTCGCGGCGTGCCTCTGGACGGCGGCGAAGCTGGACGGCGGCCGCCAGAAGGAAGTTCCCAATGGCGCCGCGATGTCTGCCGTCTCACTGGTGGAGGTGAGCGTGCTGCAAGCGGCGGAGCTACAGCTGATGAAGATGATGAACTGGAAACCCCTGGAAGGATTTGAGGCATGATGAAGATTCGAAGCAATAATTGATGGCTTCACCCCTCTCTCATCAGTCAGAGATTCTCCTGACTGCGCGCTCTGATTTAGAATATCACGATTAGGACCGACTGAGTGCTAACCATTTTTGAATCAGGGAAGGGAGGAGGAGAAGCCGTGGATCCGCAGTTTTGAAGCGCAGGAGGCGGAAGATAAGGAGTATATTTACCATCCAATCTTCCCGCCTCAGGCGCTTTCTGCTATTTTTCCGCGCAGCTTTCCGCAGCGTGGCAGCCCATTCGCAAGCCCTTGGGCGTTCTCACTAGAATATAGGTGCAGTAAGTTTATAGATACTTGTTTCAATATCTAAGGCACAAAAAACCCTAGTACTAAAATGTGTTTGCTTGTTTCCCTTATTCTACCAAGGGCGAAACCTACTATTAACATTATAGATCCATTTCATGCCAGCGCAATTTCAAGGTGGAAGGAGCATATGGTAGTTGAACTACATACGGTACAAGTACAGTACCAACAGCGAAATGCAACCAACTTCTCACTTCAAATTACCACATCAGTAAGAAGATGCGAAAGTCACAACACGTTACAGATGCACAACAAACAACATAGCACTACAACAAATGGAGGCTAAAAATTACAATCCGCTGACCACAATATCAAGCATGCATCGCCTTTGGAAGAAAGAGTAGCAAAGTTGTGCCACGAGAACAGATTGCGGCAGGAGAAAAGGTCCAAGAGATGCAGACTGGAGCATAGGACCACAACAGAGAGACGGGAAGCCAGCGGGAGGGAGATGGCAAGGTGGGAAAGGGAACGGTGCAGGAGACAGTGACAAGTGGATGGGGTATGGAATGGGTATGTAGTGACAACAGGCAAGCAACACTACGCTTGAATGCAACAGGCAACCAGCCGAGGATAAATACGCACGATCGGGACCAGGAGGAGGGAGGTGCTTGGGATCTCAAAAGGCAGTGGCACGAGTCACTACTCGCAGGGGAGCTGGGCATTGCAATGCGCGCTGTAGGCAATGCACGTGTGCCTGCCTACTCCACACATTCAGGCCTGGTAGCAGCTGCCTGACCCTGTGGGCTCCAGAGAGGTGAGAACTTTCAGCTGAGGCAGTTGCGATGGGTGGAGTAGCGCATGGGTATCCATATGGGGGTGTCTTTTGGATAAAAGGTGGTCGGCTTTTGAGTCGATTCAAAAGCTGAGATGAGAGAGCTTCCAACTGACGCAGCTGCGATGGGTGGAGCGCATGGGTATCCATATGGGGGTGTCTGTTGATGGAAGGTGGTCGCAGGACGACTGAGATACAGGCAAAGCAGGGCTACCAGGGTTATGGGACAGTTGCTGTGGAGGTTGTTGTGAGAGAGGGAGGATGTGAGAGAGTTGTTCTTCGGTGAGTGCAGCTGGGGAGGGAGGCAAAAGCTGGGCTACATGGAGTGGGCTACCTGAGCAGGGTTACCTGGGTGTGGGACAACTGTTGCAGAGGTTGGTGCGAGAAAGGAAGAGTGAGAGAGGGTGAGTGTTTGTGGCAGTAAGTGCAGCAAGGGAGGGCAGTGAAAGCAGGGCTACCTAGAGAGGGCTACTTGCATAGAGCACTTGGGAAGGGTTGGGCAGGGCTACTAGGAGAGGAGAGGGGCTTGGGGCAGAGGTACTTGGACAGGAGACGGCTACTTGGGCAGGTGCTCGGGCAGGGCAGGGCTACTTGGGGCGGAGGTTGGTGCGGGCGAGAATTCGCTTGCCGTAGGGGCTGCTGCGGAGGGACGGGAGGTGCGGGCGAATGGCCTCCACCAGTGCTGTGTACAGCGGACCCTGAGAGGAGTGAGGGGGCGGGTGAGGGTGGAACGGGTAAAAGGGAGAGAAAGGAGGACGAGGTTGAGTGGGAGGATGAGGGACGGCAGGTGCGGGCGAATGGCCTCCACCAGGGTGGTGTATAGCGGACACTGAGGGGAGTAAGGGGGAGGGGTCAGTAGGACGGAGGGAGAGAAATGAGGACAGGGTCAGAGGGATGGGTTAGAGGACAAGCGAGGAGGAAAGGGTGTGTGGGGCGGGTTAGAAGGAGTGCAGGAAGGAGAGGATGGGAGGGTGGGCACAGGGAGGAACTCATCAGAGGAGAGGCATGGGTTTTCGATGTTGGGGTGCCAGCGGTCCAACTCTTTCCCCGCCTCAATCCATCCCCTCCTCCCCTCTGCTCTCCAGTTTTCACCCAAGTTACCACGGTCAGTACGGCAGACTGATCACATAGTTGGCAAACGTGTCTGCAGTGATTGGCCCAAGAGAGGCAAGACGGCTAGCTCCCACCTAACTCTCACCCACGTATTCCCCAGCAAAGCCTTAGCCACGGTGAGTGCGGACTGAACCACATAGTTGGCGAAGGGATTCTGCAGGAGCTGCCCTACTAGAGGCGAGACGACTAGCTCCTGAATGATGAGGTGGCGGCAGTTGTCCGGGGCGAGCTTGAGGCACTCCCCTCTGACACCCCTTTCCCCCCACCCGTCCCCAGGCTCACCTTAGCCACCGTGAGAGCGGACTGAACCACATAGTTGGCAAATGGATCCTGGAGCAATTGGCCCAGCAGGGGCGAGACAACGAGCTCCTGGATGATGAGGTGGCGGCAGTTGTCAGGGGCGAGCTTGAGGCACTTCTCCACCACGTTGCTGCTGAACTTCTGCTGCGCCAACGGCGCGTACTGCCCCTGCAGGCGCACCACCACCTCCTCCATCGCCCACGGCAGCCCCAGGTCCAACACGTACTGCACCACATAGTTTCTGGGAGAGGAGAGGGCGAAGGTGCGAAAGAGATAGAGGGAGGCGTTGGAGGGAGCTGAAAAGCCTGCAGCCGCACCACCACCTCCTCCATCGCCCAAGGGAGACCCATGTCTAGCACATGCTGCACCACATAGTTGCTGGGAGAGGGGGGAGGGGGTGACAGGGTGGCGGACAGGAAAGGAGGGAAATGGGGCAAGGGGAGGGGTAGGGGAGGGGTAGGTGAGAGGAAGCGGAGAGGGGGAGGGCAAGGCAAGAGGGGTGGTGCAAGTGATACAGTGAGAGGAGGGCTGTGAAGCGTATGTGATTATCCAACGTTCTCGAGCTTATTATGTACACGAGTCTTGATTATCAACACCCGGCGGTTGCAACAATTGGCAGCAAAAAAACATGGCGACAGACAGTTGTGTACGAAGGGGATTCACTCAGTAGATTGTCTGCTAAGAGGATGAACGCACCCGAAGGGGTCTTGAGAGAGCACGAGGGCGTTGGAGGCGACCTCAGCAAGGATGCGGTTCTTCTGCTGGCCCTGTGAGAAGTCAATGCAGCGCTGCAGCACACAGCAGCCGTGGCGGTGCGATGCTATCTCCACACAGTGAGAGACGGCCGCGTTGAAGATGAACTGAGGGGGGTGTGCCGGGTTGTGGGGGCCGAACGAGGGGAAGGTGGGGAGTTTTTAGGCGATGCAGATGTATCTACGCAGCGAAAGACGGGCCACGTTTGAAAATGAACCAAGCGGCGAAGGGATGGCGGGGGGGGAGGAATAGGGCATTGCAACACCACGTGGCTGCCGTTGAGGTTCTTGATCAGCGTCAACACACCCAAACCAAACTGTTACACCCTCTCTCCCTGTGCTACCACCTTGAATCCTCCTCTCTTTCCCTGCTCACCTCGTTCTGCTGTGCAGAGAGGCGCTGCAGGCAGCGCTGCACGACGTGGTTGCCGTTGAGGTCCTTGATCAGCGTCACCACGCCGCCCGCCAGGCTGGCTGTCAGCCGCTCCACCGCCTGGGGGTTCGTCACCGTCTCTATCAGCTTCTGCACCGAGCGTGTGCTGATGGCATGGGACAGAAAAGATGAAGGGGGGGATGAAAGGGAGTCACATCTGTATTCGGCTTTTGAGACGTATCAAAAGCCGCTGCACCGCCTGGGGGGCCGTCACCGTCTGGATCAGCTTCTGCACCGAGCGCGTGCTGTTCGCTGGCATGGGATAGAAAATGCGGGAACGGGAGATTGGGGCATCAGCAAATGCACTGCCCACGCCCAGCTGTTGGGTCAATAAGTGTGAAACGAAGGTGGTGCCGGGAAAACGGGAATACGCTGACGAGGTCCCATTTGGCACTGCCCCTTCGGCTGGCATCACCTCATCAGCCACACTCACTACCTCACTCCCGACGCCCTCCCTCACCCGTGCATGTTGAGGGAGATGCTGACGAGGTCTGTCTGGTTCTCCGTGGCCATGGCGAGGATCTCCTCCCTCTGCACCTCACTGCACACCTCCAGAGCCTTCTGCACCAGGTAGTTGCCAAACGGGTCCGTCATGAGCTCCACCATGTGCGGCTTGATCTCCACGAATATGCGCGCCACCTCCTCTGAAGTACCTTCATCGAATTTGCGCTGCAGGAACCTGTGACCGATGGGCAATAGGGATTGAGCGGAATTGGTTAGTCCACCATGTGCGGACCAATTTCCTTGAAGGAACGTGCTATTTCCTCTTGAGAGGCCTCGTTACACTTGCGCTGCAGAAAGATTTGGGCGAGGGGATGCAGGAGTGGAGGGAGGACAAGAAGGGCAAGAGGGAGCTAGAAGACTTGACCCACCTGCATCCATGCTGGTCCTTGGCAATTACGGCCATCTGCCCTTCCACCTCATCCAGCGACGAGTACTTTGAATGCTGCGCTGATCCCAGCCCCATCCCCATCCCTCCCACCCCATAGCCCCCCGTCAACCCTCCAGCCCCAGAATAAGCCCCCACTGGAGGCGAACCACCCCCCATCTCTCCTCCACCCAACCCCGCTCCAGGCCCAGGACCCATCAGCCCATTCGCCCCACTCGCCCCGCTCGCCCCGTCCATTCTGTTCCGCATGCCACCTCCACCAGGGCCCAGCATTCCGGGGGCCCCGCTGGCCCCACCTCCCACCCCCCGTGCCGCCCCTGCACTGCCGCCTGCAAACCCAGGAGGGGTTCCTCTGCCCCCGCCTGCACGCGGGCCCCTGTCAGGAGACACATAGGGAGCCGCCCCTACGCGGTAACCAGCCTGGGACGTTACACCCTGCGGTGCACTACCAGCAATGCCTGCTCCGCCCCCTGCTGCTCCTCCCATAGATCCTGCTCCTACTCCTCCAGCTCCCAGCCCCATTCCTCCCATCGAATGCAGGAACGGGCAGGACTCTCCCCGAGCACAGTACCCGCTCTGAGAAAAGAACTTGCACAGGCCAGACGGGGTGCTGCTGCTGCCACTGCCTGCTGCGCCTGTGGCAGGGGGGAACCCGAACCCTCCCGCCATGCCAGCCAGGCCTGGGTTGAGAGCGAAGAGATCCATGCCTGGTGCGCCGCCTCGGAGCATCTGAGCGGCGGCGGCGGCCGCTGCTGCGCCGATGGGGAGGTTGGCGGCTTGGCCTAGAAGCTGCTGCTGCTGCTCCTGCAGGAAGGCTTGCTGCTGGAAGAGCAGCTGCTGCTGCTGCTGGCGCTGCTGCCGCATGAGCAGATCCTCCTCCACCTGCTGCTGCAGCGCCTGCAGCCGCTGCGCCTGCGCCTGAAGCATGGCCATCTGGAGGGAGACAGTCAGTAGTGGGGTTTAGAGAGCAGAAGGGAAGAAAGAAGACATGCGATTGACGTAAGGTTGTAGTATGGTATAAGGGAAAAGTACATGCATGATCAGTGGGCGCTCGAGGGAAGTTTATCAAAGCAAGTCTTTCAACCCAGCAGCTGGTCTCATACCTGCTGTGCCTGAAGCAGCGAGGACATATCCACATCCGATCCTGCTGCCACCCCTTGTGGTTGATTCTTCCCTGCCTTATCCTTCGAATCCTCCTCCCCCTGCCCCGCCCCTACTTGCTGCGGCTGCAACTGCTGCGGCTGCTGCTGCTGTTGGAGCCCACCCATGGCAGAGAGCATATCCGCAGGGTTCGCCCCAGGGAACATCCTCGCAGCCTGCAGGGCAGCAGCTGCTGAAAACGCATCCATAGGCGCGCCAAGCCCGCCAAGCCCAAACCCGTCAAGCCCCATGCCCATGCCAAATCCCCCTCTTGGCCCAGCACCCCCTGCCGCTGCTGCAGCCGCTGCCGCCATGCCTCCCATCCCGCCATATAAGTCCACACCAGGCGCGCCTGCTCTGGCCCTCAGCAGCTGCTCGTACAGATGCAGATTCGAGGGGGCGATGCCTGCTGCACCTGGCAGCATGCCTGGAAGAAGTCCCGCCCCGCCTTGAGCAAGAAGGGCGTCCAGACCCAGAATCCCAGCGCCCTGACTTCCCAGCCCTGGTGAACCAAGTCCTGGCAGTACCCCTCCTGCAGCTCCAGCCAGAGCAGGGGAGCTTGCAGCAGCAGCAGGAGCTCCTGTGGGGGAAGCTGCTGGTCCAGCGGCGCTTGATCCTGCCTTTTTCGCGCTGGCGTCCGCTGCCGCGCCTTTCCCTGCCTCCCCTGCCCTGTCTTTGTTTTGCATGGGGGCAGCAAAGGCTGCGGCTGCAGCTGACAAGCCCATTCCGCCAGGCGGTCCAGCTGCTGCATTTGCTCCTGCGAGACCAGCGCCTGCCAGTCCTGCCGCGGCTCCTACCCCTCCCCCTGCACCCACGGCTGCCAGAAGCTCCTCTAAGCTCGCACCAGACGCCCCTGAGCCTGCTCCCATGGCTTGTAGCAGCGCGGCTGTTGTGAACGGATCTAAGCCCACAGATCCACCCAGCAGACTCGCAGCAAGAGCGGGTGGTATACCACCAGGGCCTCCAACGGCGCCTGCAAGAGAAGAGATCCCTGCAGCGGCAGAGGGACCAAGAGCAGACATGCCACCCATCCCTCCCATGAACCCCCCTACATTAGCCGTCCCTACGACGACTGGACTCCCCTTGCTGCCATGACTTTCAGAAGGGCTGCTCACGTGCTGCTGGGGCTCTGCTTTGCCTTGTCCTGATCCGCTATCAGCAGCCCCGTTACTGGCACTCGCGTCTCTAACAACGGGTGTGGATCCTCCTACACCGAGCCCCTGAAAAGCCGTCGCCAAACCATTGGCTCCAGAGGCGTCTGGACCTGGTCTCTTATCAGCCAGAGCCTTCCGTGACAGCTCCCGTTCTTGTAGCGCCTGCTGCTGGGCCACCTGCCGCTGCATCTCCTCCAGAAAGGCCTCCTCGTCCGTCCCGCCGCTACCAGGCGTCGCCCCTCCATTGGCGCTCCCGCCCTCTGCCTGTACCCTCTCCGCGTCCTGCCTCCTCATCTCTTCCATGCTTTCCCTCAGCTTGCTGTCGTCTAGTGCCAGACCGCCAAAGAAACCACCGTCGGGGCCCATCTCGCCTTCTCTTGCAGCGAATTTAGGCGAATCGGTGTACAGCTGGAGGTTTTCCACGGGAGGTGGGAGCTTCGTCACTCCGGAATACACCTTGTAGAACTCCTCGTAGTCTTCGTCTCTTCGGATGTCTGCCAAGACAGGAGAGTGGAAACGATGCGTGACGACCAAGTACAAAGGAGGAAAGAGGTAATGAGCGCGTGAAGAATCACACTACCCTCTTCAATGGTGAACCTCGTTCGTCACACCATGTCACCAATCGTGTCTGCATTCTGACTTGTAGACGGAGCCAACGTAATCCTACATGTTCGAACCTTACACGAAAGAACGTAAACTGATGAGCAGGACACATCAGACACAAGGTGTGTTAGTCAGTTAACAGGGACGTCCTTCAGGGACGCAACCTTCAGGGACGTAATCTTCAGAAATGTAACCCTCGAAAGGTACCTTCGAAAGGCTTGACAGCAACGTCACCCTCGGCGCTACCAGCGAATGCTCCTGTGTCCGGAGCGATGCCATAAACTTTCTGCAGATTTCAATGATACGCATCAGGACGATCGTAACCGCAAAACGTGTACTTTGCACGGTCAGGAACCACTTCTCCCTCTGACATACACGACAAAGAAAGTGTGAAGTCTTGCAAAGGCAAATTTAAATATATCATATTGACAGCTCTCAACGACTTGCCAACCTGCAATTCTGCCAGTTGAGGAGGAGCGGATGTAGTTCTTGGGAGCAGCTCTTCTAGAATCTGTTCAATATCAGCATCATCCTCTGATTGAGGCTCTCCTGAAACCCCTGTTTCGTCAAACTGCTCCTTTATCTGCTGCTTTGCTGAATCCGACTCTCCGCTATCTGGCATTGTTTTTGCACTACCCTCATCTTTCACTCCTTCCATTCCAAGATATAGATCGATGGAAGGCTCGATAGGAAATCGAACTACACCAGAGAGACTCTTCCGCCTTCGAAATTGACTGGAGTCATGAGCAGGCGATAACTACGAACCAGCGCAATGGTGGAATGCGGATGGATGATTGGACGGACTTCTAGAACGCTAATCTGTTCTGGAATATAATGCAGCACTGATAATGATTTCCCGTTTGACCCATTTGCCAGAGTTTCTCTTGATTGACCAACCAAACCAACCACAAGTGGAATTGGATTAGTCGTTGCGGGGAGGGCGTTGGGCCATGAATGGGAGGGACGACAAGGGGACGGAGTAGACGGCCAGACCACATGTTGCCACGCTCGTGATTCCCTTTGCTACCCGCCACCGTTTAGTCTTCCGTCGAGCCGGTGAAGTTCTGATCCGTCCACATCAGCATCTCCACCTTTGCAGCTCTAGCTTCACCATTCCGAAAATGGCCGTTGGATCTAAATGGTTGGGATCCATTGGTTGGTGGTTCTCGAGGGTTATTCTAGCTGGACCAAAATGCTTATAGAGTTTCACTGTAGATTCATAAACTTATGTGATAAAACGAATGAAGAAATATAGGGAGTTTCTCTTTTCAAAAATCGGTGACGCAAATCGTTTTCGCAGAAGTGTTCGTCTGTGGTCGCAATTTCTGATTGGGCGACGGAGGATTGTGGTTGAGTCCGTCTCCAACACCTCCTTCCTCCACAAATCGAGACGCGGGTTCGCAGTGGTTCCATCTATTGTTCAAGAGCCGTTCAGGGTGAAAACTGCATCTCACACTCTTCCTTTGTTATTTCTGCCTGGAAGGGTTTGTTCCAAGTACGGGATATGTCTGCGCCCCTCTGGCAATTCCCCTTATCGACAAGGATAGAGGTTCTAAATTAGGGTGCTTTTGTAAGTGCACATCCATAGTTGGCGGCGCTTGGCTGATCCCCTTTTCAGTAGGACTGGTTGATGGAAGGGGGGGGAACCATGGCGGCCAATCCAAAAACCGTAGAAGACGTTTTCAAGGACTTCAGTGGCCGACGAAAGGGCATGTTAAAGGCTTTGACAACTGGTACGCAGTCCCTATTTCTTAGATTTTGTTTTCCTCTCGTCGCGAACCTAATATATGCTTTTCGAGGTTAACACCATTTCGTCGTCCTCCGTGTGAGTGCAGATGTGGAAGATTTTTATCGACAGTGTGATCCAGGTTTGTCTTCCGAGGCGCTCTCATAAAAAATTGACGACGATAATTTGCATTTAGATGGCTCTGTAGTTCGACCCCTTTCTTATTCGTCGCTTCTCTTCTCGCAGAAAAGGAGAATCTATGTTTGTATGGTTACCCAGAGGAGGCTTGGGAGGTCAATCTACCAGCAGAGGAAGTGCCACCGGAATTACCAGAGCCCGCACTTGGAATAAATTTTGCAAGAGATGGAATGCAGAAGAAAGACTGGCTAGCCTTGGTTGCTGTACACAGCGACGCATGGCTCCTCGCAGTAGCATTTTACTACGGAGCTCGATTCGATAAAAATGAGCGGTACGATGACTTTCTCTTCAATCTAGATCTACATTTTTTCTGCCTAAAAACTAAATTTATTTTGGGTGTGCTGATGCAGGAAGCGGTTGTTTAACCTTATCAATGACTTGCCCACACTATTTGATATAGTAACGGGCAAAAAGCAGGCGGTTGAAAAAGCAGCAGCCAACAACAGCGGGTCGAACAAGGCGAAGAGCTCTGGCAAGGCGGTAAGTTTCACCTGGTGATAGCATTTCCCCTCAATGTGCTGTTTTAGGGTTCCAAACATTTCTTGTGTGCTGACGGTTTGTATTCACATTTTCAGCGGAGTGGTGAGGTGCAGACTAAACAATCAAAGGCGAAACAAGAAACTCCAGAGGAAGAGGAGGATGACGAGGAGGAGCATGGGGAAACGCTTTGTGGCATTTGCGGCGGGCTTTATGGGGCAAACGAGTTCTGGATTGGTTGCGACCATTGTGATAAATGGTGCGTTCTACTTTGTTTTCGTTACAATTCTGACCCCCTTCTTCACAATCTGAGTTATCCCAATCAACATTGTGTTTCTGCAGGTACCATGGGAAGTGTGTGAAAATTACACCAGCCAAGGCAGAGCATATCAAGGACTACAAATGCCCGTCTTGTGCAAAGAGAGCTAGATAATGATTTGTTGATCCTGTATTATGCTTGCTAGTTGAGCTTAGTGGTGGAATAGTCTTTCCTGGGTACCATCTGATTTGGTGGAAATGAAACATCTGCTGGATAATAAGGGTGGGTTCTTTCTGGGCTAGGATTCTTGCTAGATGAGAATATTGCCCTGCTTAGCTAGGAAACTAACATGGATATTTCATTGTCCAGTCTACCATGACCAGTACCTATCCTCCTGCACATAGTGGATAAAAGCTGTACTGCTCAAGTGCTAAACCTGCCACTACATACTGTTTCTACAGACTCCCTGTTCCTCCTATTTCTTGAATGTGTTCCACCAACCACCCTTCTCATTTCACCTTTATGGTAGTTTCTCATCCACCACCTGTTGTGTGGGTATCACATGCCTCCTCCAAGCAGTACCTAAACTGTCTGGTTTCCCAACTTAGGAAAGGAGAGGAAGCTAAGAGGGAAAGCCAGTGGGGGATGGGATGTCAGGCATGAAAGACGGGACTGAGGGGTGAGAGGCATGTAGGGAGCAATTAGAAAAATTTGGGATGGGGTGAACGCAGGCAAATGGGGGTGTGAAAGGAGAACGGACGAGCAGAGGAAAGGGTGAAACGATACGAGTGACGGAAGGAGGGCCAAGGCAGTGGAAAAGGAGGGAAACAAAGGGTTGTGGTGGTGGACAAAGGGGCAACTACTGTATAAAGGACAAGAATAGAGGGCGATGGGGGAAGGATGAGGGGAAGGGTGGGTGGGATGGGGTAGACGAGGAAAATAAGAAAGAGGTGGAGTGGGGGAGGGACGGAAGAGGTTAGGAAAAACTGACAAGGAGGGGAAAATGTGTGCAGGGAAGAAGGAAGGGACGAGGAAAGGGAGTGGTGAAAGACAGATGGGGTGAAATGGCAGGAGAAGGTAGTCAGACGACAAGTGGAAAAACAACGGACCGGAAATGGAAGGAAGGGAGGGAGAGACAGGAAGAGGGAGGGAGGGGAGGATGGAGGCCCAGATGGAAGCGATGGAAGGACAAAGCGGAGCGAGAGGGGGAGTGGGGAGGGAAGCTGGAGAGAGCAGAGCGGGAAAGGGAAGGAGATTTGCAGGGTGAAGCGGGGGAAGGGACGGCAGGAGGTGGAAAAAGAGGGAGCGCAGACCAGCTGAGGAGGGAGTTAGACAGGAGGGTACAGCAGATCCAGGAATGGCAGACCATGTTCTCCTTTTTTGAAAAAGACCCTGCCTGCCATTTGATTATATCGTATACTAACAAGCCCTTTTAATGCCTATATCTATCTTTGTCCACACTCTCATTGGCTCCTTTAAACTCACAGCCTTGGTCCAGGTTCCACAGTGTTCTGCCTCCAATTGTAGCTTCAGAATTAGGGGTGCCCTCAACTCAACCTTCCTCTCCCCCACAAAACCTTGAAAAGAAGTTCCTCTACATCATTTGGAAACCTGGGGTTGACTGTCCCAGAAGAAATATACCTCGCATGCATGGACGCTATATGGGACGGTGTAGGGCCAGGGACGGCACAGCTCCAGCGCCTAAGCATGTGCTTAACTCCGCCTGCAAGAGAGACATGAGCTCTGTTCCTGTGCGACGGTACACCCAACCCTGGCCTGGTAACCAGTCAAAGCGTGCTGGACCACTGCAGGGAAGAGCAAGAGGAGGCAAGCAGTGGATGAAGCATGAGTACCTGTTAAAACAGAAGCAGTGAAATGTGCCCATGTCTGCGAATACATTCAGCACCGACAACCATCTTCGCCTTCAGCCAATATGTACACGAGCAAAGGGTATGTTGTGCACGGTTCACGAGAAGAACATACAGCTATAGTCAAGGCAGCCCACAATAAACCTGTGATGGTGGTGGCATGGCATAATGATAAGGATAAATACTACGTTACTACTAGAGAAATACCTTTGTGGGGACGAAAACCAAATTTGCCTGTTTGGAGCTTGCTTGTTGATCACAAAGATTCCGTGTTGTCCGAGACGAAGCGTCAAAACTCCTTGCTGTGTAAAAATAAGTACAAGCAGCATTTTTTTAAAAACAATGCGGGGTATTTCTCAATAACTGCTTGGGGAAGCGACCCAGTAGTGATTCGAACTTCAGGTGCCAGGGGTTGTTAAACAGAAAAATGGAGACGAAGATAATGACATGTTGCTAGTCAAAGACTGTAAGTGGGAGTTTCAAGCTTAAACCGCATGTCGAAAGACACTTACTGACAGGTCAACATCGAATCCTTCAATGTCCACCTCATCACCTAGAGCCTGCAAAACCGCCAGACAGCAGCAAGAGAGAACCTTGGCAGAAACGCTGAAACGATAGGGGACGGAGCTCTTGTCAATCCTCACATGGCTAATCATAAAAAAGCCCAGATTTGTGAAGGGAAAGAGCAGCTAAATGGGTAATGTCCAGGAGCTCATGCAAATTTCAGAATTAGGTGTCAGAGCATGTGAGTGTGAACATCGCGGTGCATACATCAAATTTCTCATGGAGCCAGTGCAGGGCTTCGTCTGCGAGCTGGTGAAAATCATTCTCACTCAGCTCCCCTTCCGTTGCTTCTGGTGCATGAGACGATGACGGCACGACCACCGGCGATGTAGGTTGTGGTGATGACGCTGACAGCTGTCGAGAAACTATCGGTTGTGGTGGCAGTAATGGCGACACCTGTGGGGCCATCACAGTCGGCCGTGATGCCAACCGAGCAGACTCTAATGAGAATACCCGTGTCTGTAGTCTCGCCTGATTGAAATCATGAATCCCCAACGGTCCTTTGCGAATGGAATCTCCCGGTTCGGCTGCGAGGACGCGTTGCGTGTTTCGTAGCTGGGCATCTGTGTCGTCTGAAAAGAGTGCGACGTTATACGACCTAAGGATCTCGTCTGGCCGCAGGAACGGTGCTCCAGACGAGATTCGCGGCGAAGGACCGAAATGCGGCCAGACTAACTTACGCCGTCCGTTCGAGCAAATAGTAGAAATGAACCTACTGCCCATTGTCCCTAAATGGATCGCGAGGCAGCAATGATCTCTTTGCCTGAAAACCGACGGCCTAAAGATTTCGACGTGACAAAAGGGCCTACGAGCGTTCCTCTGGCAGCGAGGCGCCGAATCGATCGTTGCCAAGCCTGAATGTGGCAACCATGCTTCTGGCATGCAGGAGGCAGATGATTTGCGACATCGTCGCAACTTGTATCATGCTTTTCCTTCACAAACCATAAACGTTCATGAAACCTGGTGTAGAGAAATCATGATGTGCTGACTATTGCAAAACTACCCAGAAATTTGGAATTGAGATAGAGCTGCACCCAGGCCAAGCAAACCTCGGAATTGACGGTTTCCGTTCGTCATCTGATGATGCTGCTCTGTCCCGTGTAGTTTTCCCCTTGCCTTCCGTCCATGCCGTTGCCGCACAGAAGCTGTTTTCGTTCTGCTCAACGCACCGCAACTGATCTCGTTTGGCTCAATCCATGGATGCATGCAGTTGCGCTCACTCAGAAAGCCCAAACCGCCAGCAACCACGAAGACGAAACGTCACGATGTTTTGCTTTGTCTGCAGCCGTCTAATGATTGCTGCCAACAGAGTCTTGCGGCAAGCACAGCCAAACCCTGTACTAAAGCTTCACTTGAAATCCTCCCGACACCATATCATAACTCCACCGAGGCTTCCTTTCGTCCACTCTCACAGCCTTCGTCCCATTCGACGATTCGTCGCGAGCACTGTCGAGTCTGTTAGACAGCTCCATGGCCCTCCTTCGGTCTCAGTGCGGACTGATGCATCTTTCCGGTGCTTCACGCCTCGCTCAAGGGTGCTGCTCTCAGAGCATTAACCGAATCGAGTTTTTCACACCTTTTTGGACACGCACCAACTCAGTTCGACTGCGTCTGCCAGGCGTGAAAGCTGCGAAGCCATGCTCGATATCTCTCAGACGCCTCAGTCATGAGACGTTTTCCCATCGTGAATCGCGACAGGCGCCGTCTGGACTCGTTTGCCGTGCGTCATTGTCTCCTCTGGAGTCTGGTACGTTTGCTTGTTCAGGAAAATCAATCTCGTGAAGTATAACGGTTGTAGACGTTTACAAGTTATATTCCTTTTACGATAGTGCTGACGTCATTCTTATCTTTGCGATTCCGTTCAGGTACTCAGCAGAGTCTCGTCTCGGCGCCGCTCATCTCGTCCTTCAACGAAAACGTCCGTCCGATGCTTGATGCCATTGACAAGCTTCGGATTCTGGGCCTGAAGGAGGAGGGCATCGAACTTCCGACTATCGTTGCGTTGGTGACCAATCCAGCGGCAAGTCATCCGTTTTGGAGAACCTGTCAGGAATCAGCTTACCCAGAGGGAATTGGATCGTCACGCGAGTGCCGCTGATTCTGAGGCTCCAGTCATGCACAAACAAAGATGGAAAGATCACAATTGAGTACAACAGTCCAGGTTCTGGAAAGATCTTCAAAGTCCTTCCTGATGAAGAAAGCATTCAAGAGGAGATCTCTAAGGCCACTGTGGCCTTAGCTGGGAACAGAAAAGGCGTTATGGATCGTCCGATCACTCTGCAGGTGAAAAGATCTGGACTGCCTGACTTGACACTGGTGGATCTGCCTGGAATCACTCGAGTTCCTGTCGAGGATCAGCCCAAGGACATCTACAATCAAGTCAAGCAAATGATCATGCAGTACATCACTCCGGAGGAGAGCGTCATTCTCAACGTCCTTGCAGCTGAAGTTGACTTTTCCACATGCGAATCCATTGTAATGTCTCAAGAGGTTGACCAGGACGGAGATCGTACCCTGGCTGTCGTCACCAAGGTGGACAGGGCTCCTGATGGCCTCTATGAGAAAATCCAGGGCAACTCGGTGCGGATTGGGCTGGGCTACGTGTGTGTCAAGAACAAGACTGACGCTGATGCTTCTCACGCTGCTGCTCGACTTGCAGAAACGGACTTCTTTGATCGCCATCCAGAGTTGAGCAGAATTGAGACCGATTCTCGAGGGATTCCAGCTCTCGCGAAGACACTGATTGCCAAGGAAGATGAATTGCAGAAAATTCCATTGGCTGCCAATTCGGATGGTGCTGCACTGGCGATGATCTCTTCCACAATTCAAAGGAGGCGAGACTTTATGACTGGCCTCATTGGTGGAAGATATGGTCAGCTTCATGGCGACATCTCCATGCACTATGCTGCAAGGCTGAACGAGAAATTCAACGAATACGAGGCTCAGATGCGGAAAATTCTTCCCGACTTTCTTGGGAAGAAATACACGGAGAGATGCAAAGATGCCCTGAAAGAGGTTGCTGGAATTTCGCTGCCGAATATGCTGGATCAAGCTGTGCTGAGGCAACTGGTGCAAGAGTTGATCGACAGCATTGAAGGGCCATCTTTGATGCTGGTGGAGGACTGCTTTTCCTATGCAGCAGAGGTTCAGAAAGCCGTGATTACGAAGACTTGCTCGGGGTATCCTAACCTGGAGAATGCTGCTCAGCTGCAAGCACTCATTGCCTTGAAGAAGGCCAAGGATTCATCAATTCAGATGACGAAGAACCTTTTGTTGAAGGAGAGGCGGGTGATCTTCACGCTGAATCACTACTACATGGATACCGTTTCAAAAATACATGAGAAGATTGCGAAGTACAAAGCAGATAGATACCATGACGACTCCCCCAGCATTGACGGTTTCAGCTCCAACACTGCTTCATTAGCTGACTTGATCAGCAATGATGATCAGGCGGCAAGGGATCTGCAGATCAACGTGTTCTCCTATGCGAAGGTGGTGCACAAGCGGCTGTGCGATGTGATCCCAATGGAGATCCGGATGTCTCTGGTAGACGCTCTTGTAGATGATACTGATGCTGCAATTTGGGGGGTGATTCAGGCTGGAAGTGCTTCCAAGCTCGCAGCTCTGAAGGTGGCTGATCAGCAGCGGCGGGTTCAGCTGGAAGAAAGCGTCACAAGGCTCAGGGCATGTGAAGCTACTATGTTGGGTATAGCATTTGATTCCCATATGTAGCTTGAATGGAGTTATGCACACAACCTACTGTGTAGGTCTGCTGAAAGTTCATTTTTTCCTTCATGAGCCTGTGGGGCACCTACCCTAGCTGAGAGTACGGTTGGTCCCTCTCCTTCTGCTTGCAGGGTACCTGATCTTTCAGCCTACAGGTACACCAAAACCAATCTAGGGGCCTGGTGGCAGGGCTCAAATTTGCAGTGTAATTTACCCTTCTATACTGATTACAAGGGTGAAATTTTGGATCTACACTTTGCTCGGGTAATTTTTTGGTGAGTTAGTGTTACACGGTAAGTGTAATGATTGAGAGATTCACTGCACTGCAGTACACAGAACCTACGGTACACATGCATGACCTCCTAAAGAGCACACATACCAGTTATTACCCAACCCAGCTTTTCTCATGACTGTAACAGCAGCAGCTACCTTCTACACTTCTTGCCTGGCATATGAAACTCTTACCTACTACAATAGTTTCTTAAAAAAAACCTACAGCATCTCAAGTGCTACCTAACAAACCCTACGAACCACAACCCACTGGTCCCCGTTGATACTCAACCCTTCCTCCAAAAAAATCCTCGATGCCCTACCTGTTTTCATCTTCCACCAACCCCCTCACAACGTGAATTCGGCAGGGAGCAAGGCATGCGCTGAATGCTAGCCCACGTCCCTCTTCCACCAACCCCCTCACAATGTGAGTTCGGCAGGGAGGCAAGGCAGGCGCTGAATCCTAGCTCCCAGCCCTCGCAGCTTGCTATCCAGGCGCTCATACCCCCTGTCAATGTGCGCCACGCCCTCTATGTGCGTGCGCCCCTCCGCTGCCATCCCCGCCAGCACCAGCGCTGCTCCCGCCCGCAAATCAGTAGCTGCCACGGGGGCCCCGTACAGCTGGCTGCCCTGGTCCCTGCCGCTGATGATGGCCGTGTTGCCCGTGATCTTGATCTTTGCGCCCATCTTCTGCAGCTCCTCCACTGCCCGATACACGCATGATATGATAACATGCCATGGCACAACACACACGTTGCCAGCCACCATACAGCATGCAATGATACCCATTCATGGCATGGATTAACATGCGCAAACCCACCCAACACATGCATACCGCAGGCACCATGCCACACGAACACAAGAAAATCCAACAATTAAATCATCATGACACAAAAAAAGGGACACAAAAAAAATCTCCATACAGTCCAAGGAGCAGGGAAATGGGAGACAGGGGAGCAAGGGCACCGCACTCTACTAACCCATCAGCAGCTCGGCAGCACACAACAAAGCGCCAAGGCTGTTCGCCTCACTCACCATGTCTCATCCGCGACTCAAACACTGTCTCCCGGATGACGCTCTGCCCGCTGGCAGTGGTGAGCGCCGCCATGAGCTGCGGCTGCATGTCCGTTGGGAAGCCCGGATACGGCAGCGTTGTCACGTCCGTTGCTCTCAGCGGCCATATGCCTGGCGATATCTGCTTGGAAGGAAGAGAGAGGGGGACGAACGAGAGTGGAAACTAGAGAGTGAACAACGCCAAACTCACCACCACATCTTCTTACACCCGTTCTTATTGCACAAAAAGTTCCATACTTTACACCTGACACAATTCTACACACGCCTCGAACCTGCCTCGCAGACCTGTACCTACTGTACCACACAGCCACACTGTACCAGCCATACATTGAGAGTGCCGATCTTGGTCTGCTGCACGCGGCACCCCATGGCTCGGAGCTTGCTGATCACGGCCGTCAGATGCCGCGGGATCACCGGCGACAGCGACACCACCGACCGCGTGATGGCCGCAGCTGCCAGGAAGGTTCCCGCCTCGATACGGTCCGGAATGATGGTGAACTCGGCGGGCCCCAGGCGGGGCACGCCCTTGATAACGATCGTGTTGGTGCCCGCGCCTCTGATCTGCGCGCCACACGAGATGAGGAAATCCGCCAGATCCACCACTTCCGGTTCCTGGTGGGCGGGGGGAACAGACGGGCGGAGAGAAGGGGGTGTGAGAATTACTGGCTGAGGGAAATCCGCCAGGCCAGGTCCGCAACAGCTAGCTTCGTATCGCCTCACCTATTCCCTCCCCCCCCTCTTCCCCCCTGAGCTCACCTGCGCGACATTGGAGAGAGTGGTTTCGCCGTCCGCGAGCGACGCGGCCATCATGAGCGTCTCCGTGGCGCCGACGGAGGGGAAGTCGAGGTAGAAGCTCCCCCCCTTGAGCCGCCCGCCGTCCAACGTCTGCACGTGCACGCGCCCCTGCCTGCGCGCATGCAGCGTGAATGGGGGGAAAGTGGGGGAGAGAGGCGGAGAAAGGGTGTGGAGAAGGGGTACAGAAGGGAGGATAGGGGGAGGGATGAGGAGTGCGGGGATTACATGGCAAAGAGGAAAAGAGTGAGGGAGATGAGGTGAGGGGTTGTGGTGAGAAGATTTTGAGAGGGGCAGGGGGGGCGGGAGTTGACGAGGGAGGCAAAGCCGACGTGCTTCGAGGTCATGGTAATGCGACGTTGCCCAAAATACTTTCGAGACTTCTCATAAGAAGTATTTTGGACCGCTACGCTGCCCATAACTCAAGGCGTAAAATGCTGTGACAGTCGATAAGACTGACTTAGGTTTGGGCGCGCATAATGAACACGATCAATAAACACGTTCAATAACGTCTAATAACAGCACCGGAACGCCTATCGTCACCCGTATGTCACCGGCAATATCAATGTGACTCATTGCGCGCACCTGATATCGACCTTTGCGCCCAGCGCCTCGAGGCCGCGCACGTGGAGGACGATGGGGCGCGCGCCTTTTGAGTCGACTCAAGGAGTCACCTTGTCATCGGTATTATCAATGTGACTCATTGCGCTCACCTGATATCGACCTTCGCGCCCAGCGCCTCGAGACCGCGCACGTGGAGGTCGATGGGGCGCGCGCCGATGTTGCAGCCGCCGGGGAGCGGCACCACCGCCTCCCCCTGCCTCCCCACTAGCGCGCCAATCACGAAGAAGCTGGCGCGAAGCTTCCGCACCACGTCCGGGCAGGGCTCCACGGACGAGAGACAGGACGCGTCGACCAGCACGGATGAATCCTGGCCGTCCACTCCTCGCTGTATTTTCACGCCGACCGATTGAAGAACCTGATGACCGATGTAGCAGATTAAAACGCAAGCGGACGAGGGGAGTGAACACACAGACGGGTATACGACGAGGATAAAGTAGGAAAACATGATGTTTAGTATCGGCAGGGGTAAAACGACAGTGTGATGACACGGCAGTAAGAACATGGCAGTAATGACACGGCAGTAATAACACGGCAGTAACGGTATGGCCGCACTGACATGGCAGTACGACACGGGAGTAATGGCACGGCAGTAATGCCATGAGAAGAATGACATGGCCCCAATACCATGGAATGCAACTCTCGACACAAAGAAGGTTTGGTTTTTCGGAATGACCAGGTTAAATGCTCGAAGGAAGGAGTAGGAGGCAGGGACGAATATTATCGGGCCGAACCTGGAACATGCGCCTGATGTCATGAAGGTCCGGCACCCGACGCAAAACGAGAGGCTCGGAGGAGCAGATAGCCCCCGCGAGAACGGCAAGAGCGGAGTTCTTCGCACCACTGATCGACACGTGTCCCTCCAGACCCTCGCACCGCTCCACCTCGAAGCATTCCACCATCAACGGGCTCGATGCCGAGCCTGTTGCCGAACGTAACTCCGAACCGGCTACTGGGCCTAAGGTTGGAATACATAGTGGGGACAAATTACTCCTAACGCTAGGCGAGGGGGAATTGCTACTGCTGTTGCCGCCAATAGCGGAGAGGGAGTCTAGGGAATCAATGCAATAAGGTAATGTGCTACAGCTACTGTTAGAGTTAGGAGCAACGGTCTGAACGGACTGAGCCAGGCACGCGTGCGACGAAAAAAAGCCGTCAGACGATCCCGTTAGGAACGACTGCTGATCGGCCGACATTCGCCATTTGCGATTAGACTTGACCGTTGACGTCAGACTACAGGAGCCGGATATTCTCGCAGAACCAGATTGGCTCCATTGATCGGGTAAGGACGGTGAATGAGAAGCGGTCGCCGGCTTGCGCCGGGAGTCTAAATTAACCGCTGAGGCGACTGAAGCCTGATTGGACAGCTTGGAGGTGAGCGATGCAGTTGCTTCCCACGCCATGGCTATCCTTTAGGTAAAGCGTAAGAAGGGTTGCAGTCAGTCGACACGGGAAGACGTAGTAGCGACGGGTACTAGAGGATGGTGATGTCCTCGCAAGCTGGGAGGGAGAAAGGTTGCTCCCAGCTACAGAAAACTAGGGTTACCGCATGCTGGTCAGTCAGCAGTGCGATATGATATTCGAAATGAAACACAACCAACCGAAGGAAACACGAGTTGATCGGTCAACGCAAAAGCGGACGGGCCCTATTTAGCTTTTACGCTAATCTGCTAAGCAGACCGTTTGTTAGTGGGGATGGCCGAGAAAATGGCTACGGTGGACTTCCGATCGACCAGCACAGCAAAAGTTAGGGCGTCCAGCTTTGTGGTAGAAAAACCGCGTTCACCTCATCCGTAATCTGTGCCTTGTAATGAATAGCAGAAGCGCTGTGAGTCAGAACGAAAGCCAGCCACCGTCAGTCATAGCCATGGAGCAAATACATCGAACAGGTAGTGAACCTAGGCAGCAGATGGTCTTCATCGTCACTGTAGCCTGCAAGTCCAACGGCTGAAACTTGAAGGGAAATTATACGCGCAGTCACAATTATGCCCGTTATATCAAGTTTAGTCACAGGGGAAGCACAAACAGTCACAGTACAGTAGATTGCTATCGCGGGTGATCACGGTGCTATCGCGGATGGTCACACCTCGCCCCGAAAAACTATCACGTTTGGTCACTCGTTGAAACGACCATTAAAAGTTGAAACTACGCAAGTCACTGTAGGGATTCAAGGACAGTTATCTCGCGCGCGCCGTTTTGTCCGCAGTGTGACGAAATAGCTTCGCGCACCCTCTCGGTAACTCGTTAACATCATTTGAGGCTTCTTGTTTCTATTCGATTGTCCACTTGTTCGATGGATGCATAATGACCCTAAAATATCACTTTAGATGGGTGAAACTCGAAGGGTATTATTTTGTTCCCAAGACTAAAAAAACTAAAACCCATTCGGATGGGATTTAATTCGGGATGCATCAACCCTAAACACCTTGTCGCACGGTGTTTAGGGTTGATGCCTCCCAATGGACGTGCCATCCTTTAGGGTTTTTTTTTCTTGTCCCCTGAATGTCGGGCTAGAAATTTTCCGAGGTAACAAGCAATGAAGGTTGGGATTCCCCAAAAATTCTACAGTTTCTTTTGTGGTTTCAAATTAATTATCCTCGTTTCATCGAGTGATCAAACGTGATAGCTTTCTGGGGCGATAGCAATCTACTGTACTGTGACTGTTCGGGATTCCCCTGGGACCAGTCGTGAAAGAATGGGTATTATTGTGACTTCCCGTACAATTTCCCAAACTTGAAGCTCACTGTCACAATTTTGAATTATCGTCGTTTAGCATATCAAATACCAGGAAAACCTCTTCCACACTGTGACAATATGGAATGAAAATCTCAGGAACGTCCACATCTGGCGCAATTCTTCCTGCATTCACGGGAAACTCTAGCTAGTCTTGAGCCATCATCCAGAACAGTGTGCTTTCGTGCTTTGCACGTACACGTTACCACGTGGTAACATACGATCGCGAGTCGGTAGTCTTTTGCATGTGGCCGTGGAGAACTGGTAGCTTTGTCGTTGTTCTTCGTGAAAACCGTCGCAATCGCCAGTTTACATTTTCCCCCGCCGCCCCGACTCGCAGCACCCCTCACGATGGGATGTGTTTGTGGTTCCTGACAGAGCACGCTTACGGTGGCAGTCACACACAACAGCGCGGCGCAAAAAAGGAGTTGTATAATTGGACGAACTCAAAGCTCACCAATACAATGCTCTCCCGCCGAAGAAGGACCCAACCATCAATCGCCGCAGCTACCAGCGATCGCACCATGCGAATTTCAGAAAACGTAGTCCACACAATCCAAGCAACATGGATCACACCATAACGTAATTCCCTAATCTGTACAAGATGATCGAGAACAACTAGCCAAACCACTACTGTTAGGAAACCCAAAGAATGAAAAAAGACTAGTGCAATCACCTGCCAGAAAACGTATGCCATGGTTTGTAGCAGCCTTACATGGATAAACCGTTAACACGGGAACAACCGTCACAACGGCCTTAGCCATCCGACGGCAGGTGAAACAGCTGACAGCGGAGCACCCCATTAGCACCCCCACTTGCCAGCCACTGCTGAAACCCTCGATTAGCATTCCACGCCACTCTGTGCATTGCAACCGCTTTGCATCCCAATGCATTGCCGCACACCACTCCCCCACCATACTCTGCTGTGTGCCCACCCTCTTCCTCCACCTCCGCCTCCTCCCCTCCATCCCTCCGTCCCTTCTTCAATTTCCCTTTCCCCTTCTGCCCTGCCTCCCCATCTATTTCTTCACTGGACCCACCTCGGAAGAAGACAAACCGATGCTCGAATGACTCATCCGCTGATGTGTCAGCTTCCGTGCTAGATTGCGCGGGCGGCGGCAGGATCTGGTTGAATCCCCCCACTGTAATGACGGCCTGCTTACTGCGGCTGTGGCGGTTAATAAGGAAGTTGTTGCTCAGCTGCCGAGACGAGCAGAGGGAGAAAGTAGAGGGGGGGTATCTGTAAGGCGCCTAGAGATTTTGAGACGCCTAAAACACAGGCATCATTGCTCCCGGCACGTGAAAAAAGGAGTGTTTTGAGACGCCTAAAACACAGGCATCATTGCTCCCGGCACGTGAAAAAAGGAGTGTTTTGAGACGCCTAAAACACAGGCATCATTGCTCCCGGCACGTGAAAAAAGGAGTGTTTTGGGACGCCTAAAACACAGGCATCATTGCTCCCGGCACGTGAAAAAAGGAGTGTTTTGAGACGCCTAAAACACAGGCATCATTGCTCCGGCTATGGCGGTTAGCGAGGAACTTGTTGCTTAGCTGTGAAGAGGAACGAAGGGTGACAGTGGAGGGAGGATATTGGTGAGGGGGAAATGGAGGAGGGAAGAACGGAGGTGAGAAAAATAGAGGACGAGTAGAGGTGGGAAGGGCAGAAGGTGGGTAGGAGGGAAGGTGGACGAATGAGGGAGGGCAAGAAAGATAGGGTGAGGGTTAAGAGAAGGGGGCAACAGCAGATGGGAACGGAGATGAGATGGTGGAGAAGCACCCATGTGCGGCATGCCGAGAGAGAAAGGAGGGAGAAGGAGGTGTGGTGTATGGGAGAGGTGGACAGCAGCAGAGAGGTTTGATTGGACCAGAGCAACACAGGCTGGTGTATGTGGTGTATGTGGTGTATGTGGTGTATGTGGTGTATGTGGTGTATGTGGTGTATGTGGTGTATGTGATGTATGTGGTGTATGTGGTGCCTGGAAGCACCCAGCAACCACATTCCGCTGGAGAGGTGGACAAGGAGGTGTGGTTGCTGGGTGCTTGCAGAGCAGACACCACACCACAGCTCCCTGCCGTGATACCCAGCAGGCAACCACAGGCGCAAAGCGCACAAAGTCAAAGCACGCAGAGAAACCCCACGCACGGAAAATGTGCTTAGAAGAACGCAGGAATGGGATGCAAGTAGACGTTATAGTAATGAAACAAAACTTCTGCCCGACATCACAGGAGCAGATGGCCACACACACACCTGAACGCATCGGACTGATCCGTCCGCCCCGCCGAATGCAACACATCCTGGATTCAGCGCGACAGAGTGAAAATCAGGGAGGGGCCACAATAAGGCGTACTTATTCCCATGTCCCTCACGCGGTAAAGGCCAAACCAAGTAAGCGTGGAAAAAAAAAAAAAAAGGATTTCTGGGGGCGATAACACTTGCAACTTGGGAGGCTGAAGGCAGGAAAAGAAATGTTGGACGGCTAATGGCAGCAGCAGAAGTACCTGTGGCGTCGGAGGCAGAGGCGCCCCACACTGCAGCGGTGCTGAGGGAGAGTGTCGACACCACCCAGCGCCGGTTGTAGCGATTCTTCTCCTCCTTGTGCTCCTGCCTTCCCTGCTGCTGCTGCTGCTGGTTGAGCGGGAAGGGCAGCGCCGGGTGGTGCGAGAGCGAGGAGCGCATGGCGAGCACTCGCAGCGACCCATCCTCCATGGCCATCACCAGCGCCCTGCAAGATGAGGTGTTGGAAGAGCATGGACGGCAAGAAAGGCAAGAAATGCTGAGAGGCGGCTAGAACTCAGTGGGAGAGCGAGGAGCGCATGGCGATGACTCGCAGCGACCCATCCTCCATGGCCATCACCAGCGCCCTGCCATGGCGGAATGGGAGGCATTGGGAGAATGAGGACAGGAAACATGCTGAGAGGACAGGAAACATGCTGAGAGGACAGGAAACATGCTGAGAGGACAGGAAACATGCTGAGAGGACAGGAAACATGCTGAGAGGACAGGAAACATGCTGAGAGGACAGGAAACATGCTGAGAGGACAGGAAACATGCTGAGAGGACAGGAAACATGCTGAGAGGACAGGAAACATGCTGAGAGGACAGGAAACATGCTGAGAGGACAGGAAACATGCTGAGAGGACAGGAAACATGCTGAGAGGACAGGAAACATGCTGAGAGGACAGGAAACATGCTGAGAGGACAGGAAACATGCTGAGAGGACAGGAAACATGCTGAGAGGACAGGAAACATGCTGAGAGGACAGGAAACATGCTGAGAGGACAGGAAACATGCTGAGAGGACAGGAAACATGCTGAGAGGACAGGAAACATGCTGAGAGGACAGGAAACATGCTGAGAGGACAGGAAACATGCTGAGAGGACAGGAAACATGCTGAGAGGACAGGAAACATGCTGAGAGGACAGGAAACATGCTGAGAGGACAGGAAACATGCTGAGAGGACAGGAAACATGCTGAGAGGACAGGAAACATGCTGAGAGGACAGGAAACATGCTGAGAGGACAGGAAACATGCTGAGAGGACAGGAAACATGCTGAGAGGACAGGAAACATGCTGAGAGGACAGGAAACATGCTGAGAGGACAGGAAACATGCTGAGAGGACAGGAAACATGCTGAGAGGACAGGAAACATGCTGAGAGGACAGGAAACATGCTGAGAGCGAGAAGACTCTTGCGGTGAGAAGAAGCTGAAACGTAGAGCAGGTGATTAAGAAAAGCAGGAAAGATACAGAGAGGTGCGGTCATGAGAGCAATTGCTTGCCATGCGCGTGTGATGTGAATCACACCGGAACAGTGGGCCTTCGACTGCATTCGCATGTGAAACACTGCCAGAATGTCACAGGCTCACAGCTCATAACCGTGTGCGTGCATCAGGGAAGAACAGTGGGGCTTCGTCAGCACATGCTAGCTGATTACCAAGCAAAAGAGGTAGGTAGCTGATTTTTGTGCAATAGGCAATAAGATGGGTGGTAATGACAGGCCCGTTGGGTGCAGAACTGGCGCGCAATGGGAATGGGGTTCACCGTAGGGGAGTGCAGAAGTGCAGTTGCAGCACCCCGTGCCTGGAGATGGTGGGGGTCTCGTATGCCGGCTGAAACACATCCCTGGGATGGCAGCATAGATTGGTAGCATGGTGGCCGGGTGGCATGGTAGCATGGCAGCATGGCAGCATGGCAGCATGCACACAGTGACATGACAGAGGTTGGGGACACGCAGACAAGCACTCCAGTAAGCGTAAGAGTGACACAGTTGCATGTTGTTGACTGCGGTGTTGCAACTTGCAACTTGCAAAGCGACGGAGTCTTGATATGCATGACACGATGTGCACCATTGCTCCCCCGCCACCCACATCCCCGCACCACCAGCAATTGACTGCGCCTCGCCTCACTGCATCTCACTGCACCGCACGGCACCGCACCTCACCTGAGGTCCCAGAACTTCAAGATGCCCGACTGGCCGCCCACAATGAGCACTGTGCTCTCCTCTTCTTCATCCACCGCCCCCTCCCCTTCCTCCTCCTCCTCCTCTTCAGATCCCAACTCTTTCTCCTCCAACCCTTCCTCCAACAATTTAGGTGGCAAGGGTCCCGTAGGCAGCCACGCAAGGGAGCGGATGAGACCCGAATCCGCACGGAAGGACAGGATGGGGCTGTGTGAGAATGTCGTTCGTGCGGCGGGTGCCAGGGGTGGCTTCTGTGGCTTGGATCCTGAGGGTGCTTGCGCTGCTGTTGGTGCTGAATGTGCTGATGGTGTATTGGCTGTGAGGTGATCAAGCTGCAGTCGCCACACGAGCACCTGAGGAGAGGGGAGGGTGACGGGGGGGGAGAGGTGGATGCCAGGGGTGGCTTCTGTGCCTTGGATTCTGAGGGTGCTTGTGCTGCTGTTGGTGCTGATGGTGATGCTGGCGAATTGGCTAGAAGGTGATCAAGCTGCAGTCGCCACACGAGCACCTGAGGAGAGGGGAGGGAGGCGAGGAAGAGGAGAGGCAGGGAGGGGTGGTGAGTTGAAGTGAGGCTAAGCACAAGAGCAGCCCCATTTGTCAACCGATACCAGCAACAACGGTTGACAAGGAAACAGATTTGCCGAGGCAATTACAGGCAAACGCACAAACCCTGAGAACAACTTCTTACAGTATCATGGGAAATGAACAAGCAGGGAATAATAGATTGTTTGTGGGGGAACAGAAACTAGAGGAAGACTAAATTGATACTACGAAATTTCAGTAACTGACAAGAGCAAGACAACAAAAGATTCCCGTAGTAGAAAACCAGAATCAGCATTCCAAGAAGAAGATTGTCACAAGAAAGAACAGACAAGAACCAGGACGTCTCAGAGCCAGAGGATGCCTCAGAGCCAGGACAAGAGCCAGAGGATGCCTCAGAGCCAGGACAAGAGCCAGAGGATGCCTCAGAGCCAGGACAAGAGCCAGAGGATGCCTCAGAGCCAGGACAAGAGCCAGAGGATGCCTCAGAGCCAGGACAAGAGCCAGAGGATGCCTCAGAGCCAGGACAAGAGCCAGAGGAACCATCAGAGGAAAACAATCAGGCGGCGGGGAGGGTCATTACGGACGGAACCATCCTGGAAGCCGGCAGCAAGCAGGTCGGTGGAGCGATGTGGGGAGCATGGTGCGGTGAGAGATGAGGGGGCTGAATCCACCTTCCATGCGATCTCGCAGGGGAGCCTGGCAGGGGAGAGAGAAGTGGAGAGCATGGTGTGAGTGGAGATGATGATGATGATGATGAGGCATGAGGCATGAGGCATGAGAGGATGAATCCACCTTCCACGCAAGCTCGCAGGGGAGCCTGGGACACGAGGGAGAGGATGGGGAGAAAATGTTTGATGCCATGTGTTGGGAGCCATGTGCCTGATGCCATGTGCATGCTGTCATGTGTTCGATGCTACGCATTGGCGGGCACTTGGATTATGGATAGCGGGCAGCAGCTGCCTGGGTAATGCGCTGGTTTGGCTTGGACTGCCACTGGAAGATGACCTTTGAGACGTCTAAAAAAAAACCTTCATATTCTCTGGCCTTGTCAATGAGAAACCAGCTGGTCTCTAACAAATAGGTGATTGAAATTTGCAAAATATGACCTGTGAGACGTCTCAAACAACACATTTCTTATTCTCTCGTCCATGATGGTTATGCCCGGTTCGATTTTCACCTGGTGGGGCCGTGCGCTGGGTTGGACTTCCATTGGAAGACGGGCTGCAGGGCGAGCAGAGCGCCGTGCGGCGGAGACTTTGACGTTTGAGTCGACTCAAAAGTCACCTTGAGACCACGTGTGCTGTGCATACCCAGATTTTCACCTGGTGGGGCCATGGGCTGGGTTGGACTTCCATTGGAAGACGGGCTGCAGGGCGAGCAGCGGGCCATGCGGAGCTGGGTGGAGCAGCGATGGCGTCGGCTCATTCTGCTGCTCGTGCTGCAGCCTTTGGTGACTTTGGTGCTGCTTCTGCTGCTGCTGTTTCCTGTTTTGCCACTGGGTGTTGTCTTGCTGTGGCAGTGGCACGTGATAGCTGCCGTGCGGAAGCAGGAAGCAGGAGCGGGGCAGCAAGAGGAGCAACGAAAGTGGCTTACTGCCAAAACTCATGAATGCAGAGCAAGAAAAAAGGGATGGAAAAAAGCGCACGACTGCAACCAGAGTAGCAACAAAGATGGAGAGAGCGGTGGAACTTTGGGTCCCCTCTCTCAAAACAACCCCCGCTCTCACAACTCACATTGCCACGGTGCCATCTCCCAGAGCAGCCGCCAGCAACCCAAGGCTACCCCCCTCTCCTCCTTGGCCTGCCCTGCCGTCTCGCCTGCCAACCAGGGGCCGCCACCTCGTGCAGCGAGTGAGTCCGCCTTGGTGTGCAATCCCCAGCACCATCTGTGCCTGGGGCCCTCCCCCACTCTCCTTCCTCCCCTCTGCCTCCCCTTCACTCCCTCCCGTTCCTCCTCCTCCTCCGCCCCCTCCTTCCCCTCCTTCCCCTCCTCCTCGTCCTCCTCCGCCTACTGTCCCTCTCCCTGTATACCCACCCACCCCTCTCTCCCATCTTACCTCCACCTCCCTCTCTCGCCCATCCCATTCTACCCCTTCCCACCGCCGTGAACCGAGCCCCACATCCGCAGCTTTCCTTTTCCTTCCAACACTGCTCCCCCCAACACCTTCTTGCCTCCTCTCTCCAACACCTCCTCCTTCTTCGCTCTCAGCATCCCCACCCTTCCCCCTCCCTTTCCCCCTCCCCCTCCCCCTCCCCCTACCCCTCCCTCTCCCTCTCCCTCTCTCGCTTTCTCCTCCTCTTCCCCTTCCTCTCCCCGCCCCTCTCCCCCTCCGCCCCGCTTTCCCCCTGCCCCTTCCGCTCGCCAGCATCCACCAGGGCAAACTCCCCTCCCCTCCGCCCTCCCATTCCCCCTCTCCCTCCCCCCCGCCCTCCCCCTCCGCTTCCCCGCCCCCCTCCGCCAGTCTTACCGCCCACACCTGCACCAGCGCAGGTCCGCTCAGGGGGACTCCGAGGGGGGAGAATGGGCGCAGATGCGGGTGACACGCGACAGCGAGGTACTGGGTGTGACTGTAACGAGGGAGAGGGCACCAATCAACGGCCCAGATCGGCCCTCCAACAAACATGGCGAGATCGTGGCTGATGCGCGCTGCGTCCTCCCCATCCGCCGCTGCTTCCGCTCCTTGCCTCTGCTGGTCTATCCCTCTCCCCCTTCCCCCTTCCTGCGCAGGTCTCCGCCTGTCTTGCGTTGCCGTTTGCTTCCCCTCCTGCTGCTTCCGCCCCCGCTGCCCCTCCCGCTGCGCCTGCAGCGCTCCCCGCTCCGCAAGCTCGCGCCGTCCGCGCACCTCCCGCTGCACCGCGTCCAGCGCCACGCAGCCGAAGAGCGGCGTGCGGAAGCGGCAGCGGAAGATCGGCGCAGCGGGGGAAGCAAGCGCGGGGGACAGGAGCGTGGATCCATCCTCGCTATTAGTGTCTTCGTCGTTAACGGACAAGACGGGGGACGAGAGGGCTAAGGCAGCGAGATACGGCGATAGAGGAGCAACCACGGACCGCTGTGAGGACCCCATTGAATCCCCTGCGATATAGTCACAGATTACGGGAATTCGCCACGTGCGAATTATGTTATTTTTTCTCACTCCTCACGCAATGATCCTAACGATGCAGACAGGGCGATACTAACGATGCCGTGACGGAATCGCCAAAGCATGCAAACGATCATGAGCCTAGAGTTTTGAAAATCGTCTGCATCACGTGAGAAATCCGTACACTACGAGACGGCAACAGTTAGCACAGTGAGAGACAAATACTAACGGATTCTTATCAGTATGCGCGTTATGGAGTAACGCGGCCAATTTATAAGCAATGCTCAACTACAGCTTGATTCTCCACATATAACCAATTATTCTGACCTGCGGAGCTCACCGTTGCTGCACTCGCCTGACAGCAAAATTATTGGCCGGCGGAAAAACCGTTTAGCTCCAGAAGTTCCCCCTCGCTGGCAAACAAACCGAACCACGAAACTTTCGTCCTCTCCCCAGCAACAATTGCCGAACCAGATCCAAACCAAACAAGGTCAGCCTGCCATTGATGTGCGTGACGAGCGTGATGATGAATTGTGAAGACGGCTGCTCCACCCCTCCACACCTGTGTGGTTCGGTTCTGTGCGTCAGACGGTTTGTGCGTGGAAGCTGCGAGAAGGCGAAGCTGTTGAACGAGAATGACCACACCTCACTGCTGGTTGGTCGAAGGATGTGGTCCGCCGGTGTTCGTCCGATTGAACTGCACGAAACTCGGCCACACGATGCAGCAGAAGCTGGTATTCCTAACCGTGTGCGCTGCTACCGGTCGCAGGTGCGGTCATCCTCCAAACCAAGCCAAGCCATCCGAGGCAAGAAACTCGTCAAGCTTTCCGTGACCTGCCCGTCCATCTCCCCTCCCTCCCACGCCCTCGCGCCTGCTTTCTGCCACTTCCCAGATGCAGCTCTCTGGATAACCTTGGGATTCCAGTTAGCAGCAAATAATTACATCTGTTATTGCCTTCCCTGGCTTTTTGCCTTGGAATCTCAGAAGAGCTCTTTTTCCAGTTGAGTTGCAGTTATTGAATGATGCTTGGCTCAACTTGATGGCGATGGCTGCGGTACGGTCAGAATCGAGAGTAGACTACGTTTCAATGTCGAATTTGCCAGATCGCGTTCAGTCAAGCCAAGCCATGGAGGAACAGAACACCTTCATGGACGACGACTGGGCGTCGCTTTTAATGGATTCATCAACCGTGCCTCTCGCGGACATCGATATTTCAGCTTTCGCCAACCTTTCAAACGATATGCTAGACCCGTTCCGCGACGACACTACCGTACCGCAGGACGGAGCAGGAGCAGCAGTCGACGTGGAACTCGGAAACCGGCCGTTCAACGAAGCGTTTCCGTTAAACACAACCGACGCGCTTTTCTGCGATGAAGGTGGCGATATTCGCGCAGCCGGCGGGACGATGCTAGTCGATACGCCTCCTAGCGGCCGGTCGTCACCGGAACCGTTAGCTTCCGTGGACGATCACGGCCTGCCGTATCTGGTGCAAGGAGGTAGCCATGGCGCCGACGGCAGCAGCGACGGCGACTGCGCCAGTGGTGACTGTAGAAGTGGTGATTGTGGGAGCGGTGGCTGTAAGGAAGGGAGCAGCCAGATTGGGAGTCCGTGGCATCAGTCTAGTCACATGTCAGCACATCCGTTCGATGCTGCTGTTGCTGCTGCTGCTCCGTCGTGTGCCGCTATCCCTCCGTCGAATATGAACGGGGTGTCAAGCACTGGCGGATTATACGCCGGGATCCTTCCGTCGTCTCAGTTTCCTAAGAGTACGGTGAAGCAGGAGGCGGGTTCTTGTCCGCAGCAGTACGTGGCGGCCCCATTCGCTATGCAAAGTGTTTCAGTACAGGGTGTGCCTTTTCCGGGGTCTGTGAGTCCTTGTTTCCAGCAACAGCAGCAACAGCAGCAGCAACAACAACAGCAGTATCGCTTGCAGAAGCAGCAGCAGCGCCGGCAGCAGCGGCAGCAGAAGCAATTACAGAAGCAGCAGCAGCAGCAGCAGCAGCAGCAACAGCAACAGCAGCAGCAACAGCAACAGCAGCAACAGCAACAGCAAGGGAATGCAGCATGGGTGGGTGGTGCGTCAATGGGTTGCCATCCCGCTCCATTCTCGAATCAGACTCTCCCCCTCCCTACGACTTCACCAGCCTCCTTCCAAATCTCCACGCCACAGGATGCTGCCACGTGTACGGTTGTAAATGGCGGCCTTTCCCCTGGAAACGCAGCTTCCGGTGCTGAGAACGCTGTAAAGGAGTGTGACAGCGGGGGAGCAGAGGCGCGAGGGTCGGTTGCTGGCGGCGGGAGTGGCGCTGCCGTTACGGCGGAAGATGCGGGCAGCGAGCCGAGTGAGGGGGATGCGGGCGGGGAGGGCGGGGAGGGCGGGGAGGGGGAGGGGGAAGGGGAGGGGGAGGGGAGGGATCCGGAGACGGAGAAGCGGGAGGCGAGGCTGATCAGAAATCGGGAGAGCGCGCAACTGTCGCGGCAACGGAAGAAGGTAATTAGCCTTGCCTCATTCGACCAACGTCGAGTTCCCTCCGTGCGCAATTCAGCTGCTTAATGACTGTACGGTCGTTCTCGCAGCACTTCCTCTGAATCCCGACTCGATTTCCTTCGACTTTCCCCCTTACCCGCCTTTCCCTTACCCTTTTCCTCCAGCTTTCCCCTTCCCCCCACCTTCCCCCGCCTTTCTCCCCCCGGCAGTACTACATGGACGAGCTGGAGGCGCAGATTCGCACCATGTCGTGAATCTTACCCCCTCCTTCCCCCCTTCCCCCTTCGCCCTTCCCCCACCTTTCCCCTGCCCATTCCCCCGCCTTCTCGATTTCTTTCGCCAGTACTACATTGACGAGCTAGAGGCGCAGATCCGCACCATGAGGCGCAATCCAACTGCTTGACGCTCCGTAAATCCCAACAACTTTTCCGCCTTCCCCGCTTCCCCCCTCCGCGCACCTTTCCCCCTCCCCCCCGCAGTACTACATGGATGAGCTAGAGGCGCAGATCCGCACCATGTCGGCGGCGGTGGCGGAGCTCAACTCCGCCGTCGCGCATCTTACCGCGGAGAACGTCACCCTCCGCCGCCAACTCGCCTTCTTCTACTCCTCCCCTTCCGCCGCCTCCGCCGCCGCCGCCGCTGCAGCAGCTGGAACTGGAGTTGCTGCAGGGTCGACGGGTGCGCTAGGTTCTGGAATTGCCGCAGCAGGCCCGGCACGAGGCTCGGGTAGACGCCGCAGGGGAGGTTCGGCAGCAGCGGCTGTAGCTCCTCCTAGCGCAGTTTCGCCAGGCCTCGCCCCTCCGATCCTGGGAGGGTTGGCTGGGCTTGGAAGCATCGGGGGAGTAGGGTTACAACTCGGGGCGTTAGGGTTACGCGGTTTGTTCCCCCCCGCTCCGCCTGTCCCCATTCCGAAGCTGAAGAACGTGAGCCGACCGGAATCCGCGCGGAAGAAGAAAGGCGCGCCTGGCGGGAGTGGCGCGAAGGCGGGCGGTGGCGGTGGGGAGAAGGACAGGGGCGCGAAGAAGCAGAAAAAGGAAGGGGATGCGCATGTGGGCACTGCGTGTGCTGCGGAGGACACTGCTGGTGCGGCTGGTGCTGCTGGTGCCGCGGGTCCTGGGGTTGCTGCACCTAGTGGTACTGATACCAGAACTGTCAGACCCTCTTCGCCACCCCGTGCCGTCTCCGCCGCTAAGGCACCCGCACTCGCACTCGCCATGTTCGGTTTCCTCCTCATCCTTTGCCCCTTCCTGCCGCCCAGCGGCGAACTGACACGTGGCATGGCGCCGGCGTATCCAGGCTGGCAGGGCAGCGTGATGAGCTGGCAGGGTAACGGGGGCGGCATTTGGGGGCAAGTGACCGGGGCCTGGCGCGACGGATGGCGTTGGTGGGGCGGTGGCGCGCAGAGGAGCGAGGGGAGGGGAGGGGTTCCGCAGGGGGAAGAGTGGGGAGGAGGGTTGGGAGGGGGTGGGTCGTTGAGGCCTGGAGGACGGGTGCTGCTAGGTGTAGGGGAGGAGGAGGAGGGTGGGGAGGGCCGGAGGCATGCTGTGGGAGGGGACGGACTGGGCGTGTGGTGGAGGGGCAGGAGGAATGGCAGCATGAGCGGTTCGGTAGCACAGCAGCAGCACGGTCGTGCTTTGCACTCGTCTTCTCTGCACGCGTCTGCTCTGCATTCCTCTTCTCTTGATGCGTCTGCTTTGAACCCAGTATGGAGGCACAGGGTGGTGACAGGCGCTCGGGTGGAGAAGCACGCGGCGGACAGGCAGCAGCAGCGGTTCCCCGCCTTTGCAGCGGTGTCACGAGGCCAGGTGCCCAACCTCACAGCAGGCAGGGCCTCACCAGATAAGTCTAGGGAAGGCAGGGCGGCAGCAGAGAGAGTGAGAGCGGCAGGCAAGGCCCTTGTGCCGTGGCGCCAGTGGTCACCTGTGAGCGCGCTCAGAAGCCAGTGGTCACCTGTGAGCGCGCTCAGAAGCCAGTCAGCAGGCGCTGGGCGAGATGGGAGAGGTGGCAGCGGTGGTAGTGGTGGCAGTGCCCGTCACTCGGGAAGCGGCATTGGTGGCACTTATGGTCCGAGGGTCAGTGGTAGTGGCAGTGGTGGCAGCAGTGGCAGTGCCTCTGTGGGGCTGAGAGCTGGGATTGGTGGTGGTGGTGGTCGGGTGGCGGGTGCACTACCAGGAGCAGCAGCAGTGGAGGGTTCGTTGCCGTGGGATCAGCAGCACTGGCAGCAGTGGCTGCTGCAGCACAGCTCAGGTGAGGGGGACGCAGGAGGACAGGGTAGGTGGCGGTTTGCATCAGCAACATGGGCATGTGATGGCCCTGTGTGCTATCATTCTGCTTGAAATTAGACCCGTCTGACAGTCAGGCTTTGGTTTTTCTCTTTTAGTCATTCGATCCCTTTTTCCTTCCTTTCCCCCCAACCCACCCACCCACCATTCTCTGTGTGTTGTGGCACAGGCCCTCTGTTCCAGTCGCATACATGCACGGAGCTTTTCCGGTTTGACTCCCAGCCAACCCAAGCGGCGCAGGAGGGAGAGGCGCAGGACGAGGCAGGAGAGGCAACGACACATGCAGGGGCCAGCAGCGTCAGCAGCAAGATGAACTCGTCTGGTGGCTGTGTGGGCAGCAGCCGTGCAAACTCCAGTGCTACAGACAGAAGCAGAGGCAGTGGGAGCCACATTCCGGGTTCGTCGCCTCTCAACTCCGCCACAGCTACCAGCGGCAGCAGCAGCAGTAGGCTCACTGAGAAGGTCGGCAAAGAGTCATTCCCGCCTGTGCCTGTGCCTGTGCTGTCTCGCCGCATGTTCCTGCGGAGGCGGTATTTGAACGAGCTGCCGGCATCGAAGCAAGCCATCCCTCTTCCCGACTCCAACCAGGCCATTCCCCTCCTTCCTCCCACTGACGACACCGATGCGGTTGTGAATCAAGGAGAGAGGCACAGCAGCACCAGCAGCACGAGGAGTGTTGATGTGAGCAGCAGCTTGAAACACAACGCAACTACTGAGGGGAGTCCGATTCGGTCGGTCCCGGCTGCAGTGCCTGGTCAGCCGCAGCAGAGTGGGTTTCGCCAGCAAGGCGCGTTCACACAGCCTGAACCGGTCGTAGTGTCGATTCTTTCGGGCTTTGATGCGAGCAGCGTGGAAAGGTTTTTCCAGAGTGGGACAAGGGGATTCGCTGCAGGGTTTGCGGGGGCGGATGGGGGTGTGGGGTCAGAGCGAGTGAATGCAGGACAGATGGGTAAAGGTGGGGCGGAGGAGGAGGAGGTGAGGGGAGGGATGGGTGGAAGTGTTGTGGTGATGGTGACTAGTGGGGGAAAGAGCGTGGCGTATGCTTGTGCTTTAGGTGGCTCTAAAGGGAGGAGCAAGGTCGGTGGGCTTGTACAGGCACGGTCTAGTTAAGCGTGCTGGAATCTGATGGAGCTTTTTTGGTTCAGTTTTGCAATTTTGCTTTCCTGACTCCCGACTGAGTGCTGGCTCGTTCAGAAATCTTGGTCGCTAAGCTAAAAAAATCATGCTGATTTTTAGAAACTTTTGCCAGCATACACATGATCTGCCAATACTCAGGAAAGCTGAATAATCAGGGTAGGGAGGGAAGGGATGTGGGCTTACTTGAATAGCACTAATGATTCGTAGTCCTTGAGCATCAATGTACATCATACTCCTATAAATAAGCACAACCAATATACGCGTTTGTGGCTACTTTCCAGAACCCCGCTCCTTCGACCTCAGCATTTAGGGTTTTCCGCCAGCTCCTTTGTTGCTCCTTTTCTGCTCGCAGGCCTTCAGGCCTTCCATACACAACTGCCTGTTTGCTGCCGCTCTCCACGGAAGCTGTAGCAAAGGCGGTTCGTGAATTGCGAATTTGAGCGTCCAGGCCACAGTAGTTTTGTCTCCAACTCGCGTAGCTAACTTCTTCCTCCTCGCTCGTCCGTCTCTTACAACCCGAGCGGGCATTGTTTCCAAAAGGTTCTCGGTCAATCTCGTCCGTCGCCTTTTAGGCGTCTCGAACGCCGTGTTTTCGTCCGTCCGATCCGGCCAATCCGACCGCCACGATGGTGCAGTATAATTTCAAGCGGATCACGGTGGTCCCCACCGCCAAGGACTTTGTCGACATCGTTCTGTCCAAAACGCAGCGCGGCACGCCGACGGTGATCCACAAGGGCAGCGCCGTTAACAGAATCCGTCAGTTTTACATGCGCAAGGTCAAGTTTACGCAGCAGACGTTTCACGACAAACTCACGACGATTCTCGACGACTTCCCGCGGCTCGAGGAGATCCATCCGTTCTATGGCGACCTCCTTAACGTCCTCTACGATAAGGACCATTACAAACTCGCGCTTGGACAGGTAAGGGATGAAGGAATGAGGAAGGGGAAACCACGCCGGGGTTTTGGGTAGATTGGGAGTAAGGGGGGTTTTACGCACGGAACTCCTAAATGTCCTCTACGATAATACCACTACAAACTTGCTCTTGGACCGGTAACGGAATGTGGGATGGAGGAATAAGGAAGGGGGAAGGCGGAAGGAGGTTCCACGCCGGGGTTTCGGGTGGAGGGTTTGGGAAAATGGGGGTTTCACGCAGGGCGTGGCAGGGATTCTCACGTGAGACTCTTGATACAATATGCGCAGTCTCGACATTTGAAAACGTGTTTTTAGGCTTTCGTGTCCGTCTTTCATTCCCCACGAAGATCCTCTTTTCCGTCCGTCTCGTTTCAGGTGAACGTGGCGCGCGGAATCATCGACCGCATCACCAAGGAGTACGTGCGCCTGCTCAAGTACGGCGACTCGCTGTACCGTTGCAAGCAGCTCAAGCGCGCCGCTCTCGGTCGCATGTGCACGCTCATGCGCAAGCAGGGCCCGTCGCTCGCGTACCTCGAGCAGGTGCGTTGACTCGTTTGACTGGGGCAGGTGCGTTGACTGTGTTGACTCGAGCAGGTGCGTTGACTCGAGCAGGTGCGTTGACTGTTATGTGTGGGTATCCGAACGAGCGGGGGGCACGAGCTCGTTCTTGAGATCGTCTGTGTTCATGAATTGATTCCTCTTCCCACGCTTGCATCCCCTTCCTCCTTACACACCAGGTGCGGCAGCACATGTCGCGTCTTCCGTCCATCGATCCCAACCCAACACGCGCACGATCCTGGTTGTGCGGGTATCCGAACGTGGGCAAGAGCTCTTTATAAGCCTGTTGCTTGCCTTGATCCCTCTCCCCCTCGATCCCCACAGGTGCGGCAGCACATGTCGCGTCTCCCATCGATTGATCCCAACACGCGCACCATCCTGGTGTGCGGGTATCCGAACGTGGGCAAGAGCTCGTTCGTGAACAAGGTGACGCGCGCTGACGTGGAGGTGCAGCCGTACGCCTTCACCACCAAGTCGCTCTTCGTTGGGCACACGGATTACAAATATTTGCGCTGGCAGGTGCGGTGGGGAGGGATGCTGTGGGGTGGGGTGGTATGGGGTAAATTGGGGTGGGGTGGGTGAGCAGCAAGGTGACGACGCGCGCGGACGTGGAGGTGCAGCCGTACGCCTTCACCACCAAGTCGCTGTTCGTCGGCCACACGGATTACAAGTACCTCCGCTGGCAGCTGCGGTGGGGAGGGGTGTTGTGGGGTGGGGTGGGTTTGGGTGGGGTGGGATGGTGGGCAGCAAGTTGAGGTGACGCGCGCGGATGTGGAGGTGCAGCCGTACGCCTTCACCACCAAATCATTCTTCGTGGGGCACACCGATTACAACAAGTACCTGCGCTGGCAGGTCAGAGGGCGTGGGGCGTTGGGGGTTTGCGGGGGTGTTTTACAGGTTGGTGTGCGCGCTCTGGCAGGCGCGCTCCATGCATGCAGCACTGGCACTGGAAACTCTCTCTGAAAAGCCCCTCCGCCTGCTCCCCTTGACCACCCACCTCAGGTGATCGACACCCCCGGTATCCTGGACCATCCACTGGAGGAGCGCAACACCATTGAGATGCTCGCCGTGACGGCTCTGGCGCATCTGAGGGCGGCCGTGCTGTTTGTGGTGGACGCGTCTGGCAGCTGCGGGTACACTCTGGAGCAGCAGGCAGCGCTGTTCAACTCCATTAAGGTCAGTTGAGTTGTGGGTGCTTGCTCTTAAGAACTCGATAGGTTCAGTGACGCGCTGGGAAAACTTTACAAGGTAACCGGTTCTTTGAATAGTTAGCTCCTCAGTCTCACCCACTTTCTGCTCTTGATGCATGTCTCTCTCTCTCTCTCTCTCTCTCTCTCTCTCTCTCTCTCTCTCTCTCTCTCTCTCTCTCTCTCTCTCTCTCTCTCTCTCTCTCTCTCTCTCCTCGTTTATTCCCCGTCCTTGTGTCATTCTCCCCTTTGCGTTTTGTCTCCCGCTCCCCTGCTCCCTCTTCCTTCACTGAATAAAACTTATCCGCGTTACAAACAGCCCCTCTTCCTGAACAAGCCGCTGATGGTGGTGTGCAACAAGGTGGACCTGCAGCCGCTGGAAACGCACCAGCTCCCCTGTCCCACTCACTGTGTCTCCTTATCTATTCCCCATCCTCTTATATCCTCCCTCCCCATCCCGTTCCCCGCGTTACAAACAGCCCCTCTTCCTGAACAAGCCGCTGATGGTGGTGTGCAACAAGGTGGACCTACAGCCGCTGGAAACGCTCTCGGAAGCCGACAGGAAGGTTCTGCACGACATGGCGGCTGAAGCCGCCCGGTGCGGCGGCCCCGGCATCGCTCCTCCTCTCACTGCTGAGGGCGGCGAGGGGGCGATGGAGGCGGTGATGGGCGACGGTGATGGCGCGGGGTGCCTGCTCACCATGAGCACCATGACTGATGTTAACGTCGCTGCTGTTAAGAACGCCGCGTGTGAACGGCTGCTGCAGGTGGGCCAAGATGGGATAAGGTGCTGGTCGGTCGGTCGGTCGGTTGGTTGGTTGGTGCGTGCGTGCGTGCGTGCTGGGTGTGCTGTGAGGGCGCAGGGTGTCTGCTGACCATGAGCACCATTCTTGATGTTACTGTGGCTGCTGTCAAGAACGCCGCGTGTGAACGGCTGTTGCAGGTGGGTGGGTGGGATGATGGGGTGCTGATAGGTGCTGTGTGGTGCTGATAGGAGAAGACAGGGTCCTTGGACCATTCTTTGCCCCGTGCTTTCCCTTGACCTCCCCTCCCAACCTCGCCTCCTTCCCTCATCCCCTCTCCCTCGCCATTCCCTCGCCCAGATGCGCGTGGAAGCCAAGATGCGCAGCAAGCGAGTGGAGGATGTGGCAAACCGAATCCACGTGGCCATGCCGCGTCCGCGAGACAGCAAGCCGCGCCCGCCAGTCATCCCGCAGGCGGTTCTCGACCGGCAGGCCAAGGGCGTTAAGCCCTCCGAGGGGCGCAAGCTAGAGAAGGACTACCAGGAGGAGCTGGGCGGCACACGCTTCTCCCAACCACTTACTTCACCCCTCCCTCCCGTTTTCCGCCCCGTTCTTCATGCCAGATGCGCGTTGAAGCCAAGATGCGCAGCAAGAGGGTGGAGGATGTAGCAAACCGAATCCACGTGGCCATGCCTCGCCCGCGAGACAGCAAGCCGCGCCCACCGGTCATCCCGCAGGCGGTTCTCGACCGGCAGGCCAAGGGCGTCAAGCCGTCCGAGGGGCGCAAGCTGGAGAAGGATTATCAGGAGGAGCTGGGCGGCGCGGGCGCCTACGTGGCGGACCACACGCGGCCGTACCTGTTGGGCGACGACACGTGGCGGCACGACGTGGTGCCGGAGATCATGGACGGGAAGAACATCGCTGACTTCGTGGATGCGGATATTCTGGCGCGGCTGGAGGAGCTGGAGCGGGAGGAGTGGGAGATGGAGCAGCAGGCGGAGGGGGTCGGCGAGGGCGAGTGGGGCGAAGCGATGGATGATGAAGAGGACCTCGCTCCGGAGGAGGCCGAGGCGCTGGCGGCTATCAGGTGGGTGTGGCTGGGTGCTGGGGTCGGGTGGGGCTGGTGGGGGCTGGTGGGAGCTGGTGGGGTCTGGTGGGGGTAATCAGAGGGCGTGGGCGAGGGCGAGTGGGGCGAGGCCATGGACGATGAGGAGGAGGACTTGGCTACGGAGGAGGCTGAGGCACTGGCGGCTATCAGGTCGGGCAAAGGTTCACGAAGCTTTTCTGTCCCCATCTGCCTGTGTTCACTGTCGCCGTCCGCCCCGTGGCCCTTGTGCCCCAACCATGCTCCCCATTCCCTGCCCCCTCTCAGCTTATCACGTTTTAAGAGGTCTCAAAGCGTGTCGTCTGTTCCCTCCCCCCCCCTCCCCCCCCTCCGCTCCCCCACTCCCTTCCCCCCGCCCCTCCTCCCAAACACCAGGCTGAAAAAGAAGCGTCTGATAACGCATCGTCATCGCCAGCGCAGCGTGACGGACTCGCGACCAATCCTGCCGCGCCACGCGGACACGGGGCGGCAGTTCACAGCGGAGCGCATGCGGCAGGAGCTCTCCTCCATCGGCCTCGACCCCTCCGCTGCCCTCGCGCGCATCAAGGCCGGCAAGACGGGAGAAGGCGGGGATGTGAGTGGCGGCGGAACGGTGGCTAAGGGGAGGAAGAGGAGCAGGTCCATGGCGCGAGACGGGATGGAGGTGGATGGGGAGGAGGGGAGGGGGAGGCGCGGGGTTTCCCGGGGCCGGGAAGGGAAGCGGGAGGGGAGGGAAGGGAGGGAGGAAGGGGAGGAGGGGATGGAGTTGGATGAAGGGAACGAGGAGAGGCTGAGGAAGAGAATCCGGCACATGTCGCGGTCTCGGTCGCAGTCGCTGGGGAGGATAGGCGGGACGGCGTCGGCGCTGGCTGCGGAGGCGGTGCCTGGGGAGGGGTTCAGAGACACGGAGCAGAAGGTGGGCGCGATTCAGCTGGCGCGGAAGCATGCGAAGAAGCGGAACGTGCAGAGCAGGAAGGGCGAGGCGGACCGCACGATTGTGAACGTGAGGCCCAAGCACCTGTTCGCGGGGAAGAGAGGCATTGGGAAGACCGACCGGCGGTAGAGGGAGGGGGGGGGGGGGGAGGGGACAGGGAGTATGGGATGCAATCAGCCTGTAGCAGCTTTGGCTATCTATCTAGCTCTTTCCCTATTTGTACCTGCATGCATTTGCTTTTCTACTGTTGCTGTTGGTGTCTGTGCCTTGTTGGTACAGTGGTACTACCTATTACCACAAAGAGAAGCTATTTTGGGAATGGAATGTTGGTCCAAGTTTTATGCTCTATAGACTTTATACCGGTATGAACGCTTAGCCTACATGGAAGCTTCATCCATTGCATGTCATGGATACGTCACTGTCCACACACACAACGATAATTTGGCTGGCAAGGGCCGATAGCATTCAAACCCGCTCTGTTTTGTGAACTGATTCTATGACGAAGCTTCTGCCATGGTACGATACGAGCACATACCATCAGCAGCAGCAGCAGCAAGCTATCTTCATCAGCCAGTAGCAGTGGTCAGCAGTCGTCAGCAGCAAGAACACACCTCTCCCCCGGGCGCACATGGGGTGATCGTACGGCCTCAACACGGCAGTTGTTGTCCGTCTCACTCATCCACTCCTTGAGCCATGCAGCTTGTTCTCCTTCTGCTGCCACTGGTGCTGCTTGTGCTGCTTGCACAGCCATGAGCAGTCGTCAGCAGTCATCAGCAGCAAGAACACACCTTTCCCCCGGGCGCACATGAGGTGATCGCACGGCTTCGACACGGCAGTTGTTGTCCGTCTCACTCATCCACTCGCCACACTGCCCCTCCATCCACCCTTTCACCCATGCCACCTGTGCCACCTGTGCTGCCTGTGCTGCTTGTGCCGCGAGTGCTTCTGCTGCTGCCACTGGTGTTTGTGCTGCTTCTGGTACTCGTGCTACCTCTGCCATGTGATCCTTTCTCCCTCTCCCATTTCCCCTTCTCTCACCTCCTCCTTCCTCTCTTCTACCTCTCTCATTTCCTCCTCCCTCACTTCCTCCTCCATCCCCCCCTCCCTGCATGCCTTGCCTGATCCCAGCCCACAGCGCATCTGCTGTGTGCCCTGTTCTTTTCCCACCTACTTGTTCTGCCCGCCTCTCACTCCCACCCACAGCATCTGCCATTGCACCGTCACCTTCACCTGCGCCCTGCTCGGCACCCTGCTGTGAGCCCTGTGCTGCTGCCTGCCTTCCCCCGTCTCGCCCACCCATCAGGAAACTCCAGAGCCCCCATGACCGTCCCTTTGCCTCTCCAGGTTTGAGAGAGTCTCTGGCGCTTGCTGCATCTGAAGAGGCGTGGGGAGCTATTGAGTGCAGAGCCCTCCTCTCACTGCCCATTGCATTGTCATCGCTACCTCCTTTGACTGTGCTAGCCGTCCCTCCTGCAACTGCCTCTGCTGCTCTCAGCCCCTCAGAAACGAAATCCCGGGCCATCTCTAGCAACCGCCGAAGTGACGCCACGTCACGCTGAGTCAGCTCCACGAATCGCGACTGCACAAAGTGGTCCCGGCACTCGAGCCGCCGCCGGCACGCCTCCCTGCTGACGTGTGCAAACGTGGCGTCGCCTGGTTGGTCGGTGGGGCCGCGGTGGCACTGGTGCAGCAGATAGAGCGCGCCTGCTGACGTGGCCATGCCCTCGAAGATAATGTGCTGGACTTTGTATGGCTGGATTTCCAGCACCACTGGTATCGTGGGGCGTGGGGAGGAGGAGTCACTTTTAGTACCGTGGGCCGCAGTTGCAGTCGCCGCGGCGGCGGTGGCGGCAGCGGCAGTGGCAGTGACAGTGGCAGAGGCAGCAGCAGCAGTGGCGGCAGCAGCTGTCGAAGGTGCGTGATTGAAGGCCGAAGCGAGAGTGAGGCCAGCGCCGTGTAACCCTACAATGATGTCCGCTCCTTGTACTAGAGCAAATTGCTCTGCGAATGACAGCCTGGCGAAGTCAGCCACTTGCACGGCGACACCTGGCAGCGAGGAGAGGAGCGCCTGGAAGGCCGCCTCGCTTGATTGGTCGAACGCTCGCCGGGCGGTGTGGCTGCTGGCGCTGTTGTTGGTGCCGACGGTGCGACGAATGTAGAGGAGACGCGGGAGAGAGGGGGAGGGGGAGGTGGAAGAGGAAGGGGAGGAGGAGGAAAGGGGGGAGGAGGCGGAAGAGGGGTCTGTGGGGGTGAAATTGAGGGTGGGCGGGAGGTGGTTGGGTGGCAGCAGGGTGTCTCGCAGGTGGGAGTGCAGGCAAGCGGGCAGCAGGTGGAGAGTGCCTGGGTAGGCCGATGCCTGGCCGAGAGACAGACGGGAGGGGAAGGGGGAGTGAGAAAAGGGAGGGGTGGAAGTGAGCATCGGTTGAGAGGAGGAGAAAGAGAGGAACAGCAGTTGGTAATCAAAGCTGCTGCCTCTCTATGCTCCTTCATGCGAGCAATTGCTACTGGATGCTTCAAGTGCCTCCAAACTCATTCTCAGTGCACCTTGAGATTGCCGGTGAACAGTGCACCTTGAGATTGCCGGTGAACAGTGCACCTTGAGATTGCCGGTGAACAGTGCACCTTGAGATTGCCGGTGAACAGTGCACCTTGAGATTGCCGGTGAACAGTGCATTGGCGAAGCACACAGGTCGCTCCCTCGTGGCATTCGCAAGAGACCCTTCAAACTTCACGGCTCCTCCCATCGCCACCATTGATCTCTCATCGAGAAAATCCGACAGCTTCATCCCACCGTCCATTCTCCCTTTCGACAAGCCCCCACCATTTCCAGCGCTCCTGACGCTCCCTGAATCCACTAGCAGACGAACGATGCCGTCCAGCAACCGCGCGTGCAGCCCATGTTCTCCGTACGCCTTGGCCACGCGTTTGAACGCCGCAGATCTAATCAGAACTTATCTCTGGGCCGGGAGAGGAAGAGGGGAGCGGGCAATGGATGGGGAGGCGGAGGAAGAGGAAGAGGACGAGGCGGAAGAAGATTGGTTGAGAAGCAGCAGGAGATTATGTGCTTTCCGCACGAAGTGCGCGATGTTTCCCTCCGAGTCGTCTAAAAAAAAAAACGCCGAAGTTCCCTCCTGCCACGTGTCGTCTTCCTGTTCGTCGTCACCCTTCCCCCTCCCTCTTCCCCTCCTCCGCTTTCTCCGCCTGGTTCTCCCCCGTTCCGTACGCAGCTGCATGTTATCCTTCGTTATAAGCCGCAGAGCGGCCTTGTACGACCTACCGCGACCGTCCATGCAGCCAATGGGAATGAGCGGATCAACGGCTCGGGTCGTCTGATCATTAAAGAGAGAATCTGAGCCGTCCGTTGGCTGAATGCACGGCGCATAGCTGACTCCAGTGAACGCCTCGCCGTTAAAACAGACGGACCGGCAGGAACAAAGGACCTGGCCGGCCTGGCAGCAAAATTCGTTTCGCACATGGTAGCACGTGCAGCCGTCTCGTTGGCCGTCAGAATTGTCGGTGACAGAAGCAGCACCGGCACCGACGGGAACGGGAAACACGGGGACAGTAACGAAGAGGGTGAAAACGAGGAGGGCGCTCAGTGAGAGAGGCTGCATCGAGGTGATGTGACTACAGTGAAGTTGAGCTGTAATGCATCGCTGGAAGAAGTCGATTGAAATGGTAGAGGGAGAGCGAGTCGGGAATGAAACAGATACTGGCACGCACGCAGTATTCCACGAATTTCCATCCAGCGTCACTCTCTCATCCACTCAAATTTCGGGGCTTCTAGTCAAAGGTGGAACTTCGAGGAAATTCGTTATTAGCATAAGCTTCAAGGAACTCAGATGCCTAGTGACGAACTGGCCAACACATGCTGTTCGTTTCATACTATTACAAAAGCATGGATATGTGCTATTCACAGCAACCCATCAGCTCTCCAACTTCCTTATGCCAAAGCATACGTCTAAGAGTAACACTAACCGGCACAGAGCGCCAGACAGCATTCAAGCGGAAGCTGCTGGCTGATCCAACCATTGATATGCCTCCGAATCCACTGTAAGGCCTCCACATATAGCGCTGCTTCTAGTTGCTGCAACTGGTCTCAACAATCCAACTAATGATATGCCTCCTAATCCACTATAAGGTCTCAGAACAAAGGGCCGCTTCTAGTTGCTGCAACTACTGCTGCTGCACCGTCTCTGGGCTGCAGAGCTGGCCTGCTTAGCTCTACAGGAGGAAGGCTTGCAGCCCTGATAGTCCTGGAGCGAGAGAAGCCGGCAGCAGCGGTTACAGCGTGAGTGGAGGGCAGCGAGTGAGTGGAACGCACAGAGAGAGGGGGCTCGGGGTAGTCGAAACAGTCAGCGAAGTCGAGGGATTCAGGGCAGTCAGGGCAGTCAGGGCAGTCAAGGCAGTCAAGGCAGTCAAGATACTCGGGGCAGTGGTTATAGTCGGGGTAGGTGAGGTGGGTGGTGTTGTAAGGACCTGTGGGGATGGATGGGTCGTAAGGACCCATAGGGATAAAGGGATCGTAAGGGCCCGTGGGGATGGAGCTAGCTGGTGAGGAGAGTGAGAGGGGTGTGATGCTGAGCTGGCGGAACGACAGGGATGATGACGTGGCAGTGGTGAGTTGGCCAGAGGAGGAGATGGAGGAGCAGGGGCGACGTGTGGGGGGACCATCAGCAGCAGCAGCAGCAGTGGGATGAAAAGCAGCGCCACTCATCCTCTTCTCTTGAACAGAGCCCTCGGTAAAAGACAGCACACGCCGCACGTCCTCCTCTCTCTTTTCCACCAGCTTGTCTCGTCGCATTGCTCTGCCTCCACTGCTATCCCTGCCACCCTCCTCACCCCCTCCTCTCGCTCCCTTCAAACCATCCTCCCTATCCCTCCCGTCCTGCTTCGGCATGGAAACTGAGAGCCCGTGCGGGGTTGCACAGTCGGCCACCCGCACTGAAGGAGAGCCCAGCGAGTCGAGTGATTCAACAGAGCCTCCCCCGTCAAGGGCTCGCCCTAGCTGCTGCTCCCCCTCCTTCCTTCTACCACCACCACCGCTGACCTTATTCCCACTGCTGCTCACGTTCCCACCGCTGCTCTTGTTCTTACTGCTGTTCATGTTCGCACCATTGCCCTTGCTG